GAGGAATTACTTTTAGCTCGCAGCTAAAACTTATTCCGGGAAAAAAGCTCCCCGAACTAAGTTCCGCGAACCGGGCTACTGTAGCAAGGCCTAATTATAGTTTGATTCGCATGAAACTCGGCCGCCATGTTGAAAGTATTTAACATCTCAAAAATGTAAAACAAAAGTTTGATGCGAATCCAACCGTAAACGTCCGTTATTCCAGTTTCGTTTCAAAATATTATTCGGTAAAATTTCAGAAGGGGTGGAAGGGACTTTTGGGACACCCTGTATAATAATAACTGTTTATGGTTGTTACAATATAAACGAATATATGGAGTTTTCAATGAGATTTACAACCGTTGAGGTATACACTTGTAATTAATTTACATTTCTCCAATGTTTCGGTGGTCCATTGCCACCCTTTTCAGGGCATGAGATGACACTATAAATACAAGCTCATCAGTGGCGTGGCGTGCTTTGCGATATATCGATGGATCTGCCATTTGAACCAATGGAAAAGGATTGATAAACAGGGTGTTCGCAGCAAACACCGTAATAATCGATTCTTCACCATAGCGTCAATTGGGGATATATCGATACTCGATCTTTCACGCCTCGCCACTGAAACAGAGAAAGAGGAATGCGGTAATCTTGACGAGATTTCAAGAAGCTACACAGTCTCCTCTTTTACGAAATGGACGTATTTCTGCCAAATAGAACTATGTACATTAAGACATAAGCCCTGAGACCCACAAGAATGTATGCATAATAGGGCTCACGTCATAATGCACATAGTTCCGCTTGGTAGAAACACGTCCAAATAGTCCTCAAATTGATTGAATTCAGTTCAAGAATTAATCGCATCGCTCTCCTGAAAGATGTGAAGTCCCTCTAAGTTAGACCATACCATGGGTATTGTTTTCCGGGCATAAACTTTGTACAGGATCAAAATCAAATTCATGCTGTCCATTCTTAATGTGTTGCTTAAGAGCGGTAACCTCACTTGTATCAAATTTGTGGCCGTCTATTCTTTTATGAAGATATTGGGAGGTCTGACCACCAGGGATACACACCAGGGCATATACAGGGTTATTCAAAAGTCACGCACCACTGGCCATGAGGCGGGTGGCCGTTTGAAATTTTTCAGCTGCCCCCCGCCCCTCCCCCCGAGGGGATAAAAAATTGCAAAGTATCTGAAAAGTTTCTTCCCTCGATATGAGGAAAAACGTCTTGAACCGCAAGTCGATACCATAACTAAAACTAAAGTTATGGCCAGTGGTGCGAGACGTTTAAATGACCCTGTACATTACACTGCATATTTTCTTTAAGAACGATGGATAATAGAGACAATAGATGTATGCTTTAGATAAATAGTTATTTGAAACACATATACATTAACTCTCTATCTATCGTAGTTTTTCTCGTTTATGTCTCGACCTTGACAACATTCTCTCGGGGGGAGGGGGGAATTCCTATTATATTTAAACATAGTTCTGTTCGTCACAAAAACGGCCGTATTATCGTTTTGACCAAAAATAGTTCGCGCTGATGGTCTTAAATAATGGTCCATGATGGCATCAGCTCTGGATGCGACCAAGCCCTGGGGCTTGCACATGTGCCGAAACATCCATTCGTTCATTGATGATGTTTGTACAGTATGAATAAATGGACGAATACCGTCTTTTGAAGGATTAAATAAGGTTGATAAGATGCTGCAGAAAAGATCAGTTCGTATTTTTATCAAGATTGTTGCAAGACACGTTCGAGAACTTCTAATTGACGAACATCTGATCAGGGTCGGACTGGTTCGCATCTGAGGGCGTAGACCCTTGGCTGGTGAAAGGGGCGTAATGTGATATTACCTGGTAGGGCATTCCCTACGTGGAGAGGGGCCTCAGAAAATTTTGGCAAATCAGCACAAGTTTACGCTATTTTCAGGTTCAAAGTATATTGATCGCACGGAGTAAAAATTGCAAAATTGAACGCGAAGCACAGCATTGAGAGCTCACGCTTCGCGTCATCGCGCCTTCAATTTTTCAGATGCAGCACGGACGTCCATCAAGTACGAATAGTTGTATCCCTTCGCCGTTGTAAACACGCATCATTTCCCTCCCTCCTCTTCCATATTGTGTTTGCTTCCGTTTGTCTTATTTGTAATGTTGCTTCAAACTAGAGTAGAGCATTGCGAGTTCACGACTGACGGCATCGCGTCTTACGTTTTTCATATGCAATGTGGACATCTATCTTGCGAGAATAGTTGTATCGCGCTTACGTTTTAGATGTCTCTTATTTTTGAATTTCGAGATAAATTAAGGGTAAGTTTGCCCGAGCAATGCTATGGTATGTCCAAATCAATAGTCATTTGAAAAGGAGGAAATATGTTTAAAGGTCTCTTAAGAGGTCTATAAAGGATGCGTATGTCTAAAAATCGAACCGACCATTGCTTCTAAGGGAGCTACACATAGCGAATGAAGGAGGGGGATGATAAAGCGCCTGTGTGTCAAGAAGAAGATGAAAATTTCACAGAAAATTGCTTACGCTTCAGAGAGTAGTTCTTGGACCTCTGTTCACCACTATCATGCGTTAAAGCACCTTTCTTTACTTTTAACTCTCTCTTCTTCCGTCATTTAAGAAATTTTTCTCACATATTCTCGGTCGTAATTTTTTTTCTTCTTCTTATTTTGCTATCTGTAAACGGGGCGCGTTTTCGGCGCGCAAAGGGGGGGTATCTGCCAATAGCAGATTGGCCTTATGGCCAGTCCGAGCGTTGCATCTGATACAGTCATACATTGATTTCATTACATTCAAAATCTTTGAAAGTAGGTCTATAAAGTTAGGAGGTTGAGCCTAGCTACTCCTTTCAAAATTTCAATGAAATTTGCATAATTATTGTGTAACATAGACAAATTATTGATCTATCTAATACCTTCGTAAAATCACTCATGAAGATAAGTTGATAAGTTTGTAGGATTGTGAAACTAAATACACATAAAAACCAATCAAAGTAAATTAAGGAAATGTTAATTTATTAAAAAAACATGGTGAAAGTAAAATTATGAAATAATCTAGTCATTCTATAAATGTTTCTCACGGAGAAGCTAGAATAGGTAAATTAAATTAAGTAGGCGAAGACTTAAAAAAAAAAGGGAATGGTAAAATGACTAACCCATACGAAAGGAAAAGGAAAAGATAAAGCCACGAAGCAGTACGAAAAGAAAAGGAAAAGGAAATGTTACAATGAGTATGATCCCTCGTGAGAGAGTGTATTGCCTCTCGGGAGAGATTAATTACTCTCTTGTGGGAGATTAATTTGTTCCTCCGGAGAGAGATTTTACTTGCATAAATGTTGGCAAGAATATTGCCAAAACTGGGACCCTATAAGGGAAAAATATCACGAGTTACATGGAATGTGAAATACTTATCGGGACGACGACTTTTAAGAAAGTGCCTCGCAACTGTTAGATGAGCTGTAATGGAATAATCAATTATAACAAAAAGATATACCATCCAATAAAATTATCGCGAAGGGTAGGATACTTATTAATTATAATCGACACTATGAATAGAAGCCGAAAAATCGCTTAACGATAGATTGTGACGCTGTTTTTCTGTTCAATGCGGAACTATACTATCCTTATGACGAAATTATAATTAAAGACTCTGTAGAACAGTTCGAATAGAAAATGTCAAGTAATATGAATATGTCCTTTTAGTATGACAAAGATATAAATCCGCAAATAGAATTAAATACTGTATAGAAACAATTAAAATAGAAAATGACAACTAAGATCAATATTCTCTTTTAGTATGACACAAAATTAAGTTAAAAAAATTTACAATAGAAAATGACAACTAAGATGAATATGCCCTTTTAGTATGACAAAAATTTAAGTTTCGTACATTGTCAATTCATAAGATGATGCATCAGATTACATTATGGAGAAATATTATAGAAAAATATCTGGAGGTACACGGAATGTGAAATATTATAAATGTTATAAATAATTTGAAGATTTCAGGTAAAAAAAGAAGAAAGGCAAGCGATGAGAGGAAATGTCGAAGAGTCACTTCTTTTTGCCGTTGAAGATACGTTTTCTTTTCCTCCATCTTGTTCCTCCTCATAGTTGTCGTCTTCCACTGAATCATTCGTCGCGTAAATGTCATCTTCTTCCAAATCTTCGTCGCTAGCATACACTTATTAGTTTTAATTTCTTACTTTTAATGAATGAAATAATTGTTCCCTACATAAAATTCATTTGCCGGACACAATCATAGTATGGGGGGATGAAAATTGACTCGTTTTTTAGGGCAAGAAATGAACTCGGGAGCAAAGTGAGTAACACCCGTTACCGAAGTGTGGTGATAACTGTTACTGGAAACTACGTAATTGAGCAATTCTCAAGGTGTAGAATGTTGGCAGTTTTGTCAACGCGCGTTTGACTGAACTGAAACTGAAACGAGTGAAGGGGGGGGGGACTGTACCTACATTTAGACAATATCAGGTTTCTTTGCGTTTCACTTTCTATATCGACCGAAAGCAACAAAACACGGAAACGATTAAATTGATTTTTTAACAATTCAATTGCAAAAAAAAGTGACTGCAATGTTTCAATGTAGATTTTACAACAAAAAAATACTACTTTAACCACCCCCCGTGATTAAATTAGCTCACAATAGTGGTTAAAGTTGCATTTTTTTTGTCGTAAAATGTACGTTGAAACATTGCAGTCTCTTTTTTTTAGCAATTGCATTGTTAAATCAGCACTTTAATTTTTTCCGTGCACTGGAAAAAAAACACATTGGATCTAGAGTCCAGACTCTTGAAAACCTTGACAAGAAAAAATACTCTTGATTCAATCGGATTTTGGCTTGAATCAAAACGAAATCCGCTTACATTAAGAAACTTGGTTCTTGATTTAAGCTAGATTCTAATTGAATCAGGAGTACTTTTTCTTGTCGATGTTTTTAAGAGTCTGGACTCTAGATCCAATTTTTTTTTTTTTTTTTTTTTTTTTTTTTTTTCCAGTGTGAAAAACCCATACCTTTTCCTCACGTTGATTTCGTCCTCTCAACCGCCGCCATAAAACTCCCACCTCCCAGGTTCGATAACCACCGTCATGTCCGGCAGCACTCGCACCCCCAGGACCCTGACCTTCCTCACGGCGTGTCTGTGCCACAACGCCTTGGCGCTCTCGCCGGCCCAGCTGAGCGCCACGCTCACCGACTGGTTGAACCGCATCTCCAGCGCCACCCCGGATCTCAGCTCCACGTTGACCGCCGCCACGCTCGGCCGCGGCCCGTTCTCGCCGTCCCCCATGTCCGTCCACCTCCGGAAGTACGCTTCGCCGTAGCGTTGCGCCGACTTGAGCGTCAGCACCGCCGCGTTCAGCGCCGCCTCCGTCGACCGCGGGAACTTGGAGTACGCGAAGAAGAGCTCCTCGAGGGCGCTCTTGAACCTCCCCGTGTCGTAGCGGCTCTGCACGTAGCGGAACTCCTCCCTGACCCGCCTCAACACGCACCTATCGATCCGGTACTTGACCTGGTGGAAACTCAAAAGCTTATCGGTCACCTCCGCCTCGATCTCCTTGTTCGCGATCCGCAGATGCGCCGCCTCCTCGTCGACGTCGAACTCGCTGTCGAGCGTCAAATACCCCGCCACGAAGAGGTATCGTAAGTAGAGGTCGCGTTTTGCGTTTTCACTAGGGGCTGTGAGAGCGCCGTGAATCAAATGTAGCTCCTCCGAGGAGAAAACCTGATCCTCGAGAACAACCTTCGGGCTCTCCCCACTCAGGAGTCTGAAAAACACCGCCTCCATCTCACTCGACTTGAAGAGGTTCCCCAGGATGTCCACACTCTGGGTCTGGACCCAGTAGTGGGTGACGTTCTTGTTTTTTATGAACTGCGCGATGGAGTAAGGGTTGTAGACGACGATCTCCACTCTGTTAACGTGGGAGCTTATCCCGTAGCCCTTGTACCACCCCTTCGCCTCTTGCACCAGGTTTCCGGTCAGATTGTGGGCTGCGAACAGCGCGTCCACCTCTGTTTCCTTGAGCCCGAAGTCGTCGAGGAAGTGGTTGAGGTGCATGTCGGTCTCCACCACGCTGCTGAGTCCGTAGAAGTTGTTGAGCTTCGCCACTCGCATCACCCCCGAGAGCAGCGCTTTGTGGAGGTGGGTGTTGTCTTTGAACGTCTCTTGGAGGAGATCGCGGAGATAGTCCATCTTGACGTCCGCCTCCGCGAGGTCTTGCGTTTGGCCGATGTCTATCGGGTGATCGTAGGCGTCGATCAGTATCCACACCTTCTTCCCGAAGTGCGCGTGGAGTGTATCTGCGAGCATGTGCAAACCGGTTTTCAGCGTTTTCCAGTCCGCGGTCCGGTTTCGGATCTGCTCGAAGGTGTGCAGGTGGTACCGCGCGTTGGTCCTGATGACGTCATCGGCGGACGCGTTGACTGCGGCCCGAGAGAAGACTTTCTGCATGTAGTAGTGATGGTCGAAAGCGCGGGCGATTGCCTCTGTCAGTGGAGGGAGCATCGACTCGACGGTGGTACCTTCCACGTCGTGGAAAGAGACGTGGATAACGGGGTGCTGCCTGTGATGGGCGGCGATCAAAGCTTGGTGGCGGGATATTTTGAGGTTAGGATCGGTGAACATATCGGGTGAGCTCGTGACCTGATTGCCGTTTTCGTCGACGTTCATTTGGAGAAAGGCACGGAGCATGTCGACGGCTACGGTTTTACCCCACTTCGGTGGGAAAGTTAGTAGGACGAGGTCTATGTCCATCGTGATGAAGTCTCTGATGAAGGTGGACTTGTCGACGTATAATTTGGTGGCGTAAAGTTCGAGAAACGTGTTTTTGCACTCCGCATCTTGATTTTTTAATTTTTCGTAGTCATTACCCCGCAGATTCAGCAGAAACAGGCACCCGACGAATAACGAGAGCCACGAAGCCATTTCCTAGTGTGCTGTAAGCACAGTCGGTGGCATACTCAAATTTAAAAAATTTCTGAAGGGGTGACTTTATGATCATCAGCGGGACATTTCACGGCGGCCTTTGTATTGAACTTTGAAAGTTACGAGGTAGATGGGTTCGTGAATCCTGTAGGCAAATATCAAAGGAATGCGTCAGCCAAAAGGTCGATCGATGTCTTTACATTTTTCCCTATTTTGCGTTTTTTTTTTTCGAATTATTTCGCAAAAATAGATTTTTGGGGTCATTTGCCGTCCATTCCTTCGGATCAATAGAGAGAAACTTCGTTGATAGAATAAATCGATCAAAATTTTTTTTAACTCGACTAAAGAGATGAAATCATATATTTCTTTCTTCTTTAGTTTTACGAGATTACTACCGATCAAACGCTTTTGGGTCTCTTTCTCGACTCACTGGGAAAAAAAAACACATTGGATCTAGAGTCCAGACCCTTGAAAACATTGACAAGAAAAAATACTCTTGATTCATCAGATTTAAAAAGGAAATCCGCTCAAATAAAGAGACTTGGTTCTTGATTCAAGCTTAAATGTGATTGAATCAAGAGTATTTTTTCTTGTCGATGTTTTTAAGAGTCTGGACTCTAGATCCAATGTGTTTTTTTCCAGTGTGTCTCTTAGCTTAGTGCTTTAACCATTTTCTTTTATGGGTTGTTGGAATTTCCAAATCAATAAATGCTAGGGCTGCAGTTTCCGGAGAAAGGTGCCCACTAATTGTTGAAAGGGCAACAGCTGATATATTAGAATCAATTTTTGAAAAATAGAACAATTTTTGATGATTTCGAGATCATGTAGAGGAGCTCAATGAGGCACTGGTGTGCTGAACCAGCCTTGCACATAAACTTTGACGATAAAAACATGTAATTGTCGGATACTTTCTAATTCTGAAGAAGAAAGGTCAAATTGATTTTTGAATAAAAAAAAATTTCAGGCAATATATTGCCTTGGCCATCCACGTGGATCGAAGGTGCGCTGTAATGACGCGCACACTGAATCCAGATGGAAACTGTTTTCCCAAAAACAACGCCGTTAGCAGTAAAAATTCTTTACAGTCTTCTCGCGGTTGAAGATCAGTGAAAGCGTTTTCAACAAATGCCGGAATACTTTCGCGATTTCTGTCAAAAATTTTACACAATGTCCTATTTGTCATTATAGACATACAATTTGTTTCATTTATTTGGTCAAAATTTTTTGAACGGTGGTGTGTTAAGACTTTTAGAGGCAGGCATCTTTATTTCTAAGGCTGCGGCCACTATCAACTCAAAAATATGATGCAGGCAGGGCAAAAATATTAAATCTCTCTCGAGCATTTGTTCGAGTAATGTGGCTACCTCCCTAATATTGCCCAAATTAGATGCAGTAGTGTTACAGCACATACCTTAAAATACAAATACAACGCTGCCGAATTACACGAGTTTTTAGAAAATACACTAATTTGCCGATTTTATCGTATTATTTGGGTATTTTATTAGTTGATCTCAAGTCGGCACCACTTTAAATCAAATGACCTAAAACTTGCCAGAGGTCTTTTTTAGGTCCAACTGAACAAAAGGGGGCGGCAGTAAAAACAATTGACGAAACTATCATCGCCGTGTTAAAGTGGGCCACCCTAGTAATACGCGACAGTCACTCAGTCATGTTGTATTAAGCGGCATGTTATCGTCGAAAACTATCTCATTTGATCACAAGTTTGAACGTACCTTCAGAACAGCATCTTAAAACATTTTGAAAACGCAGTCAATTTAAAGAGTAAGGGGTTACTCCACGCGTAAAGCCGTGGACTCACGTTCGAAGTGAAGCTTCAAAGTTGCGGTTGTTGAGTCAAATGTTGCGCATCGATGACAACACTTGGTTAAACAGCCATCACTTTGAAACTTCTTATTGCACATGTGTCCCACCCTTAAAGGAAGTTGTCGCAGTGAGATAACTTCGGATTGTTATCGTCGATCCCAAGGCATTGCTGCAGTTGAGTTAAATGAGCATCTCTGATATCAAGTCATTGAGACTATTGACGGTAAATAATAAGTGTTTAAGTATACCAGCGGGGCGATTATTGAAATGTCATAGACTCCATGTCGCCCGTTACGACAAGCCATAGCCCTATCTTAACCGTGCAATATATCACAATTCGATGTCTTAACAGGCTGGTTTAAATTTCAATAATCGGCCCGCTGATTGATGTTTTGACTACGTCATTCGATATGATATCAAACTATAGATCGCTCCGTCTTTCAAACCGAAACAATAACATGAAACTCGTACCGCGCGTAAAATGTGAAGTTAACTTTTAATGTGAACATATTTTAAATGTCGTTTACTTCGACCATCTCATGAAATGTTGAACTTTCTCTCCCGTGGGCCGAATATTGGAAGTCTAATGCAGCCCGATAAGACATCGAAATGCGATATATCACATGGTTCAGATAGGACTGTCTTCTCTTATCGTGCTGACATTGTTTCCATAATTGGGCCGCTGCGCTGGGAAGAAAGTCTCATAGCCACCGGAGAAAATGCCTTCAGATCTGGACGTGTGGATTGATTCGTGCGCCGAAAATGTAAAGATTACTAGAGCTAGAATGTCCCTGAAAATGAAACTACTCGAAGGTAACACGAAACAAAAAAGGAAGATGAACCAGTGAACAGCGCAAATTCTTTGAAGGGTGCAAAAAACCATTTTAATCAGAAATTTGGGTACAACGTGCGTAACACCTTTTTCACTGAGACTCGGAAACTGAGAAAAATTAAGATTGCTGCCGTCTGTACACCCACTGACACTCCCTCCATTTTGGGTCGTACTTAATACTTCAGTTATGCAGGACAACATGGTTTTTGAGGCTGTTAAAAATATTACATGGTTACATGGGAATATAGGTTGTTTATTTTTTAAAAAAAAAAAAACAAATCGAATGTGGAGAAGTCGTCCATGCTACAAACACCTCCCAAATTTGAACTTGTTTGTTACCCGGTCAACCCCCCCCCCCTCCATATTGTTTCAGCACATTTTGGTATTTCAGCATATCTAATTTTTTGCGTGATTTCAGTAATTGTTTTGCAAATAATGTAAGAAGCACAATTCTAGCAACATCGGATTGCTCTTGGTTCCTTTTGCAAAATTCAATCCAAGTAACGATATGAGGTTACATCCATATTGGTATTTATTATTGTCTGCAGAATTCCGCGAGGCTCACTCCAGTGAGCCACAATAATCATCGAATAGATGAATAAATAAAAAACAACAACAGTGTTTATCAGTGGCCAAAAAGTTAGAATCATACTTCTTTGAAAGGTTTTTAAAATTGTTGAGGTACTCATAATTTAACTGATTCTCATTCAGTTGAAGTAACACCTTTCTGTATTACCATGTTTGCTCGGATCGCTAAAATTATTCTTATGGGAAGGATAATTTTGAATCAATTACTTAGATGGAATTCCTAAATTCTTCCCAGAAACATACTGAAAAAAAAACAAAGAAAAAACCGAATGGAACCGTCAGTTAGTTTTCTCACATCAGTATTTTCTTAAATATGGAATTTTAGGATTCTCGCCACCAAAACTTAACGCACGCGTTTAATAATCGGGGTTTTCAGCTTCATGAGTGAAACAGAATGGGAAACTCGACAAGGAACGAATTAAAGCACTGCGCAAGATGTTTTCTATTCAGAATTTTACGACGAAAACGAAGAATACAACGGCAATCCCGAAGTTCAACTCTAACAAGTCAGGTAAGTGTTTAAAATTAATACTGGTTAAATGGCAAAAATAAAAATGAAGTCATTTGTATTATCTAACTTCCATTTAATATGTGTCAAAAATATTTTCTATTATCTCATTCCGCAATCGATTTCCGAAATTCCCGTCTTATTCTTCGTTTTCCATGTAAGATTTTGAAGAGATTTCATGTGAAGTTAATTTCTAGATTACACTGGTAAAAAAAGTAGCTTGGATCAAGAGTCCAGACTATTAAAAACATCGAGTAGAAAAAATACTCTTGATTCCATCTGATTTTTCCTTGAATCGAAGAGCCAAGCCTCTTGATTTAAGCGGATTTCCATTTGAATCAAGAGTATTTGTTCTCGTCACACTGAAAAAAAAACCTGCTAAAATCAACACATGAAATAGTGAAAAAAGGTGACAACTCATCAAAATAGATTAAGAACACCGGGTTGATTTTACTAATTTGGTGATTTGTCACCGTATTTTAGCAATTTTTTTTTTCAGTGCAGTGTTTTCCTGAGTCTGGACTCTAGATCCAAGCTACTTTTTTTCAACCAGTGTAGACCTAGTCTAGTTGTCTATTATCGCTATATTCAGATTGAAGTCTTGAATCACTCACCGTAAGAAACCTGAAGGCGATCATCGTGGTTGAACTGCAGTGAAATTGCCTTCAAAAACTACAATGAATAACTTCGGATACTGAGGTAATGACATTTAGTTTTATACTCAGCAGATCACTCGCGGACCTCCCTTGCTCGTCATGGTTTACGATAAGTCGATTTACATTTCATTTAAATCTGTAATATAGGATCGATCATCGGGGTGTTTGCGATGAGCATCTTAATAATCGATTCTTAATACGGTTTCAAATGTGAAAATATCGATTGCGGAGAATTCACGCTTTCCCTCCGCGCACGCGGATTGATAAACTTCAGTGCAGATAAGCGAAAATAAAATGATTTTGTCTGTGTGACCGACTTTTAATTGCTGTAAAATTTACACGGTTGTCAGATCGACCACATGCATGAATAATTTTGATTGACTTTTTCATACTCGACGTCCTGTAGCGTCTCTGACGGCCTGCCGGTTATCTGTAAGGGATCCCCTTCATTTTTTTCGTTGCCTATTTTATTATCTTAATATGCTTCGTTTCGTGGTTTGACCACGGTGTTGGAACTACCCAGAAACTTCCGGGCCATGTTGCTGATTTATTGCAGATGTACTATGACACGTTTGCTTTAAAGATTGATTTTTAAAGTAAGGAATTTTTTAAAAATTCTCGTTTATTCCGTTAGAGAATGTTTATTCTGTGCTTCTTGAAAAAACCTTTCGCTAGACGCTAATTTTTTTCGCTCGACTCCTCTAGACTCTTTATAAGTCTTTTTTCTTTTCATATACATACATCGAATGCATTAATTATCAAGTATTATTCATAATGTCTTTAATGTGCCCATATTTCATGGAAAGGGCATACGGAAGCAGCTGGACGCAAAGCCTTTATCACGGACCTAAGTACTATTGGTAGCACTATACTGCTCTGGTCAGCGACTCTTACATCAAATCTTATTCTAAATTATAAAGCCGTAAGATTAACGCGGGACGCTTAACCCTTTTGAGGCGCAAAGCGTTTTGGAAGGCTGGACTTCGAAGCACCCCGAATGTAGTTTAGTACAATATGAGATAGGGGTTGGTATGGAATGCGTCTAGGTCCTGATGCGATTTTATGCGTCCACGCAGAAATATGATCGTGAAAGTTGTCGTGATATGATAGAACGCCATACGATCGTGATCGCTGCCATATTCATTTGATAAAATTCAATTTTCATTCAAATGTGTGAACATTTTTCTTCCATTTTCTTAGAAAACTTAATTGGCGCAGTATAATTAGAAGTACCTAAACTTCGTAAGACAAATGCATGTCTATATAACCAGCATTATACCAGCTCTATCAAACGCTGTTGAGTTGTTTCTCATGTTTTAATTTTAAATAGAAAATTACTTGTTAGCATTACTGGAACTTGTAATTTTGGGATTATATTCTTCATAAAATTGGTTATATTAACGGACAGTTTGAAGACACGAAGAAGTTTAGTTCTCTGTGCTACAAGATGAAATATGAGGAAACATGCAGCGATGTGGAAAGGACTACATTATGAAACTGAAAACTACAATTTCTGACGTATCCGTAAAAACACTTTCGCGTATAGAGGAAGGAAGGTTACATAGGCTGTTTTTAAACTGAGCCAGATAGTCTATTTCCTAATCGCAAAACGCAAAGCAACTGTATTAAGGCTGATTTCGGTTAAGTAATTGACTTTATTTTGCAATTAAAATATTTTCCTTCGTTTCGAAACAATGTATGTACCAAGTGTACCTTTAGTTTCCCAATCCACCCAAGTGTTTTTATGGATTTACCAGAAATTGTAGTTTCGTATTACAGAATGTAGTCCTAATATGCTTAACTTCCATTAAACTTTGTGAAAGATGAATTTTATCGACATAAATTGACATCGGTTAAATTTTCTTACGGCGTTGTTATTCAGCACGGTACAAAAGCTGTGTTTGCAGTTAAAGATCATAAACACAAACCCGAGTGTCAACTTTTTATAGTACATGTTTGTTGTGATTCACAAGAATTCACCAGTTTCTTTCTTTCTTTTTTTCCGAGGTACGACTTCGGTGATTCACTAGCAGTCCGCTTAGTAAACAAGAATGATAAGAATAAATGCATATTTTGCGTGATGAAATCAAATGATTTCTTAAAATTTCTCTCTTTTCGATCAGGGTTTTGGTAATGGACAAAGATTTCTATATACGTCTTCATCTACCGTGTCCTACCGGGGAAGTACAGTTGCCATTCATTTTCACTGAATTGTTAAATCGAATGAGTCAAGTTTGATCCTTTCAAATCCAATTTTCTGTATTCGATGTCTTTTTAGTCCCGTTAAATATACATTAAAAGCACTGCTCCGTCTAAGTCTTTAGCTTATGATCAACCTTTTAGTCTTTCAACTTTCTTTTTTCTCTCTTTTTTTTGGTGAACCAATAAGTTAGTTTCATGAGAGAAAAAATAAAAATGCCTCCGATCAAGTCATACGTTTCTCTGTCTCCGAATTTAGATCGAAATTTTGAGCATTCAGATATTGTTGCATTGGATGGGCTTTGATTAGCAACGGGATGAAAACTAAACGAAATAAAATGGCTAATAATTAAAACTAAGTTATAGCGTTGCTATGAATATTTACAATTTATTTACAGAAATAAATAAAATTGTGTTACTTACACTTAGACGTTCATGATTTTCAACATATTAATTTGAGAGGCAAGAACGTTAAATGACAGAATTTTTCAGGCAAAATTTTGATCAGTGTTAAATTCGAAAGATAAATAGGATTACATTTTGCAATAAGAAACCACTATTTCTGCTCCATTTTAGAAACAACATACATGCCATTGGTTTCCCTATGCAGATATGTGATTTTATGGGAGAGCCAGAGATAATGGTTCCTTATTGCAAAATGTAATCTAATTATGAAATTTCATCCGTCTCAAACTGGGCTAATTTTTGCAATAACGAACACAATGCCTCCACGTTCATTTTTGCCAAATACAATATAGTTTAGACGTATTTAAATCAAAAGGAACCGTATCCATTGTGATACGAGCTCTGAGACTCGTAAGAATACACGCATATCAGGGCTCATTTCACAATGGCTCTTTTGATTTAAATGTATCCGTTCATCGAACGTGGTGCATTATTGATAACCCCGTTTCAACGGGGGTAGAATGTTAGAAGAATGTCCGCACGAGAGAGCTTTCAAAATCCGCATGTCTCACTGGAAAAAAAACACATTGAATCTAGAGTCTAGACTCTTGAAAACATTGACAAGAAAAAATACTCTTGATTCAATTAGATTTAAGTTTAAATCAAAAGGAAATCCGCTCAAATTTAGAGGCTTGGTTTTTGATTTAAGCTGAAATGAAGACTTATCATCAATAACGTGCTAAGTGCCAAAAAATGGAAAACGGAGTTAGCACTGGAAATGCATGCTAAGTGCCATTGACAACATAGGGTAAAGCGTGCTAAGTGCCATTGCACTTCGTTGCAAATCGTTGCAATGACACTTAGCATGCATTTCCAGTGCTAACTCCGTTTTCCATTTTTTGGCACTTAGCACGTTATTGATGATAAGTCTTCAAATCTGATTTAATCAAAAGTATTTTTTCTTGTCGATGTTTTTAAGAGCCTGGACTCTAGATCCAATGTGTTTTTTTTTTTTTTTCCAGTGTAACCCCGTTTCAACAGGGGTAGAATGTTGGAATAATGTCCGCACGAGAGAGATTTCAAAATCCGTGTGTCTCACTTCCCGTTTATCTTCCGGTAGCGGTTCCGTAGGCTCCGCTTATCTTCCGTAACCCGTTCCGTAAGCTCCGAAGCCGTGTCCACCGTGGATGGCCGCTTGCTGGCTGGGGTAGTAGGGGTAGTTGGCCCCGCCGTAGCCCCCGTAGGGCGGCCGCCCGAAGGCTGCTGGGCCGCCGTAGCCGCCGCCGGGGTAGTGGCCATAGCCGCCGTAGTGTCCCGGTTGGTAGCCGCCGTGGTAGCCGCCGTGGTGGTGCGGGAACTGCTTCCCGATTTTGATGAACCCCTCGGAGACGGCCATCCAGCAGGCCAGCAGGAGCACCTGAAACGGTAATGTTCACGTTAGGAATATTACTGTTTTGTTAGTACGTTAATCTGAAATATCTAATATTGGACCACTAGACAAGCCACGGATTTAAACAATCTGATACATGTTTCCTAACCAGAATTTCTCGTAAAACGCGATTCGCGCAACGAAAATTACTGAAACCAACTCCTAACGAAGATATTAACGTTTTTATTTCACATTGGTTACGAGGAATTTGAACTGCCCGCTCACAAGAAACTCAAAGCTCTACGTGAGTCAAATCGCGCACTACAACGGTTTCAGCAAGATTCTCAATAAAGCAATGTTCATTTCCCACCATGTGTTTTTCAAACTGTAAGTAATTTGCTATAGCTGAGCCAAAGCGTCAAGATTGAGGTTGCCAGGTTTTTTTATCGCAGAGACGTTCATATGATAACGTTTAGCGCGCGGTATGAATCACGCAGAGCATTGAGTTTTCATGAGCGGGTGGTTTGAATTCACACATCGAGAATCATTAAATATCCTCGTAAGGCATTGATTTCGGTAATTTCCGTTGTGCGCGTCGTGTTCTACGTGAAATTTTGGTCATGGCACGTCTATCAGAATGCTTGTATTCGTGCCTTGTCTACTGGTCCATTTAAACGAATGACCTGCATTAATTTTGTCAAAAATACAAGTTTTATCCGGGGGGATTTGCCAAACCCTGAATGTTCATACGACGCACACTGTTACGAAATGGGCAAAAGGTCGGACATGGGGGTGTCGCTAATTTTGGATCCGGAGTGGGCATGAAGTGTTCCTAAGGGTTCATACTATACGAATCTAGCATGTATTTTCAATTTTTTCCCTCCATTTTTTTCCTAGAGCTCCTCAAATGTGGCAGATTCCGCTGTTCCTGAAATTGTCACACTTCGTCAAAATTGTTTCGACCCTTGTATTTTGTTGTGCCGTTATTGCATGTAAATTTTGATGCCTGAAACTTATTGTTGAGACTCTGAGGAACATTTTTCACTGGTAATAATTGAAATTATGTCAAATCTGAAGGCTGCCACGTAACTCTAAAGTTACCTACTTCAAAAAGATGGACATTGAACTTTAAGCAAGCTTTCAAAAAATTCACCGCATTTCACCGAAAAAGTAAGCATATGGCGTGCTCAAGTAATCCTTCGAGAATGATAATCAGCCATATTTGGCTGCAGATAGGCGCAGATTTGTGAAATTCTTTGATTTTCGTCTGAAAAAGCCAGACGTCACGAGTGGGTCTCTCTCCGTCAAACTCTATTCGACCCTTATATTTTGTTGTGAGATGAACCCATGTAAATTTTGATGCTTGAAACTTATTTTTGAGATTCTGTAGAACATTTTTCACTGGTCACAATTTAAATTATCTGAATGCTGAAGGCTACCACGTATGTCCAAAGTTACCCGCTTCAGAAAGATGAAAATTGAACTTTAAGCAAGCTTTCAATAAATTCACCGCATTTCACCGAAAAAGTAAGCATATAGCGTGCTCAAGTAATCCTTCGAGAATGATAACCAGCCATATTTGGCTGCAGATAAGCGCAGATTCGTGAAATTTATTGAATTTTGCAGACGGCACAAGGCACCCTGCAATAGCGTACGTTCGGACGTCCCTCCTAAAAAANCGTATGAAGCGAATTGATTGGTGCTTCAGTACAATAAATTAGTTCTGAAGCCTAATTTTGATTTTACTTGGCGAGAACCAACCAAATTAGTTCTCAACGCTAACTACTTTTTTTTTCAGTGTATTGGTTATGGCAACTACTAATTACAAGTTCATATTGAACACAGCTCTAATGTGGTAATTTAAACCATAATTTTTTCTCAGTGCACTTATATTTCGTCAAAAATACAAGTTTAATCCGGGGGGATTTGGCAACCCACGAATTTCCATACGGCGTTCCTCTCTAGCAAGACAGTGTTAATGTTCGTATTGACACTACTCCCTATGTGTCAGTCGCGCTGGTCACAGAATCGTATTTTGATGCTTTATTCTTGTAGATTAGCTAATAATAATACCATCCGTCCAAAAAGCTACTCTTAACGTTCAACATCAACCGAGATATAGCGCTTTAAGAAAATCAGTTAATGACGTCATCCACCGCGGTAGTGCATACCGTTGTTTCTTCCACCTTGCTTTCATCAATTAGTGAAGTACTCTTTTGCGCCGGTGAAACCCTGGTGCGTGCACTACCGCGGTGGTTGACGTGATCTGAGTTTTTCAAGGCTCGATATCTCGGTTGAAAGTAAACGCTGGAAGTCGTTGTTTAGATAGTTATTATTATTTTAAGCTGATCAGCAAGAATCTAGCATCAAAACACGATTTTTTGACCAGCGCAACTGACCCACACGGAGAAAAATCTACGGCTTTATAAAAAAATTAGTGATTCATATGAAACACCACTAGTAGTCGTAAATGAACTAATAATTCTCGGTCTGAGAAACATACTGAGGTATCTCTTACCATACTAAGGTATATGTGCGATTGTTATATGTTGCCTTTACTACCGTAAGTGGTATTCCGTATGAACCAGTAATTGGTTCATAAGCCATAGCTTTTTCTCGCAATTAGTGCAATGCGGGTAGCTTCAATTAAAACATTAATGCTGCCTTGCTAAGGAAGAACGCTGTATAAACATATGTTCCCTATCTTTACTCGGAAAGGTATTAGATGCTTGTGTAGGTGAAGAATAGCTGTGACCAGTGCATCTCTGAAATGCAGCGTGAAACACGATTATTTAATCATTCTATTGTGCGCCTTGTTTGGAAGGTGTTATGACCCTTTTTCCACGGTTGGAAAACATTTGAGAACAGCGCCTGCTATCCCACCCCAACCGAAGAGGGTATGACCGTGTCTTGAGCTTCAAATCATGAGCGGTCAATGCCCTTCCTTCGGTGGGTTCGATTGTCGGAACCAGGACCAGGAGTCCGATTATGTTGCGACGAAAAAAGTGTCCCTACTGTATGTACACAATTAAGATTACATATGGAAATCATATTCATTGGCATTTTGAACTCAAAACTTTAAACACAGTCCATGTTAAATGATATCATGATATTTGTCAGGTATCTAAAATCTCTCGGATTTTTATAGATGTCTCTTGAAAAAGTAGACACAATCTGAAAGTGGTCGGTTTTTTTACACGAAAAAATAAATGGTTACTTTTCTTGAACCGTATTAAACTGAAAGGAGCCAAGACACATTTTGGGGGTAATTGAATAAGAGGTAATTTTGAGCTATGTCAACTAATTTTTCTCTTCTATTTTACACTTCAAACATCCCCGAACACGGGGTAACGTTTAGTGTGCGATTGAACGCAAGTAGATCAATGTGTTTTCCATGAGCGGGAAGTTTGAATTTGTGTACTTGAAAACTGCACTGGAAAAAAAAACACATTGGATCTAGATTCTGGACTCTTAAAAACATCGACGAGAAAAAAGTACTTTTGATTCAGTCAGAATCTAGCTTAAATCAAGAACCAAGCCTCTTAATTTAAGCAGATTTCGTTTTAATTCAAGAGCAAATCTGATTGAATCATGAGTATTTTTTCTTGTAAATATTTTCAAGAGTCCGGAGTCTAGATCCAATGTGTTTTTTTTCCAGTGTATATTATCTTCGCCTGGAGATAATTTCGGTAACTTTTGTCGTTTAAATCGTGTTTTACTTTAAATTTTTTACGAGGAAACTTGTTGCATTGCTCAAATTCAAACCTTGTCAACTAGTTCATGATTTCCCCGACGTCGGTGCTGAGTTTTGAACTGGCAACGCATGCTTCAAGTAGACCGCTCGTGCGGAGACTAGACAAATCTTAGCTTTTTCGAGAGCTTTGTCAACTTTGGGAATTCCTGTCTACTGGCATGCGAGTGTGGATATTAGATGGTCGAAAAGAGTAAATACGTCAACCATTGACTATCGATATTTTCCTATTTGAATCTATGGTGAAGAATCGATTATTAAGTTGTTGGTTCCAAACCCCCATCTAATCAATCCTTTTCCACAGGTTTCAATGACACAAGAATCAATTCATCGCACATCACGACTAGCCACCGCGAGTCAGTCACATTTTTGTGCTGAGAGTTTTCTAAAACGTTCGAACGAAGCGGATGAAAGCGTATGTTTTTAACACGATAGAAGTCTGTGAAAAGAATTAATTTGTCATTATGTATGACTCGTGTGAGTGTTAGTAAAAACTGGAGGGTTTGATGACCCTCTCAATGTTTCTGCGTTCTGAGTGTTTAAACCTATTTCCACAGTCCCCCGTTGAATATGCGGAGTTGAAACTTATGGAATTACATCTGGGCTCTTTTCCCCTTTTTTGGTCTCTTAAGTTACATCGTTCGGACTTGGGGTCACCTTTGCCGCATGAAAATCAATAGAGAATTTTGAAGTAACTCTTCCATAGAAATAAAGTACGCATTACTTTACAAGAAAACTTCCCGGACCTAAATTGAAAATGCAGATGGTTTTCAACCTCCTTACGTGTGTCGTTGGGCTTAAGAAGTAGTGACAATAATTCTGCTGTGCTAAGGAAAAACACCATTCGAACATTCGAGTGTTGCCAAATTTCCTTCGATGCAATTTTCATTTATGAGGATCGGTATGAATATTTTCTCTTGACATTTTCGGGTACTTTAGGTGAAATCGCGAACAAAATGATCTGAACAATTTTCGGGAAAATATTAAAAATTTTTCCGAAAAATCGTGATTTACCAAGTAAATTTGGCAACGCCTGAAGAACCATACGGCGTTTTTCCTCCGCATGGCGGAATTGGACTTCATTACGCAATTAGGAAATAAAATTTCTGTCTCGTCTGTAAAAACACCCATGTGCGTAGGGAAACTAATGGTGCATGCGTTGTTTTTAAACTGAGCCAGAAAGAGTAGTTCCTCATTGCAAAACCAGGTCCAAATGGAAGTATTTATGCTAAAATGAACTATGTGCATAGTTTGCATGGAACATAGTTCCTTTTAGCATAAATACGTCCACATGTTGTAGTAATTACATTGAAAAGAAGTGACTTGGTATCAGCATGAAAAAACATACACGGGGTTAGATGCAAGCATTTGAATGAAAACATTTACCACTTCAGTGAACTCATTTGCACTGAGGCGGCTGGGATCAAAACCGCCATCTCTATTGCGCTCTCTAAAAATTTGGCAATAATTTTAATTTATTATAAAGAGAGCGGGTGAGTTTTTATTTGTCTGCTTCCTTAAGAACTTTCGATACGTTTGCGTCAAAACTATATGATAATGATGGAGTTTTTTAGCCATTGCGCGTAAAAAGTTCAGCTTAAAGCTGATATCTCATTACTTAAAATTATAATAGTATTTTACGCACGCAGTTCGTTTTTAAACTGAACCAGAAATTGTAGTTCCCGATTGCAAAATAAAATCCAGTTCAGTTTTTAGTCCTTCGGTATGAGGTGCCTTTTTTGCGTGCACGGCCACCGATATACATTACAGTAGCGACTGATTTTCCCGACCACAAGCAATTCTCATTGAAAAATTACAGGGCAGCATAGTGTTCCAAAACTTACAGTGTCAGTTTTAGATAAAAGATCGACCAAAGTTTATCAAATCCGAGCAGAGTATATCAATGCTGATTAAGGTTGCCGGGCACAACACAGGTCATCAGTGCGGGATTCGAACTCGTGATCTTCACCATACTGATCCACTAATTTCGTGATAAATCGGGGGCGAACTTTTTGTCGAACCAAATGCACTGTTGCCTGCATTGAAGCGTTTATTGTCGAATTTTTACATAATCTTTAATAATACCCAAATTATGTCTATAATCGGATCGTGTGAAAAGTGGTAATGTCTGTTTTTCCACCTTTGAGTATTTCGCTTTTCATCTTTTGTAAGAAACAATTTATCCACGAAAAACTGTGTAGAGACTCGTTTTGAGATTCATTTACAGTGAGTTCAAATATTTAAAAAGTTAAAAATTGTACTTCCATAAGTTCAAATTAGTTACACGTTGAGAACCTAGAAAGAGTTTTTTGGTTCAAACAAGAACACATTACCAGTGCCGCGGCGAGGTTTGCTTTGCGATATATTGATTGATCAAACATTCCAACCCATGGAAAAGGATTAATGAACAGGGTGTTCGCTACGAACACCTCAATAATCGATTTTTTACCATAGTTTTTAAAGGAGAATTATCGATAATTGGACGTATTTCTATCAAACGGAACTCTGTGCATATAGATATGACCCCTAATACCCATAAGAATACACGCATAACGGGGCTCACGTCATAATGCACATAGGTCTGTTTGACAGAAATACGTCCAATTAATCATTCACGCCTATCCACTGCACATTATCGAACACCCTAAATACCCTAATGATTTGTCCCTTTAATCATCAGCATTTTCAGATGCTTCAAATCATAGTTAAACTATCGGATCATCACGGAGGTGAAATAGACCAAATCATGAAAAATTATATCGCGAATGATCGATGTAATACACTGTAACATTTCAAGGTATATACCACTATCAAACGCTATACGTATCGCTTGTAAGAAGAGGAAATTACCAACAACAACAAATGGGCAACTACCGGCATTCACCGGAAACCGGGACCGCCAGAAGTTCCTTTTTAATCATTTCCGGTGACTAGAAAACCGCCCTCAGACGCGGGAAATTTGAAGAAGCGACATATTCTGAACCGCGCAAATTGCGCACGTTAGAGTGGATTTCGGAATTGTTTAATTTATCGTGATTTCGGTGCCTTTTTACTTCAATCAGTTGCGCAGGTCTCAGAATCGTATTTCGACGCTTAATTCTTGTCGATCAGCTAAAAATGTACAGATCTGCCTAAACAGCAATTTTCTACGCTAATAAATATCAACCGAGATATCGCGAATAGGAAAAATCGGCTTATGACGTCACCCACCGCGGTAGTGACAAGTGACAACCTTGGTTTCTTCCACCATCCGAGTTTCAAGTTGAGTAACCAGTTCAAATATGTATTTTCCTCCACTGGAAAAAAAACACATTGGATCTAGAGTCTAGACTCCTGAAAACATTGACAAGAAATAATATTCTTGATTCAATCGGATTTTAGCTTAAACGAAATCCGCTAAAATTAAGAGGCTTGGTTCTTGAATTAAGCTTAGATCCGATTGAATCAAGAATATTTTTCCTTGTCGATGTTTTTAAGGGTCTCGACTCTAGATCCATTGTGTTTTTTTTCCCAATGTGACTGATGAAAGCAAGGTGGAAGAACCCAAGGGTGTCACTATACCGCGGTGGATGACGTCAAAAACCCCACTTTTCAAAGGCCTGTATGTCGGTTAATATTGAACGTAGAAAGTTGCAGTTTGGACAGATCTTATTTTTAGTTAATCTACAATAATCAAGCAAAACACGATTCTGTGACTAGCGCCACTGACCCATTCACACGGATGTATACAATCTTGGGAGCAGCAGATCCATTTTCATCATGACTAGACTGCAGACGCAGTACCGCTCTCCGTGCATAGGCCCGAGTGCATCGCCAACGGAAATTCACCAAAACCACTTCTGGTCACATCAATGCAGGTGCAGCGAACGAGCGGTCAACGAACTGATTTCGGGAACGCGAATGCTAGGACCATTATAGAGCATTATTTATTATAGAGCTAATGATTCTGAAGCTCCCATCGCGGCTGATCACCAGTCAATTCCTAGGCTGTCCAAAACCTTGTGGCGTCGAGGACAAATTCCGGAATTTTTCGTAGTAAACCTTTGAAATATCAAGAATTTCATTCTCTGAGCCGTGGATTTTCATGTCCCGTTGAAAATTTTTAAGGACTGCGATCGACTGCACCTACGTGTTTTTAACTCCAGTTGAGGACGTGATGTCCTGTTTAACGTTTCATCTCATGAAGAATGCTGAAGAAGTTCAGATGTTCCCCGTACAAAAATGTCGCTGAAGAGGAAGTGTAGTCGACGTAGAAATCACTTTTCACGAATTTTTTTTCACGGCACAATTTAACTGTATAAATATACGAGTTTCGTTTAGAATCTTTGAGAAGTCAAGGAATTCGAGCATTTTTCAGATAATGCTTCACCCTCCAGTTTGAATCCCTCAGGGACGGAACCTAACATAACTATCAGTTATTTTCTGAATAAGTGAAGGACTCGCAAAATTCTAATGTTTAATCAAAGTCATTTTTTTTCTTAGTTAAAGAAACGTTGCTTTGCTGTCGTTTTTTTACTTAGACTTAACGATAACGAAACAAAGTTTCCTTCATTTAAAAAAAAACTGACTTTACGTTAAATCTGCCTTAACTCAGAAGAACCAAATTTTGTCGACAAGAAACGACGCTTTAAGCAAAATAATATATCATGACAATTTTTTTTCAGTGAAGACCGCGGAGCAAAGAGCAAATCAATTCCCGGATTTCAATAATACTCATGAAATTAAATTAGCATCATAAAAGCGTATATCACACCGCTAAAAGAGTAGATTTCGCGGTTAGTTGATAGTGTAAGTCACTTCGAATGGAAAATTCATTCCGTTCCACATCCATATCACTAGGGGTTTTGGGCATATTTGGAGTCTTCGGCACAGAATTTCAATTCAAAATTGTAACAGTGAAATGAACCGAGTCTATCAGAAAACCAACCCACATTTTCGACAAAATTGAGTTAAGCATGTTTTATAGTTTCTTTAGCCTTACATTTTCTCCTGTCTAAAACTGAAAGTCTACAAACAAAAAAAATTGTGAAAAGAAGGGTTAAAGTTTACTTTTTACACTAAACCTTTTGCCGAAATAAAACTTCAAACCTGTTTTTCTCAGTTTCAACTTAAGGTGGGTTGGTACCTTTCTGTTGAGCTCGGTCCAAATATTCCTCATAAGTCTGAGAATTTCGAGATCTAGGAAAACTCCTCACCCCGCAACGCCACCGAGAGAGACTCCGGCACAGAATTTCATCTTAAAATTTTTAATAGTGAAATATCCCCCAAAACCCTGGGAATTTTGCAATCCAGGAAAGCTCTCCACCATGTAACGCCACCAATGAAGACTTTAACTTTGACACAGAATTTCATCCCGAATGTTTTATTAGTGAAACATCCCTCAAAAGTCTAAGAATTTTGAAACTCCTCACTATGTATCGCCACCGATGAAGACTCCGACACAGAATTTCACCCCAAAATTTTTGATAGTGAAATAGCCCTTAAAAGTCTCAGAATTTGGAACTTTTCAGCATGTAACGCCACCGAAGAAGACTGTGGCACAGAATTTCGCCCGCAAATTTTTAACAATGAACTATCCCTCTCGAATCTGGGAATTTTGCAATCCAGGAAAACTCTTCACCCCTGAATTTCACCCCACAAATTTTAACAGTGAAACATCCCTCAAATGCTTTAAAATTTTAGAACTCTTCACCATATAACGCCACGGACGGAGACTCCGACATAGAATTTCCCCCCAAAATGTTTAACTGTGAAATATCCTCAAAAGTCTGAGAATTTTGCAATTCAGGAAAACTTTCTACCCTGTAACACGACGAAATAATAACCGTTCACCCGTAACTCACCAAAACTACTTTGTTCATGTTGACGGAGGTGCAGTGGAGTTGGAGGTCGACGAACTGATTTCGGGAACGGAGCACGTGGACCACAAGAACTAATGACTGTGAAGCCCTGATCCCGGGCGAGCCCCGCTTTTATAGCGCCTCCCTCCTGTCTCCTGCCGTGTCCCGCGGCTGCACTATTCGGCACTCGCCCGGCCCGATGCAGTTCAAGGCGAGGGAAAAAAATGAAAAATAAAACGAGCTGGAAATGACGGGCCACGAGCAAAAGCGTCCTGGTCACTGTGAATGGGTGTCGTGAAGACGTTGATGGACCTCACGACGCTCTCGAGTGTTTCCGGTATCCGTCTGCCGCACCCTAGCTGCCAAATTTGCAGCGTGGAATCCAAGTGCGTCCACTACACTGAAGAAAAAAAGTGTGGTAATATCTACTATGATTACATCTACTATAAGTATACTTGATTTTTGACACAGTGATAGTATTTTGTGAAAATTGCTAGAATTTAGTAGTATTCGTCAGTACTCTGGTGAAACTTACCATGATATGCTAAATGCTACCGTAGAGTACATAACAATACTCGTATCACTGTGTCAGAGTGTGGTAAAATCTACCTTATTTTTTTTCAATGTGAAAAAAAACTCCGGCCGTGGAACCCGTACATACGGGCTGTATAGACATACCGTCCGCTGTCCGGGCTCAGAGGCTGAAAGTTCCCAGGCGCAGAACCTGAAGGATTCGAAGCTACGGCCCCAGCACCCGAAATTTTCGGCCTCTGAGCATGTATGTCCATATAACCTGTGCCTTTTTTTTAGTGTCTCCTTTTATCAGCACGAAAGAGTAAAAGCAATATGTGTGGGTGTACAAGGCTAGAAAAAGGGTGTTTAGGCTGAGGTAACCCGGAAAAATTTGGGATGTATTGGGGAATGATAAGGCAAAATTAGGGGAAAAAAGAGAATCTTTCCTAGAAAACGGGAATTTCAGTTAGTTAGTTAGTTGGTTAGTTAGTGTATTTTAAGACATTCAGCGTCACAGGCTATTAACGTCTTTACAGAGAATTTTGAAAATGGGAGTAGGTATGATGCATTCATATATATATATATGAGTCGCTTTTATAGCGCTCTTTGGCGCTGTGCGACGCCTAATCGCCACAAAGCTCGGTCTTCCCACAGGTCATCAGGGAGTTGACAATCTCTTATCTCATTTAACACCCCCTGTCGCCAACCTCTCACTGGGCGCCCCCTACGTCTCCTCCCAGGAGGAACCCAATCAAGCATCTTTTTTGGCAGCCTCTCTTCCGTCATCCTATTGACATGACCATACCAAACAAGTTGTTTGGTCATGACGTCGAACACGATGTCATTTTCGACTTCCATTATCTGACGCACTCTATCATTACGGACCCGATCTCTCCTAGAAATTCCTGCTGACCTTCTCCAGAAATCCATCTCCGTTGCTCTTAGCATATCCTGTGTCCGTTTCTTCAGCTGCCAAACTTCACATCCGTATGTTAATATACTTTTGACTACAGCGTTGTATATCCTCCTCTTGTTATCTTTGGAAATCCGCTGATCCCAGAGGATTCCATTTAACATCGCTATAGCCTTCCTTGCTAAGGTGTTCCTTTCCCTGATAGCTTGATCCGTCCTTCCATCTTGGGTCAACCGCACTCCCAAGTACTTAAAGTGCTCGCAGCCTTTGATCTGCTGCCCATCCTCCAACTCAATGCTTTGCTGATCACCGCCAAAAGTCATCTTCTCAGATTTGGATATGCTGACTTCCAGACCCCACTTCCGATACTCTTCTACTAGCTTGCGCATCATGTATTCCGCGTCATCTTGATCTTGAGCAACCACCACCTGGTCATCAGCAAAGCACAGAGTAAACAGAGTTTCGAGATCACCCAAGGGGACACCCATACCAGAGCATTTCTTTTTCCATTCTTTTAGCACGCACTCGAGATAAATTTTAAATAATGTTGGCGACAAACAACATCCCTGTTTTAAACCCTTAGTCACATAAAATCCCGCTGACAACCCCCCATGGCACTTAACTTTGGTAAAACTCCCTTTATAAAATCGCTTAGCAGCGTCAATCAACCCCCCGTTAAAATTCGATTTTTCCAAGGCCTCCCAAAGTTGACATTCATGACATTCATGACCATTCATGTGTGCATTCATTGACCATGTAATATAAGAATACATCAGAGATGCTTTTCGAATTAAAAATTTGAATGTGCACTAAAGATTTCGCAGATTATCAATAAACTTTCGGGAATGCGCTTTTGAAAATCAGGGGAAAATAAGGAAATGAGCATGTTCAAGAATTCTTGACACCATGGGCTATATCAACACCGTGCACGTCAACCATGGGCTAAAATTTTAACAAAACATCTCAAATGTAGGACGTTTAAGCTCTTCATCACATGCAGCTGCAAAAACTATCAAAATTACCAAATAATTTAGGAACGGCCTGATCCCACCCAAGTAGCGCAGACATTACTACATTGGAATCACATGGTAAAAACATTGCTATTGTATCGGAGTGTGATGTATATTGTCAGTTTTCTGATTGAAGGGGCTCTTGTAATTGAAATGTATCGCAATTCTATTTGAATAAGTTGCAATTTTTTTGCATTGCAAACTACCTGCTTTTCTCGCGCATGGAACACATTTTATTATTACTACTACTCCTACCAATAAGTCGCTCTTATAACCACCACTGACAGCCATCTTGTCAGATCTCTTCTGGCAGATCGAATCTCCTCATTTCCTGCCGTAACCCCTCAATCCACGATTTTGCAGGGCGTCCTCTACATTTTTCGCCAGGGGGGACCGTGTCCAGAACCTTCTTAGGCGCCCTATCATCTGGCATCCTTTTCACATGCCCATACTAGACAAACTGCTTTGCGAAAATGTCATGCACTATGTTGTTTTTGACGCCCAAAATTTCGCGTACCCTTTCATTCCGAACGTGATCTTTTCTTGACACTCCGGCCGATCTACACCAGTAGTCCATTTCGGTTGCCTTTAGAATGTCCATGGGACCGTTTCTTCAACTGCCATACCTCGCCGTAAGTTAATATGCCTTTGATGATGGAATTACATAAATTCTCTTTTTGTTAACTTTGGATATAGTCTGGTCACAAAGAATACCATTCACCATTTTAATGGCTTTCCTCCCCTCCAGATTACGCTCTTTGATTGCCTGGTCCATTTTGCCATCCGATGTTATGCACACCTTGGCACTTATATTGTAACACATTTTATTACTTTTTTAAAATCGGTTTTGCTCCGAAGATGTAGTATATTGAAATTTCATAGGAAGGAAATGTTTCATTGCATTAAATTTGAGAACTACTTCTCTCAATAAGTCGCATTGTGCAACATGTGGTTGTTATGATGGAACCTCTCAATTTCTGACTAATTTTGTGAAGCCCGTTTTAAAGGTGGTTCTTGCATCCGAAAAGTGGTAAATAGAGGGCACCTTCCGGAAGATCTTTATCTCCACAGATTCCAGTTCCGGTCGGATGTTGCAGAGCATCCCCAGTGTGCCATAAAAGCGACACCTACATAAATGGACTTTATTTGCATTTAATCCATGAAATTACTCATGTGCTTGGGGAAACTAATGGCACTTGCGTTGTTTCTAAACTAAGTCAAAAAATCTAGTTCCCAATTTAAAAATGTAGTCCAAATGAAAGCCTGCGGCAGCTCGACACGTCTTGCCTTTTTAGTTTTGTTATGAAGTCAGTGTAAACCTCTCCTTCCCCTTGAAGGTGCACTTTAAGGAAGCCCATACCACAGACTGCGCCCATCAATCAAAAAATCATAAAACACACCCTGCCTTCTGTAAAACATACAGGGGGTCCCAAACTATGTGTGCCAGGCTATTTTCTCTGATTTTTAAGTCTACCGAGGTCGAAGACCGCTTGAGACAATTGGAAAATTGACGGCGAAGAATTCGATTCTGACGGCTCCAAAGTTGTTGAGGGTCTCCCTGATGTACGATAGCAGATGGTAATCCTGAACTTTCTAATGTAAAAAGTCTACGGCTTGGCTAGTACCCCATCAGCGAGGCCCCGGAATGTTTTGGGACCTTAATACTCAGATTCTTTGGGGTCAACTAGCATGAAAACATCCTTTCTATGGAGGGAGGCTCTAGCACTCAACTGCTGTGGTCAGCATATCGAACAGGAACCGGTAGATTTTAGACCGGGCCGCCCTGCGAAAAGCGAATGTTTCAGGAAAGACCATGAGCACGGCCGTAAGTTAATTGGAACCGTTTTTTCCGTCAAGAAGGCTAGGTCTACGGAATATTTATGTAGGTCTAGGTCTAATATCTAGGTCTCAATTTCTTGAGATATTGTTTTAACTTGAAGCGTTGTTTCCTGTCCATAATTTTTCTAAAATCAATTCCGTGCTGATTCAACTTAAATTCAGTTTTTTTGAGTCAAAGAAACGTTGTAATGTTATCGTTTTTTGAACTTGAACTTGACGGTAATGAAATGACGCTTTTCTAACTCAAAAAATTGATTTTAAATTACACTGAAAAAAAAAAGTAGCTTGGATCAAGCATGATAATTCTTGAATTTGCCGCCAAGAATTTTCTTTATCTTGCTTTAAGCTGACTTTTCCTCGATTCAAGAAAAATAATGCTTGGGTTAAGCAAAAAAGTAGCTTATATTAACCAGCAAAATTCTTGATTTACGAAGAAATACTTCTTGGCGGCAAATTTAAGATTCCCTTTTTCCAGTGTAAATCTGCACGAATTCAACTTAGAAAAATCAAATTTTGTCGATAAGAAACGACGTTTTCAGTCAAAATAACATCTCAAGAATTTTTTTTTTCAGTGTACCTGTATCCCTCGGTGCACTCGTCGAACGTCCGCCAATCTCATTTGACATCGCTGTCAAGTATGTCGAGCCGGCCGGCTGACTAATCGCCGTTTGCGTCGCACAAATGCAAACAGGAGTTCGGAAAAGGAATCTGAGCGCCCCTTTGTTTTCGGTGAATAGCTCTCGAGGTCACGCGGGGTAAATCGCCGTCGCGCTGCCGGAGTCCGTTCAATTACGCTCCTAATCCACGTCAACTTGACGTCAAACGCGACGCTTTAAGTTTCAATCTGGCAACCTGGATCGTGAGTAAGTTGGACGTATTTCTGCCGAACGGAACTATGTGCATTCAGACATGAGCCCTGAGACTCATAAGAATATATGCATAACAGGGCTCACGTAATAATTCACATAGTTCCGTTTGGCAGAAATACGTCTAATTGGCGCTCGCGTCATCGAGATGACGTTGAGACCCGTGCTTGGAACACTTAGCGCACTCGCTGCCGTGCCAAGGAAGAACGCCGTTTGAACCTTTGTGCGTTGCCAAATTTCTGTCGGGGAAATACGAATTTCCTGGAAAATTTGTGAAAATTTTTCGTCCAATTTTCCAGGGAATTTTCCTCGCAGTGTGACTTAAAGTATCAGAAGATTCCAAGTAGAGATGTTCATTATTTGTCTCAAAAATTAATATTCCAGGAAGTGAAATTTGGCAACTCTCTGCTGTTCATGCGGCGTTTTTCCTTAGCATGGCAGACAGGCTGGGTAACAATCGGTATGAGGGTTTACTTACCAGAGATGAGCTTGTGACGTCACTAGAGGACCAAATGGGGAGCTTGCGGACATATCGGCATCTTGAGGCTTCCATAACGAAAATTGGACGTGCTGAGGCTGAGACCAAGATCTCCAACTACGGCTACATGTTGATATCTGCTGATACTTTACCAGGTCCATAACTGCTTTGTTTAATACTCTCACAATTTGCAACCGTTATAACCTTTTACACACTATACTCGTCTCAATATGTTCATACCCACTTTACCAGGTCCTTTTTCGATAACAACTCGCAAATCGCGATCTTTTTCCACGATGCCCGTCTCAATCTGTATAGATGTCGAAAGCAAATAGTCAAATCAGGCATTTTGTCATAGGCAAATATTTTTCTTAGATTTAAATCTTGATTATTTTCCTAATTTTAAGAGAAAATAAATCGTTGCTTCTGTAAGAAAGAATTCTCTGTAAAAATATGCAGCGTACAGAATTTTTTTAAAGGATTCTTTGTACCTGAGCGGACATTTATCTTGAAATTTTCAGAACGTCATGAAGCATAGAAGTTTTACAATTTTAGCATTTAAATGGATAAGAGGCATTTATAAAGGAAGGAACGAGGAGAATTTGCGGATTTGAAGTAATATTCTTCCCAAAATATTGAAAACCCTTGAACTCCTCGCCTTAAATTTATAGAATTCCGTAAACAGTCACTATTGCCTAGGCATTTGATAAAATGTCTAATTTGACTAATTGTCTTCGACATATACCTTACTAGCTCCACAGATTCTTTGTTTAAAACTCTCACAATTTGCAATCTTTTTGCAGTATACCCGTCTCAGAATGTTTCAAATCAGTTCGCCTTAAAATCTTTCAGAATTTTCCACGCCGCCTTTAACAATAGATTTTTCTATCAATGAATCTTAGCAATATAGGTTGTCTCAAATTTGAGGGATTACCAAGTTTCTGCTTCTGACAAGGAAGCTCATACTTTATTCACCGCGTGTTCGTGTAGGTACTACGCCACGAAGAGCACTGATGCCGATTGCACTAATGAGAGAGATATTGCGTCAGGTAGGATTGAAGGGGCAACGGCGACGCGTGTAAAATGGTGCGATCACACACTCCAGCTCTTCTTAAGGTCGCTCCCCTGTGGAGGGCGGGTGAAATCCAGGAAGCCCTGCCCCGGAACATTTTAAATATTACCTATATTTAAACGCTAATTTCAACAGTTTCGGTGTCTTTTTCTGTAACGTGAACAAATAAATAGAACCCGGTATAGACTGCTATTTTCAAGCGGAGTGGTCAGCCGGACCACGTTTAGCCGAAAGGAACCAAGCCACATCAGCTATTGTCAAATTTACCTGGGCAATTTAATTTTTTACAAGAGAACCTTTGTCCGAATTCTTTTTAAAATTTCCAGGAAATTGCCTCTTGCTATGCAGAGAATTTACTGAAACTTGCACTAAAAACCGCACAGCAGTTTCCACGTAAACAATTAAATTTCTGCATTAAATATGGCAATGACCTATGTGGCTTGGTTCCTTTCTACTTAACGCGGTCCAGTTAATAATTTATTAATTTGTCCGTAAATGAAAAGTAAACGAAAAAACTTGAAAAATTGCGAAACGAAACGTAGTAACGAAATGTAGAATGACACCAGGACAAAAGTATTTGACGAAGAAAATGTTTGACGGATAATTGTGTGTAGAAACAGAGCGACACTAGAGAACAAAAACGCACTGTGCTGTTTGTACGCATCATTTCAGAACATATGAGACCAAAACTGCGTGTTACGCGTACATTACCATGAGAAATAAGCTTAATAAATGAATTAATGAAGCTTGAGTAAACTTTTACCTATGAATTTTGAGGAACCGAATCGCTTAATTTCTCGTTGCCGCCTCATTGCAACGCACACATTTTTGCACCGCTGCACACCGCTAGCTAGCAGTGGATAAATCTCTGCCAGTTGCAGAGAAAAAATCATTTTCAGAAATTCTGACTTCTTTGTTGCAAGAATGTAAGTCGGGTGAAATTTTTCAGTGGATAACACATGTGGACTGAGTTAAGCAGAAAGGAACCAACCCACATTTTGGAAAAAATTTAGTTATGAGTGGTTTTGAACTCAACCACTGCTCTTCTATCTATCGCCAAAAATTCAACGTTTTTGTTGGAACAAATTTTGCAGAAATTGAACTTGAAGTTTATATTTTACATTGAGTCTTATGCAGGAGCTAAACTTTAAACCTCTTTTTCTTGGTTCGATCCCGATGTGGCTTGGTTCCTATCTGTTTATCTCCGTCCATGTTTCCCTCTAGCTTTTCATACTCCATAATTTTGTGGGCAGGCAAGAAATTAGATCCCACGCAGATGCTGTGAGATACTCATCATTGCCAGCTTTTGCATCATGGTTGAGGTGTGTCAACCTTCTTGTGAAATCCCCCGACTGGCGAACGAACACTTGTCATGAGTCGAAAAGACATATTTTGAAAAACAAAGTGGCGGTTTACCTGACTTCTTCAGAGTACAGAATTTCAATCCGACGTTTGGCATTGAAGAAATAGCAGTAGACAAATAAGCTCGTTTTAAGTTTAACGGTCAGCAGACGTTGCGCAGAGTAAATTGAGTTCGTATTTTGCATCCCTAAAAATTAATTTACCGCCTGAACTGAAGACATCATTAGCTTTCTGTGCATGAACCTTGTTTGTCAAATGGAGTTGGTCCATTGTTTAAAGAACAGATGCCACTTGTGGATCTTAAGAATAAGCTTCAAGTAAGAAACACATAATATATACATGGCATTGCTTAATCGTAATTTATTGTCATTGGAAACAAGTAAAGGGCGAAATATTGAATGAAATAATAAATAAATTTACCCGTTCAACCAGGTGTCAATTTGACAAATTGATTCCATAATTTTAATGAGATAGCCTCTTGAGTTTTTCTAAGGGCAAGGAAAACACGCCAAACTTGAACAAAATTGTTAAAAACGATAATTTTCTTTACTTCATTGAATAAATAAATAAATAATTAAACGGTACAATATATACAATCAAGTAAAGCAAAACATGAGCAAATTCAGAGAAACGGAAAAACGAGTCTTAACACATCGATGAATTTATTTTACACTGGGAAGTTGACTCGACTAGATGTTCTCTGATAAAAATGTTTCGTTGATTCGCTGAGAAAATATAAAGATCAATGAGACTCTTTAATACTCCTCGAAGACAAATCGGACTACATTTTGCAATTCGAAACTATAATTTCTGGATCATTCGTTAAAACACTCATGTGTATAGGGACACTAATGACACATCGTTGTTCTTAAACCGGGCTGGAATTTATAGTTCCTAATTGCAAAATGTAGTCCAATTAATCGTAAATCAGCTAGATATCGTTTTACTTTAAACAAATGATATTTGTCTTGAAATAGCGGAATACCTTTGGTGGGATTGTTCATTGGAGGCTCCTTTCCATTTAAGAACAAAGTACGTAAGCATTTCTCCACAGTGTACCATTAGACAAATAAAGGAAGGTTCAAGACTACACTATTCGAAATAATGATATGAACCTATGTTGAATATAAGTCGAGTCAAATTGAGACCAAATCAGGGGCCTTTTTAAGTAATTAAGTCACGTAACAGTCGCTTTTACAGCGCTCTGTGGCGCTGTGCGACGCCTAACGCCACAGCACCTTGTCGTTCCACAACCCCTGAGGGGTTAAAAGTTAATCCAGTTAAAAAATACATGATTAAAAGTTAAATTTGAAAGACATGAAGAATCAGAAAGAGACTAATAAATAGAAATATAGGCAAATTTCACTCGAAAGTTAAGTAGGAGTTGACCCGATCACGTTTTACAAGAGGAGGGTGTTATTTTTACCAATGTACACAGAAAAAAATAGATGGTGCTGACCACAGAACCTTCTGTTCACAGGGCTTCTGCAGTTTCTTTGTTACACTTACTGAATTTTCTGTTGTGAGAACAGAACTTTGGTCGTGGGAACAGAATACTCTGTTCTCATAACGGAAGCTTCTGTGACTGTTACAGAAGAAGTGCAGGAGCCCTGTGAACAGAACTATTTTGTTCAGTGTACAAAAACGATTGACTTGAGTGTTGTATTCATGTCACGAAACCCTTTCACTTGTCATGCTTCAAAGCTTCCTTTCCCTTTTGCACCCATTCTCCGACTTTATCCTTAGTCGCATCCCACCCATCTGCGACTTTCTCCTTGGTCGCATCCCACCCTTCACCGACTTTCTCCTTGGTTGCATCCCACCCTTCGCCGACTTTCTCCTTGGTTGCATCCCACCCTTCTCCGACTTTCTGCTTGGTCACATCCCAGCCATGTTTGACTCCGTCTTTCGCATCGTCATAAGTTTCCTTGGTTTTGTCCGCAGCTTCCTCTGCAGTGTCCTTGGGATGAGAGAAGAAGCCTTTAATCTTGTCTATGACACCGTCAGGCGCCGGAGATGCGGATGTCTCAGTCGCGATCTGAAAATAGTAAAATAACTTCGTTGCAAGGGTCTGCACTGATAAAAAATTCACGGCATTTTTACCGAGGTCCGTTGGTACCATTACCATCTCACTATTTTTTACCAATTATTGGTAATTTTACCGAGACAGTCTGGTAAGCTTACCTAAAAACCGGTATTTTTACTGTTTTTTTCAGGTGAGAATACCACTTTCATTGGTAATCAATTCCCGGTAACTTCGCCATTTTATCTCGGTAATTCTACCACAGTTGATAAAAAATATTGGCGTTTTCACCAAGGTCCAGTAAAATTACCGAGAAAGTTCAATAATGTTACCGAGGTTTCTCGGTAAAATTACCAATTCCAGAAATGGTAATTTTACCAAGAAAAAACTGGGATCCAATAGAACCCTGAATTCTTGGTAATTTTACCCTTTTCTAAGTAAATACACCGAGATTTTTTTTTCAGTGTGTATTCGAATCTCACTCATAGGTGTTCTGATGAGCTTCGACGTCCATATTACCCAGTGGCGGGGCGTGTTTTGCGATTTATCGGTTTTACCCCATTTGAAGCTATGGTTAAGAATCGATTATTAAGGTGTTCGTTGCAAACACCTTGTTCACCGATCCTTTTCCATAGGTTTAAATGGTAGATCGATCACTTTATCGCAAAGCATGCCCACGCCATGCTACGTAATTTGGACTACATTTTGCAATTTGGATCTATAAATTCTAGCCCGGTTTAAAAACAGCGCACGTGTCATTAGTTTCCCTATGCACTTAAGTGTTTTTCCAGAAGAGCCAAAATTTATAGTTCCAAATTGCAAAATGCACTCCATATTACCCACTTCTCAAGACTCGCCAAGCCCCTGAAAGCAAGGTGATTCGATGGAGGCCATTTTTTGTGTCAGAGTGACGTGCGATGTATCGCATCGATTTGTTCCATAATTTCAGCTACTTGTCATTTTTTTTCGAATTTTGAGATCGCACTTCTGTTGTCATGAGACTTTAGAATTCACTCACCAAATTTGACAAAGAACTTCAACGCAATAAGGCGCTGTTTTTTTAGAGGGAAAATATCGCATTCGAGTGCAGTTTCGATATCAGTATCGAATGCTATATTTTTCCTCTAAAAAAACCACGCCTTCATTACGTTGAATTTCTTTGTCAAATTAGGTACACGAGTTCTTCAGTCCCATGACAACAGAAGTCAAAATTTGAAGCAAATGGCAGCTGAAACTATGGAACAAATCGATGCGATATATCCCACGTCGCTTTGACGCAAAAAATGGCCTCCATCGAATCACCTTAAAGACACTCTAGATAGACACTCAGAGGTGTGACCGTTCCTTGCCGGCATGCAAACCAGAAACAAGCGGACTCAGCAGTTTGGCAACACCGGATTTCCTCAATTTAAACCAATGCTAAATAATCGATTCTTGTCAGAGCGACAGGACCTTCTAAGGATCGATACATATCCCTAGGTTTAAATGGAGGAAAGACAATGTTGTTAATTGGCTGGATCCGCCAATGCGGAAATGATACGAATGGTCTACACTCAGAAATTTCAAAAAAATTTGGAGCTGAAAATGCTCGAACTTTCATCTTAGCCGCATTCTTCTTCCAAATTTAGGGAGCCCTTAGGCATACCGACGGCCAGTTGTTACTTGTTACAAATTCAAGTTTGTAGTAAACGCCACCCCAAACAAGGGTGAATCTTAGTTGGGGGCTTTGTTACTTTTTTTTTGTTTAGCATATTTTATTTTACAAATTTGTATAGTATTTTGTTAAATTTAAAAAAAAGGCAGAATAAATTGAACTGAAACTCCCACAAAACCGCTAAATGACCTCTGAACCCTTGAAGCATTCTATGGGTCGCCGCTATTATCAGGCCCTGACTCTAATCGGTTCATGTTTACAGAAGCTACTGATACATTGTCATTAGGAACTTACGAACTTATCAGTTAAATATTGCAGGGAAGGATGATGCAATGTAAACGTCTGGATGAAAAGGAACAGTAGCAAACGATAACTAAAAATTGAGTCATTGATACCGTGGCAATCATAGAACAGACAATTGCTTCACATTTTTGGACGAAAGAACGCTAACAGTTTTAAACCAAACCGGATTTTTTTAAGTTTATAGGGTCGCCAGAACGTCATTCCGAGAAAAAGATTTTATAAATATGATTTCTCATGTTTAGGACATGAAATCGATGGATCGCTGAGTTATGCGGTACAAACTTTACGTCCACATTTTGCACCGAACCTAACTACACAGCTTTCAGCGTATTTTTATAACACGACTGAGAAGTATCGTTTGAAGCCTTAAATTCCGCATTTTTTTACCTAACCGTATAAAAAGCACTCTTTGTAAGTCAAATGTGCTCTCCATGGATCGAGGTCACTTTTCTCGTGTAAAACCACAAGTTACAATTTAAATATGTTTTGAGGACTTAGACTCGATTTTTATCGGGCTCTGAATAGCCGAAGATAATAGTCCAAATAGTAAAAAGAATTTTGATAATGCGATATTAATTTTAACGTTTAAACGCACAAACGTTTGAATGTTAATTTAATTAAAAAGCGGGCCCCTTAACATACGTCACGTAGCCATGTGACACGTACTGAGGCTCATGGGAAATTTTCAACTTGTCCATACCTGTGTAAATCTACCTTGAGTGCACCCTAGCCTTTTCACCAATGCTCAATGAAAACTCGATTTGATTTCAATGATGATATCTTTTTCTCCTTAAGTATAGTAACTCAAATCTCTCGCATAGTGAATCACTCGAATTAATTTTTTCCGCGTCACATGTATCACTCTGCCGTGATGAGGTAGAACGCCGTATTTGCATTCGAGAGTTGCCAAATCTTCCTCGATAAAACATGTATTTTTGACAACATTCATGCATATTTTTCCTTGAAATTTTCAGATATTTTAGATTAAACTGCGCACAATTTTTTTTGAAAAATTGAAAAATAATACTCACAATTTTTTTAGTATTCTCAGTTTTTATCGGAGGAAACTTGGCAACGTGTGAAGGCTCATACGGCATTCTTCCTTAGCACGGCAGCACTGTCAAACACGGGGGGAAAAAACACATTGGATCCAGAGTCCAGACTCTTAAAAACGTTGACAAGAAAAAATACTCTTGATTCAATCGGATTTTTGCTCGAATCAAAACGAAATCCGCTTAAATTAAGAGGCTTGGTTCTTAATTTAAGCTAGATTCTGATTGAATCAAGAGTACTTTTTCTTGTTGATATTTTTAAAAGTCTGGATACAATGTGTTTTTTTTTTCAGTGTTGACAAGTAAAAGTACTCTTGATTCAATCGGATTTTTGCTTGAATCGAAACGAAATCCGCTTAAATTAAGAGTTTTGGTTCTTGATTTAAGCTAGATTCTGATTGAATCAAGAGTACTTTTTCTTGTCTATATTTTTAAGACTCTGGACTCTAGATCCAACGTGTTTTTTTTTTTCCAGTGAAGCGAAAACATTGGACTACACTTACCAACGCAACGATGAGAGAGAGAGCGAAGAGGAACGTAGGTCTACGATAGAAGTTCATTTTCACGACCGAAATCTTAGTTTTGGAACAAAATAATCAGGAACGGACGAAACTTTCAAGTGAGCCGCGTGTTGAAGCAAAGCCACTCGTTAGACTGAGATATTTGTCGGGTGTATCGCGGCTGCTACACGCGACACGAAACATAAACACAAAAAGCACTTACTAATTACACCGCGCGCGCTTCTCTGCAATTCTGTGCGCATTACTTCCGAGTACCTGCAAGGACCCCGAATCAGGCGGGGGTATCCACGGGTTATCTGCTTGGCTTGATGTGGAGTCGTATCAGTTTAATTAAGATCGAGGACATCGGCCAGGGATGCCAGTTTTGGGAATGACCACGATGAGTTAATAGCGGCATTGTTCTCTTGCCGGAAGTTAGTAATGCTCGTGAGGTGTCGTGTGCCATTCAATTTTTTCACGGATTCGTGCGGCTGTTTTTTTTAATCTATGTATTTCGTGCCACTAGTGTTGGTATTGTGTTAGTTCTGGGTGATGATAGTAGAGTACACACAGGGTGTCTACCGGTCCCCCAAAGTCCCCAATGTCCCCGATTATCCCCGAATTTGGAAGGGTGTCCCCGATATCCCCGAAAGTCCCTAATCATCTTGTTCAGGTCCCCAAATAATTACAAATTCGTCCTAAACATCGGCATTTTCAAATTTTCCAGCCAACCGCGGCGCCGCGGTATAACCATGAATAAAAATTCTGAAGTGTTGCTCGGTTTTTTATATGTTTTCATCGGTTCAACATGGCTTGTAATATCAGTTGTATAAAATACGCCTTTTAACGCTCTAACTAACTCCTTTTCTCTCACTATCTCGGGAAAAAAAGTCCCCGATTTCCTAGTCCCGTTTTTCTAAAATTATGACCTTTGCGTAGTTTTATCGAAATTCTCCCGCCGGAGATATCTGATGATTGTTTCTATATTTTACCTCTAACTGTGCACGAAACTAATTTTTTCTGTATAGGTAGCATGAATGAGACCTACATTACGCGTTCTCTACAAAAAGAACGTATGCCGCTTCACGCCCGTTTACCAAAAAATGATTTTTTTTCAAACCCAGTACAACTTTATATTCTTAGAAAGGTTACATCATTAGGATTCAAAAAAATCTTTCTCTGAATGCGAATTTGTCGAAGAATTACACGATGAAAGCACGTTAAAACTACCTACCTTATTTTACTTTGTAGTTCAAACTTCAAGAAATCTCACTAAAAGTACATTAATGATATGATTATCCATAGAAACCTACGGAATAGATTCCTTCACATCTTTACTGATTGCATCATCAGGATGGTATTATTTTAAAATGCATGAGTGTGGCCTCATTACTGTAAGTAACTAACACTGCTCTTGGTCAGAATGAGTGTGATTTTTGGCGGATTGTGGTCATTTGATACGGTATTTAATACGGATGACCGTGGCTACATTACTGAAAGCAACTATTACTGCTCCTAAGCCGCTCAAATTGCCTACTTTAGTTTTGAAGGCGAACTTGTCAGGACGAGCGCGCAACGATGCACTGTTGACAGTAGTCCACTAATTCAATGTTAAATGCAAATGAGCGTTGTTTTTGAGGTTTAACTGGAGTGCGAATTTGCTGTTTCTAATACACAATGAAATTAAATTCTCATCTGAAGGGCTGGAGGACAAGACGATCAAATGCAGTTTTTGCTAATCAGCAGTTACGTGTTTCAAGTTTCAAAATTACACTCTTTCCCGCCAATCCGGCCAATTGTTGAACATAAGCTATCTTTCCCAGGATTTAGATTTTTTAAAGGTCTTTGATCATCTTCCATCAAATTCATTCTATACGCAACACAATTGTTCTAGTTACGAACATTCATTATACATTTATTAACAACCATACATTTTGCTCTACAGGTTTTCAAAATTGTATTATATTATCGCAACTGTTCTAATAAGAAATTATTGCAGTTTCAAAGGGCTCACTACTTTGCCTCACTCAATCATTGGAGCCTCACGGCGGAAAACAAATTCAAACTCACTTCACGATGCTTGAAAACTGGCTTTGAACAGTGAACATTTTTCTTATAGATTTTTCTGTTAGATGGATATCACACTACTACGGCCGTTGCAAGTTCCCTTATCGTTAGGTGCTAAACATGTACGCATTGAAACCCCAAATCATGGTGAATGATTTGTAATCGCGAGTTAAGCAGGTATCGTTTGATTTTCGCATTGTGACTTATAACCACCGCAGTATTCGTTACTTTCAATAAGTCTCTCCTCCGCACTCCCCTCCATCTTGTAGTATCAAGGCAATTGAACGCTGTTTGGTTAATTTCTTCAGGCGCTAAGTCTAAGAAGGTGGTAAGTTCAACACAGTGGAATTCATGTGAGGTTTTTAAGGTGTAGCTACATAAGTTGTTAGCACATTCTTTTACGCTGAGCAAATTTACGGTCAATTTCAGATTATTAAGTCAGGAACATCAGCTCTCCTTTCAGATCATCATAACCTTCCAGGTTATCGTCACCTTTGAAATTTCTGAATTTATCACTGACGGTGGTCGGAAAAATGCAGTTTCTTTTACATTCTAAGTTGAATTGAACGTCTTGTGATACAACACTTATTCACTTACGTTTTCGCCCAACTTATGTATCTCCGTTATCAGAACATCATTCCCTAGTGTAAATATTACCTTGCGGTGAGCTAACCATCACCTTGCGGCAAGGTATCGGCCTTGCCATCCTCTCCGAGCCCTATCCGAGCCAGTTCAAGGAACTCGACTACCGAGAATAAAACCGTATGACAACACTGTAGACCCAAATCCAGACGCAGGGCGCGAAAAATGCGACACAGCATCGGGAAATACCCCGTGTTGGGTTTGATTTTCGTCTCCAACGTTGCCATGCATAATTATTCCCAGTCGTTAAGTTCCACGAACTGACCCGGCGAGGGCTCGGATAGGGCTCGAAGAGGGTGGCAAGGCCGATACCTTGCCGCAAGGTGATGGTTAGCTCACCGCAAGGTAATATTTTCGCCAGGGGACATCATTGATACAGTGGATATCGGATATAACGACATCGGTTATAACGACATATCGGGCATAACGACGTAAACTGGTCGGTCCCGGCTGAAATCCCATTCATTCAATGTATTTATGTGTTGGTTATGACGACATCGCATATAACGACATATCGGTCATAGCGACGGAGTTTTCGCGTCCCAACAGATGTTTTAATCGTTTATAACGACCTGAGCGAGCCGAAGAGGAGAGGATCTCGTTTCCAGACGCCCTAGCAGCCATCACAACTGTTCAAAAATACCTAATATTGAACCCAGAATGGATAACGATTCCACTTTATCACAATCTTTACGTTCGGCCCATAGGGCATTACAAAAAGGGTACGCGAACACAATTGTGAAGCAAAAAAAATCACGGACTATTATTCAAATTAGAATTTTTATATACTTCTTCGGTATTGCGCATGCATTCGTCGGCGACCGCGCATATCAGCGTAAATACATTTTTACGATTTTTCAGGAGAGCGGAAAGAAGATTTTGCAATGTTTCCGCGCTTCGAAATTAGGTCCCTAATTAAAATTTCGAAGTGATTTTATCAGACATAGAGCCAGAAGACTTACTACTTTCAGGATATACAGGGTTATTCAAAAGTCACGCACCACTTGCCACAACTTTAGTTCTATTTATGATATCGATTTGCCGTTTAAGACGTTTTTCCTCATATCGAGGGGGGAACTTTTTTAGGTACTTTCCAGTTTTTGATCCCCTCGGGGGAGGGTGGCGGGGCGGAGGGCAAATAAAAATTTTCAAATGCCCCCCCCCTCCCCTACTGGCCAGTGGTGCGTGACTTTTGAATAACCCTGTATAAGCAAAATTTCGAAATCAGTATTGAAACAAGGTGAAAACCCGGCTTCAAATATATTTACGCCCCTATGCGCGGCACACGGAGTGGTTAACAGGCGCGATATGCCCCTGATTTCTAACAGTCAGGCAGGGGTCTTTCCTCTTCTAGGTTTAGCCATCGACCATGTAGCTAATCATTATCTTATCATTCGATAACAATAATTGTTTTAAATTATTCATTTGTTTATTTGCTGCCCATAAAGGTATTTCGTTCCGTAAAAAGAGTACAAAAAGGCATTTGAAATTATACGGAAATTTATTTCAACTTAGAATTTTTCCTCCAGTAACAATTGCAAAGATTGTACCTAAAACTGCACATGCAAATGTACATCATCCGCACAAAAACTCGCCTAAAACTCACAAGTGAGGGATCGCGATTCAAGTGATTCGATCGGCCGAACGGTGGTTTTTGCACCTTTCGGAGCCTCCAAAATCACGCAGTGCACATCATGCACACAAAAACTGGCCTTAAAACTCAAAAGTGAGGCATCGCGATTCAAGTGAGGCATCGCGATTCAAGTGATTCGATCAGCCGAACGGTCGTTTTTGCACCCTTAGGAGCCTCCAGAATCACGCATTGCACATCATCCACACAAAAACTGGCTTAAAACTCACAAGTGAGGGATCGCGACTCACTTGATTCGATCGGCCGAACGGTGGTTTTTGCACACTTAGGAGCCACCAGAATCGCGCATTGCATATCATCCACACAAAAACTGGCTTAAAACTCACAAGTGAGGGATCGCGACTCACTTGATTCGATCGGCCGGACGGTGGTTTTTGCAAACTTAGGAGCCACCAGAATCGCGCATTGCACAACATCCACACAAAAACTGCCTTAAAACTCACAAGTGAGGCATCGCCATTCACTTGATTCCATCGGCCGAACGGTGGTTTTTGCACACTTAGGAGCCACCAGAATCGCGCATTGCACATCATCCACACAAAAACTGGCTTAAAACTCACAAGTGAGGGATCGCGACTCACTTGATTCGATCGGCCGAACGGTGGTTTTTGCACACTTAGGAGCCACCAGAATCGCGCATTGCACATCATCCACACAAAAACTGCCTTAAAACTCACAAGTGAGGGATCGAGATTCACTTGATTCGATCGGCCGAACGGTGGTTTTTGCAAACTTAGGAGCCACCAGAATCGCGCATTGCACATCATCCACACAAAAACTGGCTTAAAACTCACAAGTGAGGGATCGCGACTCACTTGATTCGATCGACCGAACGGTGGTTTTTGCACCCTTAGGAGCTTCCAGAATCACGCAGTGCAAATCATCCGCACAATAACCGGCTTGAAACTCACAAGTGAGGCATCGCCATTCACTTGATTCCATCGGCCGAACGATCGTTTTTGCACCTTTAGGAGCCTCCAGAATCACGCTATCATGTATTTTGAAATGTAGGTAGCCAAGTGCTAGAATTAATATAAGGCCTCGTCCACACGAGCGCGGTTCACGGAACTTAGTTCGAGGATCTTGTTCCCGGAACAAATTTTAGCTGAGCCAAAAACTTATTCCTCCAAAACCCGGAACTTCCCCCGTACTCTGAGCTTCTACATATGTTTCTTTTGATGTGAATTAGTTAGTTCTTGTTTTTCATGTCCTTTACATGTCTTGACATTTATTTTTGTTACTTTGGCGGCCGTAATAATCTATTGTTTTGCAATCATTTTATAGTTTTATTGAAGTTCCAGTGTTGGTTCGGGCGAACTCGTGTGGACAGCATGCCTCTTTTTAAGGAACAAGTTCCGGGAACTGAGCAGTTCGTCGAATTAGTCCCTCGAATCCCGCTCGTGTGGACAGGGCCTCTAAGTTTGGATAGGAAATACTCACATTTTATCGTGTGAATTAGAATATCAGGTCCAGCTTTTCGAAGCCTCATCGTCAGAGTTGTGTTATAAAGTTTTTACGATATTCGCTGAACTCGAATCTATCACGTAAATGAAATTTTCACAGAACGTATTTGAAGATTAGTTTTATTTGAATCCATCAACACGTAATTTTTTCAAAAATCGCAGTTATGCGCCTTGTCCTCCAAGGCTCTTTTTTCCGAGTTGACTTTACAATTTTTCAACGTGTTCACCGAGTTTGACGTGTTAGAATTTTAATGCGGAAATTTATCTTGCGATGCTTTCATCCTTACTTTGTTTAGTGGTCCATAAGATGTGGATGCAGAAGTAATCTGCCTTGAAACGCAAAAATGCCGTAAACGCCATTCTGAATTTTCGGGGAACAATGTATTATGGCAGAAAAACTCGTGTACCTTGGGACAATGTTTTTACAGAATTCTTGTCCAAATAATACCAAGAACTTAACCTGAAAATTTGAGGTGCATGGGTAAAACAGTCTTTATTTTATGAAGTGTTATGTTCCAAAAAACGCGGGAAAATCTTGCTGGAGTTACGGCGTTCTTGCCTAGCACGACAATGTTAAAGTGCAAGCTATCATCGGAGTAGAATCTGCCGGACAGAGTGCGTCCTTCTGGGCTCTTCTAATCCTATGATCGATGCTCCTTTAACCACGCCCTCGAACACTGCCGTGCTGAGGAAAAACGCCGCATGAACCTTCAGGCGTTGCCAAATTGTCTTCGATAAAACACGAATTATCTGGTAAACTTATGAATTTATTTTTCTAACTTTTCAGGGAACGATAAACCACAAAAACATAGCCCGAATATATGAAAGATAAGGATATATAAAGAAGGAGATTTAATTAAAATATGGGTAAACAAGGCTGAAAAATTATTGAAACACTAGGTGGTTACGTGATAACGGCTGGGGTCAGGCCGCCACTCAATTTTTTACTTGTTTTATGTGTTTTAGCGGCTGAAAATGAGCTGGCAACAGCTCGAAACGTACTGCCTTTTAGTGTTTCAATAATTTTTTAGCCTTGCTTACCCATATTTTAATTAAATATCCTTTTCAGGGAATATTGTTGGTATTTTGATCTAAAGTTCCTGAAAAGTTCAAGAAAAAATATGCATAATTTTTCTCAAAAACAAATGTTTCATCCAAGGAAATTTGGCAGCTCTCGAATGTTCATACGGCGTTCTTCCTTAGCACGGCAGACCAGTCACGGAGGATTTGTGCGAGAGAAGAGAAGATTTATTGCGTGTTGTTATGAAGAGGGATTGGAGTGAGCAGAGCATCAAGCTCCGATGAATCAAATCGTAATCCACTTACAATTAGCATCAGCACGCCGCTAATTATAGGCTCGTAGTGGCAACGAAGTCATTGATAGTGCAACTTCATAAAGGAATACAAATTGCCGCGACGAGAACATTCAAATTCGATAAACATCAGCTATAGGTGTGTTCTCAGGTTCCAGTTTTGCGTATAGCCACCACTGTTTGAAACTTACTTAGGAAAAAAAATCTGTTTGGATCTAGAGTCCAGACTCTTAAAAACATCGACGAGAAAAAATACTCTTGATTCAATCAGATTTAAGCTTAAGTGAAAAGGAAATCCGCTCAAATTAAGAGGCGTGGTTCTTGAGTTAAGCTTAAATCTGATTGAATCAAGAGTATTTTTTCTCGTCGATGTTTTTAAGAGTCTGGACTCTAGATCCTATGTTTTTTTCTTTTTTTTCCAGTGCGCGGCCAAACAGATTGAATGCCTAACTGGAATATTTCGGGTAGGCAGGTTTTTTGAAGAAGGTTTCTGTCAACATTTCAAGTAGCACAGCGCAATGAAAATATTAAACTGAAATCACGATTTGTAGTGCACTAAAATTGCAATTTTTTCCCCCATTGACGTACATTTTTCTTTATTTATTTTTGCACACCAATTGCTATCAAATCACACGAGGTCTTAGGACGTTTTCGCATTTCCATTTTTGGACAGTAAACTTTGCAAGAAGCTACCATCAGTGAAACTGCATTGCTATTATAGTGAAAGTCACATGTCAAGTATGAATGAACCAAAAGAAGATCATAATTTGAGATTTGCAGAAATTTCCCAGTTATATGAGCAATTTTTGGCGTGACAGAAAAAGCTACTTCTGTTGTCATTTTTTACTTTATTTGTTATTTTATTTTTGCAAAAACATGAAGTTGCACACTGTAAAGAGGGTTTTAGTGTTAATAGTATGTTATTTCAATTGGTGATTTTCAGTGTTTTTGGACGTTCTGGATTCTTTATGGCATAGACACGTACTCTTCTAGACGGAATGACTGACACCTCGTGCATTCTATCCATCAGGGAGTTTATTCTATCAGTACTCAATTGCAGTTTTTCGTTACTGGGGTGTCAAAAATAAATTCCAAAGTAGGTACCACTCCCAGTTATTTTTTGAGATACTAGAAAATGTGCTCTCTAGTAATTCTATTAAGCGACTTCTGACTAGACTACAACTTGTCATCAAGACTACCCTCGGAGAAAAATTTAAGGATCTGGAAATATGTACCAAGAAAAAACGGTTCCTATAAATATACGAAGACTTCACGTTAACAAAAAGATCCAGTCAAGATGCGTTAACAATAACATTTATTCAAATAACTCCTTTACATATTGTGCGTTGTAAAGTAAAAAAAGAAACACTTTGAGAACTTAACAATAATGTGAAATCCTGAACTAAGCAAGATAGTTGTTTTCCAAGTTTTCGCCCCGCTCTTGAAGTTCCAAAGCTTCTCAACTTTTACGATTTTCGACTTGGAAAGTAAACGGTGCGGCGATATTGGAGGGTTTATACGCGCTCCGTCTGATCATATTTCTTGTAGAATGTCGATGGTTCGCTTGAAAAACTGTGTATAAACAATTGGGAAACCTTAGAGTCACAGTTTCAGCGACGTCCATAACGGCGACCTCCATATCCACCATAGCCGCCACGGCCGTAGCCTCCACGACCGTAGCCACCGCGATGGTATTGTGGTTCAGGATTTGCCGCTGGCACAGGTTCCGGTTCAGGTACAGCCGAGACAAACATGGCCATACAGCTCATCAGCACGAAAAACAATGTTGTCTGAAATCAACATTCAACATAGCACATTTTAGCAATCAATTCAATCATTTTTTTCAGTCGCTCTGACATTTTAACACCAGTTTTAGGTGATTCGATGGACGCCATACTTTGTGTCAGAACGGCATGCGATATATCGCATCAATTGGTTCCATTTTTTCAGCTACTCGTCAATTTTCTCCAATTTTGATATCGCAATCCTGTAGTCAGGAGACTTAAGCACTCACTTACCAACTTTAACAAAGAAATTCAAAGGTAATAAAGGCGTGGTTTTTTTTTTGAAGAGAAAATATCGCATTCGAGTGCAGTTTCGAAATCAGTATCGAATGCGATATTTTCTCTCTTAAATAACCACGTCTTTATTACGTTGAATTTCTCTGTTAAAATTGGTAAGTGAGTGCTTAAGTCTCCTGAAAACAGAATTGCGATCTCAAAATTGGAGAAAAATGGCGAGTAGCTGAAAAAATGGAACCAATTGATGCGATATATCGCATGCAGTTCGGACACAAAATATGGCGTCCATCGAATCTCCTTAAGCCATCAATTATTTTTTTTTGTTCTTTGTATTATATATTATCGAAATATTGTTATTCGTGATCGGTCAAATCCAATTTTATGCGCCGTAAAATTTAACACATCGAAAAAAAGAGGAAATGGTTTACTATTCTGGATGTATAAACGGTGTACGTTATCCGCTACAGTAGTTGCTTTAGCGATGCCAAGATGTAAAACTAACTACTGTGGTGGGTTATTCAACATTTCATAAGGTCTCCGGTACTTTTTATACATCCAGCATGTTACATCAACTTCACCTCGTTTTGGGTGCACACAAGAGGTTATTAACCCAAAATGAAAATTCGATGAAGCACACAGAATATAAATTACGGTCTCTGTGGAACTGTAAAGTTTTCACTCCAAGTAACTTTTTCATTCTAAGTAATTGATGTCATCCGCTGAGGTAACGGGAATTTCAGTCTCTGGAACCGATCTCGCAGTTCAGACAACCGAAACTTCGGTTAGTCATACCAGTTGCAAGACTCGCCGGATTTCTGGACTCACGTTCGGTTCTCAGGCCTGAGAAACATATTTTACTTGGACCGAACAGTATAATGCTCCATTTGACATTCAAGTTCCTCTTTAAAAAATACCCCCTGACACCATGACGGTAACAGTCAAGTTTCATACGTTAGTGCGCCTTCAATTACATTTGATACCGTGCAATACTTTCGTGGTGGAATAGTTGCATTGGCGCCTACAAACCTAACAGGGATACTGCATGCATTGCGCAATGAGTGAAGTATCCCTGTTAGGTTTGTAGGTCCCAATGCAACTATTCCACCACGAAAGTATTGCACGGTATCCAATGTAATTGAACGTATTTAACGTATGAAAATTGTCTATTACCGTCAATCACTGTTTGCGAAGTGGTAACTTCACGCCGACCAAAACATTTTACAGGGTCCAAATTTTCGAAAAAGATGCTCATGATATAATCACCGTGTTTTAGCGCACTTTTTCGATGGCTCCTGAGTTTTTTTTTAGGTCTAGAGAGATGATATTGAAATAAGTCGAAATTCACGATTTAGCTCAGAAAAGTGGCAACGTCGCAGCGTGTCAAAATTATCAGAAGGGGAGCCTTGGGAGTATCTTAGCTACTAATTTCAGACTCTGATTACAGTTTAGGCAACTGTAACGTTAATTTATCGAGAGGGAAAAATCATAAAAAACAGTCAAAATTCGCCATTTTCATGCGTGAAAATGGCAACCGCGCGTTGGGTCAAAAGCATGGAGGGGGTCCAAAACTTCACTAGGGTGTAGTTTATGAACTAATTTTGCCCTCTGTTTAATTTGCAGACCCCTCCGACTTAATTTTTTGGGAGCGAAAAATTACCGAAAAACAGTAAAAAATCGGTATTTTTGCGGGGATAGGATAAATCGCAACTGCGCATCGGGTTGATTTTGTCTGATTGACCCCAAATTTCATTTTCCGTGTTTTTGAACATGCTGTAACCGATTTAGGGGGTTACGGCTATAAATTTCCGAAATTCATTTTTTGTGGGCCACCCTACTGTGTAGTCCTCGTCGCTGAGCAGCGACGATTTGTGTGTTATTTTCGAAGCTTTCAAACCTCGTAACTTTCTTAATATTCATTTTCGACACTTGAAATTTCACAGTTATCTTTCTCTATTAGTGCCCTAACTAGCCTCCGAATTTCATCCCGAAATTCAGCAGCCCGTATGCGAAAGAATTTCGAAATTATTGACTCTGTCAGTTGATGACCTTTAACAACACGTATAGTGTCACTTTCATATGTATATTGAATATACGCGTAGATTCGGCGCTTTTGCCGGAAGTTTGAAGAATGAAAAATTAGTGAATTCTAAACTTTGGGGGAAAAATAATTGTGTTCTAAAAGAAGCTGAGGAAAAGGAGGGACCTTAATTTCGAGGCCTTTTATGAAGGCATCTAATTGAAAATGACGTTATCATCAGGGTATGAGAAAATTCAACGGTTCTTAACTACACACACAGCATGCCACTGATCAGCACAGAGTACAATAAGGTTTTACCAAACAAACATTAAGACAATAATTAGGTTGCACTCCGCAAAAAGGGTGTTCAATGTTGAGCTCATTCACAAAAGCAAGTACGAAGTATGAATAGGGATACATGCATTTTACTAATCGAATATACTAAAGAAACACTGTTAATACAAATAGCCAGTAATCGTAGTTCCTGATTGCAAGACCGAAAACGTGGACCTTGTTTGAATTTCTTACAACCTGACCAAGTAAAGTGAACCTGAATGTGCGATGGAAAAACCGAAATGCGATTGATATCAAGTCGGATTTTTTTTTTTAAATAATAACGCGTACATCGGATTTTTGACAGCAAAAATGCATTTTACATAAAGATCACATAAATTTGATATAGTTCAGGTTATCTTTTCAGACGTAAGAGTGTATATGAATTTTGGGGTGACCTCTATCCTCCATACAATTCTATTGTTTTGGGCTTAATGAAACTTCAATTACTACCTTATGTCAGAGTGACGATATGTGTGTCGACGGAAGAAATAAAATTGAACTCCAATCAATTTCGAATATTGAAAATAACAAAATAAACTTTCAAGTTGCAACTTTTTATGGCAATATACTCTCTCCAGTTCCGCATTTTACTCCGATATTTTTAAAAGTGTAAGTATCCGGGAATAAATACCATCAGGTGAATTTGCCCTAAGTAAAGTAAATTAAAAAATTAAATAATTGGACGAAGATTTTCTTCTCGAAATGTCAGAATTTGTTTGTTCATAAATCAGTTAGTTTTAAATTTATATCGTTTTAAACTTTCTAAAGTCATTCAAGTGGGTGCACTCCGTAATAATTTCTATTATTTCAGGCTCACAGAAGCACGATGAGTTTAATTCATGAAGAAAGCTTAGTTTGACTAGACTTATCAAACGTTATTCTTAGGTATGTCACCTCAAAGTTACCCTAAACAATGTCAAGAGATATTATTCGCGAACTAACTCACCAGAAGTTGAATTTTCATCTTGAAATTGATTCACTGAGTCCCACTAAGACAAGAAAGCAATCGGTCGTCACTGGGAAAAACTAGTGCTTCTGGATTGGGAGTCGGAGTTTATATAATGCGGGCAATTTAACCATCGCACGTAGGCAAGGGCGGAAAATTTCCAAGGCAGATACGTTTTTGCCAGAAAAAAAGGAAATAAATTAATACCGGGTCGGGCCATCACATTCTTTTTCCGGTGCAGAATTGTCTAATCGAAAAAATTGAACAATTTCACTCCTTTCGCTCTTCACGAAATTCGATCGTGTACTTGTGAGAATTGACACAGTTAGTCTGCATGGGAAGATGGGAATGAATACATGGATAATTGGACTACATTTTGCAATTTGGAACTATAAATTCTAGCCCGGTTTAAAAACGACGTATGTGCCATTAGTTTCCTTATGCACATAAGTATTTTTTCAAATGAGCCTGACTTTATAGTTCCAAATTGCAAAATGCAGTTCAATTTTTTTACTGCGTTGCCGGACCAAAGAAAAATGAAAGAGCAACCTTGGTCGCATTCTCTAACATAGAAAACGTGTAACATGTGAGTAGCGTCCAGATTCCAGAGGTTACGAACCAATTTCCTTTCGCAGAAAGGAAGAAGTTCGTTAGAAAGGTCGCCAGAACAGCGCTCCTATTCCATGTCCGCCAAAAGTTCCGGGATTTGAAACTTTTTTGTTCCAATTTCTCACACTTCATGACCGTTAAAAGTTCCACAATGGAGTTGTTGCATGTGTGAGGGATTTGCGATTTGACCATTGATTCTTATGTAAAAGTTAGCGAGAAACACGATGGTGCCACTGGTTTTCTCCGAAATCATCTCCCAAGCTCAAAAAGAGCTCTCAAAGTGAGGCCAAAATGGAGGGGATATCCCACGCTATCCTGAGAGTCCACCTCTACATCAAAACAAACTCTCCATGCAAAGATAGGGGGCAAATACATTAGCAAGGTTGTCTTGTTTTCAGTCTTGGAGTCCCCAAATAAAGTGGCAGCCCTGTCAATGCATTTGCTCCCTATCTTTGTATGGAGAGTTTGTTTTGATGTAGAGGTGGACTCTTAGGGTAGAATGGGATATCCCTCCCATTTTGGCCTCACTTTGAGAGGTTTTTTTGAGCTTGGGAGATGATTTCAGAGAACACCAGTGGCACCATCGTGTTTCTCGCGAACTTTTACATAAGAATCAACGGTCAAATCGCAAATCCCTCACACATGCAACATCTCCATTCCGCATGTTAGAAAGGTCGTCAGAGCAGCGCTCCCATTCCATGTCCGTCAAAAGCTCCGAGATTTGGAACTTTTTTGTTCCAATTTCTCCCACTTCATGACCGTTAAAAGTTCCACGATTCATTTTAGATTTTTCAAAAGTACCAAGAAAGTTCCGGAAAATCCAAAAGATACGGCAAAGTTCGGGAATCTCAAAAGTTCCGGGATAAATCGAGGAAAATCTCCAAAAGTTCCGGAATTCGGAACTAGTTCCGGGAAATGGGAGCACTTGCCGGAGTTTAATGCATTTTCTCCTAAATTGCATGTCTACCTTCTATATGTTCCTTTTTTTAACAGGGGAAGCTATATTGCCGCACAAGTTACGATCATCAAAGTTTAATTTTTATTTAAAAACGCGTAACTTGTGACGATTTATTCGAGTTAATCAGCAGATGCGTTTCGGGTATGCGGACCACCATCGGTGCAACTCCGATTTTTTTTTTTTTTTTTTTTTTTTTTTTTTTTTTTTTTTTTTTTTTTTTTTTTTTTTTNTTTTTTTTTTTTTTTTTTTTTTTAATTTATTTGGTTTCTTTCTATTATTCTACAAATGTGATTTTCTCTTGTAGCTAGTTGCAAGAATTTTAAATTTGAACGAGACCTTTACCGATTTCGATAATTGGTTTCGTCCAGTCTACTGGAATAATAGTTAAATTAAATTATATACACGAGGAAAATGATCAGGTGCGGTTTTTTTAGCAACCTTTTTCGGCAAACAGAATCGAGTGCCAAATTTAATCTCGCCGCACAGTGGATGGAGTCAATTAAAGATGTTAGATAAAACTTGGAAATTTTAATAGCTCATAACTCCATTAAACCTTCAGTTTGAGCCAGATGAACCCGATAAGTTTGAGAATTGTTGATTATGAATAGATGCTGATGAACGTGGTCCATCAAAGTTCCATGAGTATTAAGGCTGGACGATTGACCTGATGAATTTGAGAATTGTTGATTATGAATTGATGCTGATGAACTTTGTCCATTACGGCTCGTTCCATGAGTATTAAGGCTGGAAGATTGACCTAATAAATTTGAGAATTGTTGATTATGAATAGGTAGATGCTGATGGACTTTTTCGATTAGGGTTCGTTCCATGAGTATTAAGGCTTCATATAAGAATCATTTTGCGCCCTTAACTCAACAAAAAAGGCCACCTAATTATGTGTTTCGTGTTTCTGCCTCATTGCGTGTTCTAAATAACGTGTGCTTAAATCACGCTATGTGTGTAATTTGGAGAGGGTCCAATGATATTCCCGCCAATCAACGAAATTCTTTTTCCGTCAATGTTGGAAACCGACCTTTGTCACCAAAAGAAATCTTAATTATGTCAACTTTTTGCTCATTCCTGCAAATATAACTTTTAATTGTCAATTCACCATTTTTCTACCCTCTCACTGCAGCTGTCGAACTTGCCAATAGTGTAAGAAATATTTTCTTAGCATAATTTGCACGAATATTCAATAATGCGATTACGGACTTTGACCATTTTTCCTCCTTGACCTTCAAAGAGAATACTTGAATGCTGATAACAAGGTGAGTGTAAGTTTCCCCTAGCTTTTCGGCAAGGACAAGCAAATTGCCGCATAGTATAATACAAATTCAGTGATCCCTCAATTCAAATTATTCTTGGCAGTTTCTGTTTTTTCTTATAATTGAATCGGTGCGTGCGAAACCCGCTAATGTCCATTTTTCCAGTCTTCAGTTTTTTTGAGTCGATAATACTTTTAAAGAGTCGATACAACCATAAAGTGATAAAAGGACTTGTTTTAGGATTAAGGAAATCCAAAGACGATTTTTAACGTCACTTTCGTGGTTGCATCCAACTCCGAAAAGTACTATCAACTCAAAAAAACTGAAGACTGGATAAATGGACATTAGTGGGTTTCGCACGTCCCGAATCAATTTTCATGTTAACAATAAAATGGTAAAATATTAAAAACTCGCTGGTAAGAGGGAAATTTGGTTAAGATCCGACGGACAGTCCGGAACGTACCTGGTTACCGTTGACAATTTCTGGATTTTAATTACACAAAATAACTAGACAGACGTTAACTTATTACCAAAATTTATTTTTTATAAAAATTTATGAAATAAATTACTAATTGGAGAAGTCGCAGTATATTACAATGAAGGAAATAAATTAATTCTTTGATCAATTCCAAATCCAGAGGATAGATAGCACCATTATCATTTGAAATCGAAAAATGTGCACTCCAGCGTCTGTCGTTCAACAATATCACAGCACAAATAATAAGTCTTCCTTATGTACACATTCTCGGAATGATACGTTGATTTTTAAGTACTTCAGTTTCTGAGGTTAAAAATACGCTCTTTACTCGTAGATCACTTTGTTCAGTCCAGAATTTATCAGCAAACGAGGTATTCGGAGAACGGGCACGCCAAAGCTCTCCGCGGAGGTTCTCGGTGAAGGTTTTCGGGTTGACGAGCTCCTAGCCTCTCCATCCGCCTCCGTGATGACCACCGTATCCACCGCGATGACCACCGTATCCACCGTGATGTCCACCGTATCCACCGTGATGTCCACCGTATCCACCGCGGTGTCCACCGTAACCACCGCCGTAACCGCCACCGTAGCCGCCACCGTAGCCGCCACGGCCACCGCCCCAGCCGCGAGGATCAGGGTTGGGCTCTGGTGCGGCAGAGACGAACATGGCCAGGCTCATGAGCGCGAAGAAAAAGGTGGCCTGGAAAACGAAAAAGAAAGGGAAAGGGGTGTTAGAATTTTTTTTTCCATGCTGGTTTAATAGCTTCGTGTCTAGCACCTTCAGCCAACTTTAGACAATTTTTAGTGTCCGTAGACATCGAAGAAGAGGAGAAGAGTCAGTTCTTACAGGAAATCGCTCAAAAATTACGATGAACACATGAAAAAGTCGGAAATTACACTCCTATATTGACAATTTGCGTAAGAAATATGTGTTTTATTTACGTGTCCCGCTTCAAAAACGATACTACAGCGCAGGTGAACATTTCCCCAGAGGGGTCGTCCCATCCATCCCTTGCTCACTAGGATGCTACACAATATTCAATATCGTCGAAGCCAACTGCCGACGAAATCTCACGCCACATGACGGGGTATAATCATTCGGCGTGTTTATGTTTAGATTTTCCTAGCGTTGGTGAAGACTACGGTGCTTCTTTCCGATTTGCGCGCGGAAGCATCAGTCATGTTGAATATTGTGTAGCATCCTAGTGCGCAAAGGTTGGATAGAGTGGCTCTCTTACGACATGTTCACCTGTGCAGTATTATCGTTGTTCATAAGCGTGGAGCTTTAAAGAACGCAAACTGTGAAGTTAGGAGTGTATTTTAGACTCTTCCAATGCGCTCATTGTGATTATGAAACCCCTTCCTGTAAGAAATGACTGTCCTTTCTGCTCTAGCTGAAGTTTGTAACTTTTTTTTACGATGAAAACAAAATTATTTTTCATTTAAAGACAATTTTTAAAGTGAAAATTTTTATTAAATTTTTTTTTCGGGGGAAGAGGGGTTGGTATTGTAACTCAAAGTAATTTATTTTTTTTTTTTCCTGAGAAAACGCATTTCGCGTAATCTAAAGCGAGGAAATTTAGTTGCGGTTCATTAGGGACTAAGTTTTCTGGCTCAACCCAAAAAACACTGAAACATGCTTGGGGAAACCAATTGTATACACGTCGTTCTTACTCTTAACCAGCAAGAGTATAGTTTTTCATCGCAAAATTTAGTCCAAATGTTGTAGTAGGTACATTGAAATGAAGCGACTTTAGTATTAGCATAAACGAAAAATACACGTGGGTTGGATGCAAGTATTTGATTCATGAAAATTACAATTTTATTTATCTCTTTCATTTTATTTATCGTTTGTACTTGAGGCGGCTGGGATCAAAACCTGCAATCTTTATTGCGCTTTCTACGACATTGGCATTCATTTTATTTTATTTTGAAGAGAGGGGGTGAGTTAAAATCTGTCTACTTTTTTTTGCCGCTATATTGTCAGCCTTACGTAAGACATCTCTAAATGTTCGCGAGAAAATTATGACAGTACTTCACGTAGGAAGTCTTACTGGTAGTTACTCCTTTTGAAAAGAAGAAACATCCAGATTTTTAGACGTTGGAACAGAGCTCTCTGCATGGCTTCATCATCGGCAGTTTTCAGTGAATTGGATTAATCAATGCTGCCAAGAATGGTTCTTCGGTTACGTAAGGTAGAAGAAGTAAAACGAGTTAAGTTTTACGACGCGTGGGGAACACATCCATCCAATTCGCTAAAAATGGCTGATAATGAAGCCAGAAGTCTGAAACCTGTTCAGGGAAATTGTTTTAAGTGCAAATGAGTTCGCAAAAATTTTATTCTTTGGTCAATGCAGTAATATTCTTGAATTTGAAAATATTTCCTTTTGAATCATAAAAAGTGTTTATATCAGACGAAGACACACTTCATATCAGTTCCCTATTTTTATCACAAAATAGACACGCTAATTCTGTGATCTCTAATTTTCTCCATCAAAATGTTCTTTCTCAAGAGATCTAGCGAGCACTCACACCTCATATGTTTAGAGTTAGTACGAGACATCATAACTTCAATGTAAAATACTTAAATGCGATGAATTTTAAGTTTTTGTGTAATGGAGTTGTACGTGTGAAGGTAACTGCAAAATCTGATATTTAGTATACGGCTTTTTGCGGTAGAATACAGCGGAATAAATGCATGAACTGCCACGAAAAGTATATGTTTTGGATATTTTATACTCCTCCTGCCAAATTATTCCAACAACTCTCCAGCTTCGAGCTAGTATTCACCGGAAAAATAGTCGAAAAACGTTTTTCCTACACCAAAACAAAAAAATATTCCCTTGTATCCTAAAATAATTTTTATTGTGAATGGAAGGCTTTTCTATTCAAATGAGTTTCAGATCTTTTTTTCTTTTTTTAAGGAAGTAAATTTTAAATCGATAATAAGTTACACTTCTTTGAAATAAGAAAAATAATAAATAAAGGAATTAAATTTTTACCAAATCACGCATTTTATTCCTTCACTGAAAAAAAAAAAACACATTGGATTTAGACTCCAGACTCTTGAAAACATTGACAAGAAAAAGGACTCTTGATTCAATCAGATTTAAGCCAAAATCAATAGGAATTCCGCTCAAATTAAGAGGCTTGGTTCTGCATTTAAGCTTAAATCTGATTGAATCAAGAGTATTTTTTCTTGTCCGGACTATAGATCCAATGTGGTTTTTTTCCAGTGTTTATAGTATGTAACTGACAATACGCGATTCTCCAGTTTAAAACAAAAAAAAACAACCCCTTTGAGTTACAAAACGAAAATAAACAATAAAATAAAATAAAATGATTTTAAAAGAAAGTTCCCAAACTATTTTTCCAGTTTTCACTTCACATCAAATAAAATATCCTACTCACTATTAGTCGAAAGTCCATCGTCGATCAGATTCGCAGCTTCTAACCAGGTGAGGAAACTAAACGGAGGGAAACTGTTGACTCCGGTTCGTGGACCGGAGTTTTTATAGGAAACAGTTAAAACGATCCTCGGTTTGATGTGTCGAACACGTTTTTTCAGTCACGTGCCCGGGGGGCGAAAAATCCCCCAGTCAAAGACATTTTGACCCGTCATAAAGCGGAGAGGACTCATTGTTGGCCGTGCCAGATCGGGAGGAGTTCCTGGAAATTTCCCGGTTACAGCGGTGTATACTGCCGTGCTAAGGAAGAACGCCGTATGAACATTCGAGAGTTGCCAAATTTCCCCGGATAAAACATGTATTTATGACAACATTCATGCATATTTTTCCTTGAAATTTTCAGTTATTTTAGATTAAATTGCGTAATGAGTTGTCCGAAAATTTTGGAAACTCATATTCGCAATTTGCCCAGTAAACTCGGTTTTTATCGAAGGAAACTTGGCAACGTCTAAAGGTTCATACGGCGTTCTTCCTTAGCACGTCAGTATAGTATGCTAATTCGATGATGCAATCTGACTTCTGTTCAGGAAAACCACGAGGATGGCAGCCGCCGGAGTGCTGGACCCAACGCCGAGGAGGTGTGACTGACTCGTTGGGATTGACTGATGACGCATTCGAACGCACTGCTGTCAATTTTCGGAGAATCTCCCCTTTCAGCGGGAATTCTTCAGGTATTTTTATGATTTAACCAGTGCTGCCGTGCTTAGTAAGAACGCTGTACAAACATTCAAGACTTCCTAAATTTTCTTGGATAAAACATGTTTTTTTCAGGAATATTACGCACACTGGAAAAACAACTCATTTGATCTAGAGTCCAAACTCGTGAAAACATCGACAAGAAAAAATACTCATGATTCAATCGGATTTTAGCTTGAATTAAAATGAAATCTGCTTAAATTCAGAGGCTTGGTTCTTGATTTAAGCTAGATTCTGATTAAATCAAGAGTACATTTTCTTGTCGATGTTTTTAAGAGTCTGGACTCGAGATCAAATGTGTTTTTGTTCCAGTGTATGGGACGAAAGTTACCGATACTAACTCCGGACGCTAGATAATAACCTTTTTTATGTGCGAAAATTCAAACTTCCCGCTCATGGAAAACACAATGATCTACTTGCGTTCAATCGCACACTAAACGTTACCCCGTGTTTGGAGGTATTTGAAGTGTAAAAAAGAAGAGAAAAAATAGTTGATGTAGCTCAAAATTACCTCTTACACATTGACCCCCAAAATGTGGCTTGGCTCTCTTCAGTGTAATACGGCTTAAGAAGACAACCATTTTTTTTTTCTATGTAAAAAAACCGCGACCACTTTTAGATTGTGCCTGCTTTTTGGTGCTTAAAACTCATTGGATCTAGAGTCCAGACTCTTCAAAACATCGACAAGAAAAAATATTCTCGATTCAATCAGATTTAAGCTTAAATCAAGAACCAAACCTCTTAATTTGAGCGGATTTCCTTTTGATTTAAGCTTAAATCTGATTGAATCAAGAGTCCTTTTTCTTGTCAATGTTTTCAAGAGTCTGGACTCAAGATCCAATGTGTTTTTTTTCCAGTGCATGTTTTCTCTTGAAATTTTCAGATATTCTAGATTGGATTGCGAATAAAATCGCCCGAAAAATCGGAAGAACGCACTGCCGTCAATTTTCGGAGAATCTCCCCTTTCAGCGGCAGTTCTTCAGGTTCTTTTTTGAGGTAGCCAGTGCTATACTGCCTTGCTAAGGAAGAACGTCGTTTGAGCATTCAAGATTTGCCTTTTCTCGGATTAAACATGTATTATTGAGGAAAGTTGTGCATTTTTTTCTTGAAATTTTCAGATATTTTAGATTAAACTGCGAACGAAATCGCCCGACAAATTTGAAGAAAAAGTAAGTTGAAATAGTAAATTCGTTTTGTTTCGGAGGAAATGTGGCAACGTCTGAAAGCTTATGCGGCGTTCTTCCTTAGCATGGCCGTATGACCGTAAATATTGAAGATAAACGTATACATTATGTTTTTCTTTATTGAAGATGGAGAATTTTCACGGAAATGTTTATTGTTTCATCTGAGAGTGCTGAAAGCGCTGAGTTTGCAGTATTTTTCTTCCTTAGCACGGCAGTATCACACAGGAATATATCGTATAGGAATAATAAATACAGGGTTATTCAAAAGTTATGCATCACTGGCCATAACTTCCGTTCCAATTACGATATCGACTTGCGGTTTGGCGTCCTATGGAGAAGGAAACTTTTTGAGGTACTCTTCGGTTCTTCAACCCTCGAAAATTTCAAATGGCAACTCCTATCATTTGATACATCGTTAGAAAGAGCGTAAAAAAAGAAAAGTTTTGGCGCCAACCCGGTAGTCGACCCGACCCCCCTATCAAAAGTTAGGGGAGTCCAAAGGTTATTTATTGGGTCCGTGCCTTCATTTTTTAGAGTAGGTTCGGCGGCTCTTGGACATACCGTTTCTTTTTCAAAGAGTCCTCGAAAACTACAAGTCTGATAACGAAGTCTTTATTTTGCCTCCGAGCCATCAAAGCGCCCCTATGAGGGGGAGGGGGGATGGGCCTATTGAAATGAAAAATTTCATTAAAATACGAAAAGTCACAAAAGAGCTCCAAACTTAGCATCAAGTCCGAGTGCATCTTCTTGTCAATGTTAATGACTAGGACGCAGCCGATGAATTGAAATAATGACCTAATGGATCTCCGGTGTTATAGATATTGTCAAGCAACCAAAATAACACAGAAGGAAAAGAAGTAATCAAAACTGTTTCAATAGGTGATAAGAATGTATACTCACCGTAATACATTAGGTGATTAAGATTTTCGTTTTGTACGGGAAAAAAATAAAATGAAAAATAATTGTTAAAACAATGACATACTGACCAAGTTCCACACTCATGTATAGAGAGGTCATTCACTCCTACAGTTTCTCACTGCTTGTAACATGCCGACCGCCATAAGGTGACCAAAAACAGGGCACGGCAGGGGTATTTCTAGCGGGATGATAATTGAAATTGAACGTACTTCTGCCAAACGAAACTATGTACATTAAGACAAGAGCCATGAATTTCATGAAAATACGTGGGTCGTTTCAAATAAGCGTTCATATTTGAGACCACTATTTTTCCGAAATACTAAAAATTAAAATTTGTTGAAAACCTTCGGTGTGATATTTTTTGTGGCATTCAAGACCTCAGGAATCAGCTTTAAGCAGTGGTGTCGAAAAATTGGCCTTGTGGCATGTGGTCGCCTTATTGGCGCAGGTTACGGTAATGACGGTTACGGTAATGACGAAATTTGTTGTTTTTCGGCGATAAAACACACGAAAACTCATCAATGTTAATGAAACTGCATATTTGAGGTAAGGACGATACGTTACAATAGAACATGCTGACATTTTAAAATAAAAATGAATTCTTGCCACATTTTTCCATAGTTACGGTAATGACAGTAGTAAGTTACCCTTAAACACAAAATTCAATGTAAATAACACAAAATTACTCATAAATTTGAAACAAAATGTGATAATAACTCTCCATGCACTCAGCTTCCGAACACTTGTTGACTCAATTATAAACACTGTTGCTGCTGCCCTTTAGCGGCTAAGAAAACTCTTAAATTCGGCGGTTACGGTAATGACACGAAACTCAGTAACAAGCATAAATCATTCAAAAAATGCCGAAATAGTTGGATTTAAAACCTCTTCTTGTGATCAAATATTCTCTAGGATATACTGAAACTAATAATCCGGCTGAAAGTCAAATCAGTCAAACTTGTCTCGGTTTTATGATAGGCTAAAAATACCAAATCAGAAAAGTAACAGGTTACGGTAATGACATTTTGGACATTTGGGGCCCAAAAAATATTAAAAATGGAAGATTTTTGGGAAGAATGAGGTCCGAATCAGATAGAGGGTAAAATTTTGAATAGGAAACAAGAAGAAGGGAAAAAAAATCAATCAACTCGATGCAAAAAATTGGAAGTAACGTGGAATATGAAAGCTTATTTGAAACGACCCACGTACGTAACAGGGCTCACGTCATAATGCACACAGTTCCAATTGATAGACAAATAAGAATTTGGCCTGGAACGGCGAGGTGCAGAGAACAACGATGACGAGAACTTGAGATGAAAAGGAGAAACGCGCGGCGGTCGGCATGTAACACATATTAGCGCCTACAAGACTGCATGAATACCTCACGCATTGCGTCAAAGACAGTGCAGGCAGCGTGAAACGCGTAGCGCCTACAAGACTGCATGAATACTTCACGCATTACGTCAAACACAGTGCGGTCAGCAGCGGGCAGCGTGAAACGCATAGCGCCTACAAGACTACATGAATACTTCACGCATTGCGTGAAACACAGAGCGTGCAGCAGCGCAGCGGTCGGCGTGAAACGCATAGCGCATACCAGTCTGTAGGAATACTTGGATAGCATCTAGCAAAAAAGAACCAGCGCGATTACAGCGTTGTGAAAATGTTGCGTCTTCATAATTATCTGAAAATGTGTCTCAGAATATAAAATAGTTCTTGCTTCCCACCAAAAAATTGTCCATTTTAAAGGAAAATTATTGTGTAAATTTCAGTATGTATATTGAGTGATTTTGAAATAAAAAGAAGAATTTGCACGATTTTGAAAACACTGTAATCGCGCTGGTTCCTCTATGTTGAATGCAATCCACTTCACACATTGCGCCAAACAGAGTGCGGTCAGCGCGGCGCGACGGCGGAAGTTTAAATTATTAATCCACATTTATGTTTGTTCTTTCATAATTGTTTCGTTCATTTCATCTAAATGGAAGGCCTTGTCCACACAGAGATAGGTTTACGGAACTCAACTTACGCGCCAAGTTCCGTGAACTTTTGCTTGGAGTGTTGATAGGGCTTTTGCCAAAAATCTGTCCAACACGAGTAAACGCGTCTTATGCACCCCTCCCCCTTCGGCTTGTTCACTTGATGGTTTTATTGATGTTTCAAATCGAATGAGAAGGGGGAGGCAAAATACAGGCGGCCCACGGGCGGCAAACAAGTAAAGCCGGCCCCGGTAAGATGCCTCTGAGCTCGTTTTTTTAAAACTTCAGTTTTCCACTTACTGCTCTCTTTGCTATCACGGTAATATACCTAATTGTGAGGTGAATGATGAGACAAGTGCGTGCAACGAGGAAGATAATGCGAATCAATTTTATACGTCGCCTGCTCGCATAAGATAAGGTAGAGTCCCTTTATACTGAGAGTCAAGACAATGCGAATCCATTTCTGATTGCTTAACCGGATTTTAGGCCTTCACAGTGTCACAAACGGGAATAAAGATTACATTTTCACCAATTGCAAAGATTATAATCTGGAACGGACCGAGGAATTTCGGGTTCGAAACAACGAACGGAATGAGAGAAGGAACGGAGAAAGGAATTTAAGAATGAGCCGATCAAAGATTACGAAAAACGTACAATTTGTGTAATCTTTATTCCCGTTTGTGACTCCATGAGGGGTGTTGTCTTGACTCTCAGTATAAAGGGACTCTAAGATAATGCACTAAACTTTGGCTGACTAGTGGCATTTTAAACTCCTCAAAAAATGCAAGTTGCTGACCTCACTTCAATTTTCATACGCAACGGAGTCAGTTCGGTGTGTGTATGCTTTGTCTATTTGATTTCCGCGAAAATACTCGTTTAAATTGAGCAAGAGTGAACATAACATTTTGCGTTCGTTTGCAACAAATCTGCGAAGGAGATTAAGCATGAGCACGGCGATGATGCGATGATGGGCCGGTGTTTGTGCACTGGAAAAAAAAGTCGCTTGAATCTCGAGTCCAGACTCTTATACAATGACAAGAAAAAATACTCTTGATTCAATCCGATTTTTCCTTGCATCGAAGAGCCGAGCCTCTTGATTTAGACTGATTTCCTTTTGGTTTAAGCAAAAAGTCCGATTGAATCAAGAGTCCTTTTTCTTGTCAACATTTTCAAGAGTCCTGACTCTAGATCCAGTGTGTTTTTTTTTTCCAGTTTGTTTTGAGTGGCATTCGTGGTTCCTTAAAAAGAGGACGGCAAAAGGAGATAGTGAAATATCGGGACGATCTGCGACTTCTCTGAATGATGCAAATGTGGAGAATGTATGTGAAATTGTTAGGGAAGACCCTTGTACTAGTGCACTACTGTTGCGGAAATGGACCACTAGACAAGGTACTAAGTTCAGCATTCTAGAACATGTTTCTTGACCACAATTTCACGTATAACGCGACTCGCGTGACGAAAATTACTGTAATTAACTCCCGACCCAGATATTAAATGTTTCGTGACGCGTGAATTCAAATCTCCCCCGCTCGTGAAAACGCAATGGTCTAAGTGAGTCAAATCGCGCACTAATTGTGACAGTCTCTGCAATATTAAAATCTGGGAACCTCGATCTTGACGCTTTGGGTCAGCTATAGCAAATTTATTACACTTTGAACAATAAAGGATGGGATACCTACAATGCTCAGTTGAGAGACCTGCCAAAACCGCTGTAGTACGCTATTTGTCTCACGTAGAGTATTGTGTTTCTTGTGATTGAGTAATGGAAATTTCCCGTAACCACTGTAAAATAAAATCGTTAATACCATAATTAGGAATTGATTTCAGTAGTTTTCGATGCAATACTCGTGTTTTACGTGAAATTCTTGTTCAGGAATATGTATCAGAATGCTTAAGTTTATACCTTGTCTAGTGGTTCATTGAAGTGGAATTGGATGTGCCAGCTGGATCAGCCCATCCGAAAATGTGTAGTGCTCAAAATCGCCGAGCTAGTCAAACATGCCGCTAATTGAGTAAAATTGACGCTATGCAGAATCTAATAAATATTTTTCAAAAGATCAATAAGCCCTATTCTTGTGAAAGTACAAGCTTTTAAAAAAGCTCCAGTTTAGCTCGATCGGCCCATTTTTAAGGACAGGGCAGCAAGTCCGGTAACTTTTTGAACACACCTCGTGCATGGAGTGTTGTTCAATCTGCGGGTGAAATGTCCTGACCGACAATAAACAAACACTTGTCATGACTCGAAAATACATTTTTGGAGAAGTGTAGTTTCAGACCTCCTGACTCCTCCGTCGCACAGTGAATCGAGTCAATGGGATAGGCCGGACAAAATTTGGAAACTTCAGAAGCTTATAACTCTGTTTATACACAAGTTTCTAAAAGTGGTTCCATTGGTTTCCTCGTTCAATTTTCTTCTGAACGCATCCCTTGAAATTTAAAATTTGTCGAAATTAACATCAGAATTTGCAATTTAGTCGAAAATTTAATGTCGAACCTCTCTGATTGACTTGATCCACTGTGCGTCGCACGGGATGTAAATCTGACGAAGTTTGGAATTAAGAAAAGTTATCAAAAAAATGAAGGGTTTGCTCGTTCTTAAATTCAACGGTTAGGAAACTTTTGCATCGATTTTTATTTTTCGTGAAAGATGATCAAAGAAATTCAATCGAAATACAATGAGGTACATTAGAGAGGAGGGAAACATGTATTACATAAACTTACTCTATAACTTTAAATACATAATAACCTATTGCTTTTCTCATTTTTATCTTCAACGAAGTGTCTTATCTTGACTTGTTAAGCGTCAGCTCATAATCTTGCTACTAATGTCTGGTATGACATTCTGGTACGAGAAGAGGAATCTGTTCAAACTGGAATAAATTAAATTTGAGATGAGAGTGCTGGCATCCATGTTTTGTGGTCTTAGTGTCTATCGTGGCCTTTGTGTTCGTCGTGGCCTCTGTGTTCATCGTGGCCTTTGTGTTCGTCGTGGCCTCTGTGTTCATTGTGGCCTTTGTGTTCATCTTGGCCTCTATGTTCATCGTGGCCTTTGTGTACATTGTGGCCTTGCTGTCCCTCGTGGCCTCTGTGTACATTGTGGCCTTGCTGTCCCTCGTGGCCTCTGTGTGCATCGTGGCCTTTGTGTTCATCGTGGCCTCTGTGTTCATCGTGGCCTTTGTGTTCATCGTGGTCTCTGTGTTCGTCTTGGCCTCTGTGTTCATCGTGGCCTATGTGTCCATCGGAGCCTTTGTGTCCATCGTGGCCTTTGTTTTCATCGTGGCCTTTGTTTTCATCGTGGCCTCTGTGTTCATCGAGGCCTTTGTGTTCATCGTGGCCTCTGTGTTCATCGTGGCCTCTGTGATCATCGTGGCCTTTGTGTTCATCGTGGCCTCTGTGTCCCCACGGAGATGAGTTGGTGACCGTTACCGCAACCACCATGACGACCAGGACAACCTACAAAATACAAAGAGCGATTAAAACATGAGTTTTGAAATCAATCATTTCTCCCTCAGTGCTAGTGCATCAAAAGAAACTGTTACCTTTACTCGCAGTTTTATGCACGTGCTCATTAAACTTAACTTATTTCTTATTATCACTTATTTGCCTCAATTCTAGATCTATCAGAAGAATCGAAGCCCCAACTAACTTCCGAGCCATGCATTCCGCATCTCCTGCATCCTAAGCAAAGATCGTATCATTCGCAATGCACAAATTGAAAAACGTGTCTATCTCATTTAGGCGTTCAGACACCCATGCCAGAACACTTCCTTTTTTATTCCTTGAAAACCATCTCGTAGAAAACTTTAAACAAAGTGGGCGAGACACAACGACCCTGCTTTAATCTGTCGTTTACATAACAACTCCCTTTTGTACTACATTATGAAATGATAGGAATTACTCTGGCTCATCCGCGAAAACACTTAAGGCATAAGGATACTAATGGCTCATACGATGTTTTTAAACCGAGCCAGAATTTGTAGTTCCTAATTGAAAAATTTAGTCCATTTGAACAGCAATTACCTATCGACGAACTCTCGCATTAGACCACTCATTAGATCATTAGACAATCTCCCGTGTATGAGTATGTTGAATTTTTTTTTAAACATCGGATTTTTTTCTTTCTTTTTTTCCTATTTTGTTATTCCTCAACGAAGAATATACTTATCATAATGATTTGGTACGCAAAAAGGTGACATAATTACAACAAAGAAAACAAAAGAAACTTTGAGACTGCGAGCAAACACATGTGTAACATTAGAAAAGGCACTATAGCAAAGAAATGATCAATGTACAAGATTAAAGGTTACATTCTAAGTGATGCTCATGTGGACTGCATTTTGCAATTTGGAACTCTAAATTCTGGCTCTAATGGCTTCTAAACTAATGGCAAATACGTCGTTTTTAAACCGGGCTTGAATTAATAGTTCCAAATTGCAAAATGTAGGCCATCTAACAGTCTGAGGAAACCCGGGTCTGCCGTTTGGCAACTCAACGGGGGAAAATATTATAGAAATGCTACTCTGGTGAAGGAAATATTTCTAAACTTGATATAACTAACTTTTGGACCTTATTGTGTAATTTGGAACTGTAAATTCTAGCCCGGTTTAAAAACGAGACATGTGCCGGTAGTTTCCCTATGCACATAAGTGTTTTTCCAGAATAGTCAGAATTCATGTTTCCCAATTGCAAAATGCTGTCCAATTAGCGTTCTTAATAATAATGCTGAAATGATTTTTCAGGCGGCTTTAACTCTTTTTCCCCCGAGTTCGAAAAAATGTAGACACTGGAAGGAAAGTACCTCATCATAATTTTTCGAGGCCTGTGGGAAGCGGCAGAGTAGGGATCTAGAAAGGGATGCCACACTGGGTGAATTGAAATCTCTCACTTCAATGTTCATAGCAAGATTGAATGCCTCAAAGCTAAAATAATACGTTATGAAACCATATTACAATCCTTATATATATTATGACAGAACTGTGATCCAGCGTTGCCACCGATTTCAACCGTTAGAGTCTTCGACTTCAAGCGCTCCTAACTTCTGTACAAATGAAGAAAAAAACACTAAGAAGTGGCCCGAAACTGTATCTAACAAGGTGGAGAAATGGTGCTGGGCTCAAAGCAAGGATAAAAAATAAATTAAACACACCTATGTCCTAACAGATGAGAAAAGATTGGAAAACACGTAAGCTCAACGCCCAGACTTGTTGAATGACTTCTGTACAAACCGTCATTAGTCCGAAAACTGAGAGTCTCCCTAGAAGCATTTTTTTCGCCGAAAAATCGCGCAGAAAAAAGGTACTTAAGAAAAACGCCAAAAATTACAATTTTTTCAAATTTCCCGATGTGGCAATTGCCCGTAACCGGATGGCAAAGCATCACAGCGTTGCAAAGATTATGCACCTTTCTCTTTTTCTCAAAAATAACCTGAATGGCTCAACAAATTGTTCTTTTTTCTGGTGGTTACGTAAGTAAGAAGTTAACAGTTTTCAAGGGCAACAATGTCTCATGGTTCATTTTGCGTCAGAATGGGTAAGTTAACCAAAAGAAGCACAAGAACACAAATTTTTTTATCAGTGTGTGCTCTCGACTAATCGCCTTTTTAATTTCTACTTTCATTCAATTATTCAGCGATTCTAGTGATTTTTTTCAGTGATTCGCGACGCACTTTTTACAATTTTTTTTTTTCCGTGGTAAAGAATCATTATTTTTGACTTCCTCGATCATTCTGAGCTCATATTACAATTTTGTTTTTTCTATTTCTTCTCTTTACCTAAAAATTACCAAAAATTAATGAACCTCGCCCTACAATCATTAATACGATCGTCGATGAAATGTTTTTTTAGAGCTTTGTCTTATATCACACTAGATCAACCCACAATAGGTCCGTGAACCGCCCTCGGGGGGTTGGGCAGCGTAGCGGTCAGGGGGCGTAGCGCCCTAGTTTTTTTTTTTTTTTTTTTTTTTTTTTTTTTTTTTAAAAAAGAATTCCAGACTATCTTTAAATTAGTATGACTTAAACTTCGCTCTTTTTCCGTGCACCCGGCTTATATCTGCGCGTGGTGGAAGTAGACCACCACGTTTATTTATTATGACGTTAAAAAGTATGATGAGGAACTAAATCATTTTTTTTCCGAAATTTTTGGGAATTGTCTTTGGATTTACGAAGAGGTGTCATTTGAATTGTGTCATTATAGAAATCCGAATTTTCAACGAAAATCGCCGACAGTGAAGGGACATAAACATGGTTGTGTATCAACATAAGGAGAAGGACACACAGCTACACAAAATTTAGTTTAACATTTTTTTGGTTCCTTTTGTTGCGTGTTCCTGCGTTAACCTAACGAAATTATTTGGTTTAAGAACTTGAAATCCGTAAGAACTCGAAATGGAAAGTTGGAGGGAAAATTGTATTGCGTTAATGGTTATCCTTGCCCGGTGCAATTCGTCGTTTCCGAATATTTATATTTTTTAAGCCCTTCCAGATATTAGGAATATAACTCCATTCCAAGGTTGCAAAATTGAGTTGAACAATTCATTTTTATTAGAAGAATATACGCATGGATTTTTGCCCAAAACTTTTCTGATCTCTGAATGAGATCAAGAGAGAAATCAAAGAAATTTTCAATTGCGGATACCCGAGGTTTATCTCGTCAAAATGCAATTTCCGAAGAGAAATTTGGCAGCATTTCAATATTGCTACATTCTTTCGTAAGGGAAACTGCGTAAGTGATTACCAAGAATACAAAAAACTTGAGTAAATTAAGTTAGCAGAACAATTTTTTAATTGAGATATCTCGGAGTGATCGTAGAGTTCCGTCAATTTTTGCATAACATTTAGTTGATCAAATCGAAAGGAAATTAACCCCTACGGAGATAAAAAACTTAGGTCACAAGGAACTGAGCCTCGGTTCATTTTGAGCCTCAAAAGTTTTCGTTTCAGGTAACTAAAGTCTACGGTTGAAGGTTCAAAACTTCGGTTTGGATAACGGAAGTCTTCGGTAATAAGCACGAGCCTAAGTATAAACAGCAAAAAGTTTATTTTCATAAACAGAAGTTCAACCACCAAGACTGAGAACTTCAGTTACTTGGTGTGACAACTTGGAGGTGAGGAAAACGAGAGAATGTTAATGGAATAATGAGGGAAAAGTAGCCTTGACACCTCTTTGCATGGTTTATTCTTCAACGAGGCCTTCCGAATCAAGAGGAACATCCACTCACATGTTAAAATGGTGTAACGAACATTTTTGGGTTTACAGAAAAACAAATTACCAAACTTTACAGCAAGCTTTGAACTTTTACGAACTTTTTACCTAACGATATTAATACGAAGCTTTTCAGTGAATAAATTAGGTTAGTTGGGCGCTGTTTAAATTCGTAGGTATCTTGGGAGTTACCTAAGTTTTTATTGAAAAAAAAAAAGTTAAGTTGATCCGATCGAAAGAAAGTTAACCCACTCGGAGGGGGGAAGAAATGGTTAGGAAGACACAACATCAGTTCATATGGAACGTTAAACTTAGGTTTCGGGCGGTTTTTTTTTTTTTTTTTTTTTTTTTTGTAGTTTTTCGCCGCACGTGACGGTTTTAAAATATTGAAGGAAATGTCCCGATATGTGATTACGTTATTTTAAATACCAAAATTGTGCAATAAATAATATGGAGGTAATTGAAACCGAGTTTCTTTTCCCGTGCAATGTGACCAAAAAACACAAACATTTCAACTGCGTTTGATCCATACCCCCCCCCCCCCCCCCNACATCACATAGTGATATACCCGAATCGAAGTTCATTGCCTATATGACTTATAACTTCAGTTTCCTAGGCTGATAGTTTCTGTGCACCTTTTTTTCTGTCGCACGTAATGGGTTTAAAATCTTTAAGGAAATGCCCAGATATGTAAACACGTTATTCTGAACAATAAAATCGTACAAGAAAAAATGTGGAAGTTATTGTAACCATGTTTTTTTCCCTCTGCAAATTGATCAGCAAATACGAAAATAATTTTTTTTCCCATGCAAAGTCACCAAAAAAAACGCGAGGTTTTTTTAACCGTGCAAAGTGATCCAAAAACACGTAAATTTCAACCTCGTTTGATTATTTTCCCCTCCCGATCACATCAAATGGTGATGTACCTAAACCGAGGTACAATTCCTATGGCCTATAACTTCAGTTATCCATGCTGATAAATTCAGTGCGCCTTCTTTTTTCATCTCTCGTGACGGCTTTAAAATATTTGCGGAAAAACCTAGAACTGTAAACACCTTTTCCTACACAACAAAATCTCACATTAAAACATTTGGAGGTTATTTAAGCGAAGTTTTTTTTATCTTCCGTGCAGTGACCGAAAAACTCGAAAATGTCAACCGCGCGTCCCCGATCACATCACTCGGCAAAAACTCGAGGTTTTCAGATCTCAAGGAAACATCCAGATCAGCAGAAACCTTTTACTAAACAACAAAACTTCACCCNAATGGAAGTTATCGAAGAGAAGTTGTTTTTTTCTATTCGTGCAAGGCGACCAAAAAACAGGAAAATTTCAATCGCGTAAAATTTTTTTCCCTTCCTCGATGACATCACTCATGAGAAATGTGAACAATGTTCAGCACTCACCGTGAAAGTTGACTTCATTTTGATTCTCGTAAAATTTATCACAAAACACAACTGAGCAGAATCAGACCGAAAGGGTATCTGGCGCGAGCTCGGCTTTTCGTTCACTCGCGGATCGCTGTTTTATTCTTCTTCTTTTATTCTACTTCATCAATGGATTTTATTTTATTCTCGTCATCATCTACTTAATTCTGAGCGCGCTGCAACGCGTTACACACAGCGGCGCGGCGTGCTTTGCGATACATCGATTTATCTGCCATTCGAACCAACGGAAAAGGATCGATATACAGGGCGCTCGCAACGATTGACTTAATAATCGATTCTTTACCACAGCTTCAAAAGGGGGAATATCGATAGTCAATCACTCGCGCCACGCCACCGGTTACACAGCGGGAGGCGCTAGGAAAATTCCGTCGCAGAAAATCCACCGGCCGGGTCTCAGATCGTAAGTAATGGAGGATGTCGCCAAAAAAAAAAAAGAACCTGTCCAATTCTCTGCCATGTTAAGGAAAAACGCCTTATGAACCTTCAGACGTTGCCAAATTGACTTCGACAAAATACGAAATTACAGAGAAATTTATGAACGTTTTCCCTCCGATCTTACAGATAATTCCTTTCGCAGCCAGATCTAAATCATCTGCAAATTCCGAGAGGAAATATTCCTGAACATCCTCAAAAATGATAATTTTACCGTAGGAAATTTGGCAACCCGCGAATGATGATACGGCGTTCCTCCTAAGCGCGACAGTTCTCCTGCGGCTGTTGACCGTGTGTGCCACGGTCCAGGGAGCGGTCTGATAGCGTAAGGGTGAATCTGTGTGCGTGCAATTGCACGCACACTCATGCGCTGATCAATGGATTGGATTGATCGTCTATAGTCGTGCTTACGTCATGCTACTTTTGCTCTCTATGACCGCGTGACATTGGGCTCCAAACAAAAATAATCGTTTCTCTCACTCTCACCCACCCCTGTAGGCGAATTCCGCGAGTGGATCTGGTCGACTGAAGACTGAAACAGTGGCTACGTCATTCGATTCAATACAGTGTGTCTGCAAGTACGAAATTTCCGGAAAGTCCAGAAATAGTGCTGATTTCTTAAGGGCGGCCCGGAAGTACTGAAAAAGTGCGGAAATTCTGCAAAAAGGTCCGGAATTTTTTTAACATTTTGTCATTTTTGTCGCCATTTGAAATTTCTCGAATTTCGTCAAATATGGAGGTACTGAAAAAGTACGGAATTCTTCTGTCAGAGGAGGTACTAAATTTCTTGAGAATGTACTGAATAAGTACCGTAAAAGTACTTATTTTTGACCAGCCTGTTTTAGTAGACACCCTGTAATATCGAACCCTTCGTTCCAACGTAAGCAAACACAGAACCTTGTTTCTTCTTGTTGTTACTTTAGTGGCTTTTACTCCAGTAGTGGAGCCTACACCCTATAGAGACATTTAGTATAACATTTAGGAGTTGGATTTATTAGGTTTAGAATTAGGGATATTTGTGGTGGTCGTTTTAAAGAAAGAAAGGGTAGGATCTAGAAGACCAACACCATTTTTACATCCTGAGACCCTTCAGGACGACTCCACGGACCATAGTGAGACTGGGTCTTGAAAACATTCAATGAGATATGCTAGGTATTTTGAAGTTAGAAAGAAAGTTGAGTAAAGGATAATGTTTTCACCCCCTGAGTGGCTATTTTATTATTTTCTTTTTTATTACTTGATAACCATGTTTCTGATTTGCGCCATGGTGGTAAAATGCGTCCAAGTGTTTCCTAGAATCGTAATTTCGCGTGTTTAATGAGTCTTAAATTGATTTTTAACCGGTCAACGACTAAATTTTAGTAAATTAACGTAATTAATAACTCATGAATAATTCGTATATGAGGTTATGCTAGTTTGTTTTGGTTTGAACCAAGAGATCGATATTACATCGAATAAAGTAGTCACTAAATCAGTGCATCGGGCTCCAAACAAAAATAATCTGTTTCTCTCGCTCTCACCCACCCCTTTCAGCAAATTTCTGCGAGTGGATTTTGGTCGACTTATTCTGCCGTGCTACGTAAGAACGCCGTATGAGCCATTAGGCGTTGCCAAATTTCCTTCGATAAATCACGAATTTTCAGAAAAATTATTGCGAGTATTCCTCTGATCTTTCACAGAGTTTCGTTCGTAATTTGATCTAAAAAGTCTGAAAATTTCAAGGAGAAATATTCAAAAATAATTATCTTTAAAGAGGAAATTTGGCAAAATTCGAATGCTTGTACGGTGTTTTTACTTAGAACGGCAGAAATGGAACAGTTTTTTTTTTTTTTTTTTTTTTTTTTTTTTTTTTTATATGAAGATAACTATTCAACATTTTTTCATTTTCTAGTAAATGTTCTTACAGTTTTATTTTTAAAAGGAAATCTGCCTGCGATTTTGAAATGTCGCAGTGGATGCAGGCACTCTTGACTTGAGCTTTCGGTTTCTTGACAATCGCTTTAATTTTATTAATAAGTCGGCATAACGCTGGGAATGCAAAAGTTACGTTTGTCCGCATCAGCAGTTAGGACATTAAATACCGAAAATAAAATAATATTGGCCACAACACGCAAGTCATAACTTTGCGGTAACTTTAAACCGACGTACAAACATCCTAGGAAGAAATGACCGCACTTATTGAATCAGGAATGCATGCTGCCGTGATGAAAGAGATCACAATTTTTTTTCCAATTTTGAATTTTTTATTTACACATCGCAAGTAATTTACAAATTTTTTTTATTCTTTTTACAAATTTTACAAAGGCATATTTACAAAAAGAAACGAAGAAAAATTTAGTTGAATAATTAACGGAGCTTTTGAAGCTCCTTGAGATCGAAAAACGTATCCATTTCGGGTAACTTCCGTCAATCATCACATTACGACCGATCAATTTTTAAGCGTTTGCTCCTTCGTTGAAGGGACAATACAAGAAAATCATGAATGGGATCAGCTCTAGTTTTTTTTTGCCTGTTCGTCGCTTTTTATCCGGAGATAAATAAATAGCCCATTTACTTAACACATAAATTAATAATTAAATTAGTGGTAACTTTAGTTCAACAGTGCGAGGCGAGGCCCGAGTAGGAATAGCGAGTGCTTTCACGGGATTTTTCAACCGTGGTGATGACCCCCATGGTGGTGACCACCGCCGCCACCTCCGTAGTGACCTCCGTGACCTCCACCGTAATGGTTTCCACCTCCTCCACCGTGATGGTGACCTCCGCCTCCACCGTGATGGTGACCACCGCCTCCACCGTGATGGTGACCGCCGCCTCCGTAGCCTGGTTCCGGAGCAGCGACAGCGAGCGCGATCAGAGCGACCAACATCAGGATCAGCGATCTCTGCAAAAGCCCAAATATCAAATATATTAATTAATAATGAATAATAATAAATTAATATTTTCTCAAGGCCGTGAGTAGGCTATTTATAAAGAATTTCACGACATTACCAGACCCAGTTCTCCTATTCACCGGTTCACCAGTTCCGAATTCCGGAACTTTTGAGATTTTCCTGAATTTATCCCGAAGCTATCGAATTTCCCGGAACTTCTTTGGAACGTTTCAGTGGCGGGGCGTGAACAATTGATTAACGATATTTTCTCATTTGACGCTATGGTAAAGAATAGCTTTGGGAAAAAAAAACACGTTGGATCTAGAGTCCAGACTCTTGAAAACATTGACAAGAAAAAGGACTCTTGATTCAATCAGATTTTTGCTTCAATCAAAAGGAATTGCGCTCAAATTAAGAGGCTTGGTTCTTGATTTAAGCAAAAATCCGATTGAATCAAGAGTATTTTTTCTTGTCGATGTTTTTAAGAGTCTGGACTCTAGATCAAATGGACGTATTTCTGTCAAACGGAACTAAGCGCCATCGGGGGAGGAAGGGAGAGGGGGGCTTGGATTGGCGGCGGAATCGGGCGTCGGGCTCATTCCGTCCTATACTCGCAATGCTTTTCCATGGCGCTTAGGTCCGTTTGACAGAACACGCTATCCGGCATTCTGATTTCCTCAAAAAGAACTCAAATTGGCGCTTAGTTCCGTTTGACAGAAATACGTCCAAATGTGTGTTTTTCCCCAGTGCGATTATTAAACGAACACCCTGACGATCTATCTTTTCTCCACGGGTTCATACGGCAGATCAATCGATATATCACGAAGCACGACACGCCACGCCATCGAAACGTTTTGAAAAATCTTAAAGGAATCGCGAAACTTTTGACGGTTATGAAGTGGGAGGAATTGGAACAAAAAAGTTCCGAATCCCGGAACTTTTCAGGGCCATGGAATGGGTGCTGAGGCCAGACCTGAACGAGAAGCGGAATCATTTCATATAAATTGCTCTCCTTTTTATTAATTATCAGTGGCCTGGCGTGAATTGCGGTATATCGATTGTTATGCCATTCAAACCTATGGTATAGAATCGATTATTACGGTGTTCACTGCGAACACCCTGTTTATCGATCCTTTTCCATAGGTTTATACGGTATAACAATCGATACATCGCAACTCACGCCACGCCACTGTTAGTCATACTCTCCATACCGCAAGGAAATTAAGATTACACGGCGTTAATGTGGTGACTTGAACGCAGAACAGGAACGTAGAGATCGTTTATGATGAATTATTTCTATCGGGGAGGATCTACAGGTGGCTTTAGCAAGACAGGGTGCGAATTTAAGCATTCTAAAGTATCGACGGTAAAACTACAAAACCACGTATCTCGGTTTGCGACGTTGCAGACTTCCTGCAGATTTTATTTTTCAAATGAACAATTACTCATCGCATACACACTGGGATAAAAAAAACACATTGGATCTTGAGTCCAGACTCGTGAAATCATTGACAAGAAAAAGGACTCTTGATTCAATCAGATTTAAGCTTAAATCAAAAGGAAATCCGGTCAAATTAAGAGGCTTGATTCTGCATTAAGCTTAAATCTGATTGAATCAAGAGTATTTTTTCTTGTCGATGTTTTTAAGAGTCTGGACTCTAGTTCCAACGTATTTTTTTTCCAGTGTACTTAAAAACTCCCGTGATTTTTCCTCTCTTTTTGAAGCTTTTGAGCTTCCTATTGAGTGCTGTTTCAAGAGGTTTCCGATTCAAAACAGGGTATGCGCGTGGGAAAACGAGTTTTCCTTCAAACCGATGGATGCGATTTGAGTCACTTTGAAGCTGGTATAGTTGTATTTAGCATGTTCAACTCGGCGGTTCGCATTAAATGCTGCAGTTTAAATTTTTTCACAGGATGATACCGTCAGCAAGTCAGTATATTTGAGCAGTGACTCATTTAAATAAAAAAACTACAATCTTTTTCAGTGTAAAATCAAATGCGTATTAAGATTTTTAATCGTCCCATCGCGGAACACTAAAGAGTTGTACTCAAAAAAAAAAATAAATAAATAAATAAATAAAAGTAGAAACACGCACGTAACTTAAATAAATGCTAAAGGTCTTAAGGAGCAAAGCCTCTATGTCAGCATAATAGAAAGTTATCATTTACACACAACAGACAAGAAGAACCGTTTAGTACAAATAAATAAACGAACACGGAAAAAAGCACGAGGTTGTTGGATGATATGGACTTTTCAAATTAATTGTGGTAGTACCCCAATATGGTAGCACCCCAATAAATTAGCAGAAATGGAAAACCCTAACTTCAATATATCGTAATAATGTGTCGCGATAAATGGTCAATAATAAGAATTTTTTTATATTGACCATTTATTGTAACATCCCGCTTTAAAATATCACGCACAAGAAATTAAGATAATGTGCTGTTACACAACAATTTTCTCGAATCTCATTAATGCTTGACATGCGTACACTATTAGTAATTTATTTATTGCGTAGCCTGGCATTGGGCTCCAATAACTACTGCCTTTCTTTCTTGTAATAAAATTTATAATGCCGGAATAAAATTTAGTTTATTTGACCCAGCATGGCAAAGATCGTTTGATGAAAAAGTTGCCTACTTGCTGTAAAAGGTATTATTTCTCATCGGATCGCATCAGCAAAAAGACATTACCGTGTTTACAGGGTTGTAAAAACGTTGTTTTTTTCATAATTCTATAGAAAATATCCCAGAATAGCAAAAAAGCGTTTTCTTTGCAACAAAAAATTGTTAATTTTGAAGGAAAGTAATTGTGTAAATTGTAATACCTACATACATGAAGTATTTTTAAAAGGAAAGAACAAGTTGCAAGATTTTGAAAACTCTAATCGCACTTGTTCCTTTTTGCTACGTATACGATCCCATCATTAGTCTTACTAGATTTTTTCTCTGAATTTCTCCTTGTACTTATTACATCCCCTTATAATACAATGACATCTCAACGATTGCAAAATTAACAATCTCAATGGATAGTTCTCTGAAAAAAAGCTCGGTGTATTTACTAAGAAAATGGTAAAAATACCAAGAATTTAGGGTTCTATTTGATCCCAATTTTTTCTTGGTAAAATTACCATTTGTGGAATTGGTAATTTTACCGAGAAATCTCGGTAAAGTTATTGAACTTTCTCGGTAATTTTTCTGGACCTTGGTAAAAACGCCAATATTTTTTATCGATTGTGGTAGAATTTCCGAGATAAAATGGCAAAGTTACCGGGAATTGATAACCAATAAAAGTGGTATTCTTACCCGGAAAAAACAGTAAAAATTCCGGTTTTTAGGTAAGCTTACCAGTCTGTCTTGGTAAAATTACCAATGATTGGTAAAAAAGTGAGATGGTAAAGGTACCAACGGACCTTGGTAAAAACGCCGAGAATATTTTTTCAGTGTTGGACTTTTTCGCGCCAATTTTTATGTGAATTGCAAGCAGTCGATATTGCGCTACTCACCAAGAGTGTGAAATCCATCGTAGCGTGAAGATGCGAAAAATTAGAAGAAGATCACTGTCGAGTAAACGATTAAGAATAAACTGTATCGATTAGGTAAGCCACCAACGCTTTTATACGCGAATATTCTTCCGTGGTGCAAATATGAGGGAAGTCCGCCAAGTTGGTTCCAAACGCGGCTCTGTTGCAAAATCGTGCAGAATCCAACTGAAATCCGACAGCTGACCTATCGCGCGCAGGAAGAACGTCCTATAATCATTCTGATGTTGCCTAATTTTACCCGGTAATTTAGCAATTTTTGACGAAAGTTATGAATATTTCTCCTCGAAATTTTCACACACTTCAGAGTAAATTGTGGCTAAAATAATTCAAACAAATTCGGAAGAAAATATTCGCAAATTTTTCAGGGAATTAGTATTTTGTTCAAGAAATTTGGCAACGTCCGAAGGCTCATACGGCGACTTTCCTTGTGACAATGACCCACTCCTCCGTCGTTCGTTGTGTCAATGGCCAAAACACCTTCCAGGCACTAAACTTGAGACGCAATTTTACGTCATTACATTTTGTTTACGATCTGAAACGCGGAGTTGTCGAATGGGAAGTCGCGCAGCAGTTTTCCTCGGAGCATTAGACGTATGTCATATTCAGGTCGATTTGGCAACCATGTCGGCATTTTCGCGGTGTTTTCCTAACTCGTAAAAATCTCGCCCAACCGAGTCAAATGGCGATGCTTCGTTTTGATTATATTCCGGATGATTGATAAACGAACCGGTTGTTTTCTAAAGGGAACCGGTCCATCCCTCGACGAGTCTTATTCAGCATGTTCTTTTACGCAAGCTAAGGCTCACGCAAAAATCGACTTATTTCCTGGTGAAAACAACTGATTCAAATGAGAAAATTCTAATCAGGCGTAAAAATTTTGCGTCTTATGCCGTGCCTATTTTGACGGATTTTCCACCGGGTTAATTTTGATCTTCCACGAATAAAGGCACCGCAGTGTTTCGGGTAAACAAATTCTGTTTTTTTTTCTTCCTTTTTTATAACTCCACTTTTATTTACCGAGGCCGTTGCTTTTAAAAACTTGCTGTTACAAGGAGCGGTTATGTAAGAGTGTCAAGCCGGAGCGCGGAGGTTGAAGGGCTTAAAGGTTCCAGTTGAATGTACATGTACGGTCCGTTCTAAAGCCGTACTATTCAGTTCCTGTGACCGGATCCTCGGTTCTAGAAGCCGAATTCTTGGTTCTCGGAACCGAATCTTATGGACAATTTGGAAATTGAGCAAAGGAGAGGACGCGCGTTGATGACGGCGCTATGATACAACTGTTCGTGCTTGATGGATGTCAGTGTTGCATCTGCAAAATTGAAGGCGCGCACTCGTCGATGCTGGCAATTAGTTGTAGCTTGGATTCGGCAGAAAAGTTGATAACAAACCCCGGATATGTCTATCCGATTTTCGGATGTGAAACTCGATTTTTTTCTCTTCATTTTTCAAGTTGTTACCGCAAATGCGTTTCTATCTAGCATATTTCCCCCAAGGTATTAAAAGGTACCTACTCTAGACTATTAAACGCATGGTTTTTTTTTCCCCCTCAAAATTTTCGTGTCCATATAGTTTTTAAAATGCGTCTATATGGACGACCATAAGCAAAATTAGCCTAAATACATCAGACGTTGCCAAATTTTTTCTCATGCTTCTCATGAAATTCAAAAATGAGCTATTTCCTGACTCGAAGTTACCTTAAAAACTGGGCAATTTGACTTGCAGTTAAGGTGACTCTGCTACCTTTGACTCTAACTTATGCGAGTGTATTCAATCTTATTCTACAATGAATTTACAGAAATTTCCGAAGTGGTTGCTGTATTTGTTCAGCATCCTGTCCTAAAAATGAATCATGAGAAAAAGGAGGGAAATTTGACTCGCAGTTAAGCTGATTCTGCCTTGAATTTTTTATGATCACGCCTATATATGTTATAGCCCATGACCGAAATCAGCCAATGTTGACAATGACCAGTCATTTCAGCCATCATGTCGACTTTGGTTGGCCATTGTCAAAATAGCTGATTTCGGTCAGTGGCTATAACACATCGTCAGTGAAACTACCAGACCACGTATCTCGGTTTGCGACGCCGTAGATTTCCTGTCATACTTCATTATTTAAATTGAAGTATACCTATCGTCGATTTTGAAAACTTTCGTAATTTTCCTTCTCAATGTGAGAGAAACGCGGTGAAAACTTCAAGGAATGATACTGAATCGTTCCTCTCCAAAAACATAAAATGGGAGCGGAGATTTTTAAACACCACAAACGAGATACGTGGTCTGGTAGCTTCACCGTCGATATAGTCAGTTAGTATATTTTAAGACATTCAGCGTCACAGGCTGTTAACGTCTTTACAGAGAATTTTGAAAATGGGAATACATTGAAACGATCCAACAACAAAATACATGAATTGTAATATTTACTGAAATGCAGTTTACAGAAGGGCTAAAAACCTGTATTGCGTGACGTTCAGATACAAATACAAGATACACTGGGGGAAGAAAAAACAATTCGATCTATAGTCTGTCCCAGATACGAAGAGCCCTGGAAAATCAGAATAATTTGCACTATGTAGAAGCAAGGTATCGTTCGTTCTATTGTGCCCGACTAATCACCGAGCAAACCCCGCACCGTACAGAGGGTTGGTTATGAGCTCCGCGGCGCGTTGGCGTCTTACGCCGGGAATCCGCTCCTGGGCCTCGGGGAAAACCATCGCGGAAAGATGCGAAGGGAGTATGCGTTGCCTCAAGGTGGCTTGCGACCCTCTGTGCGACGCACGTGAGAGGCGACGAGATGACAGGTGACGAGGGTCGAGGCACCCCAACCCGCCAAATAGTGCTAATTACTCTGATTTTCCAGGGCTCTTCGTATCTGGGACAGACTATAGAGTCCGGACTCTTGGGAACATCGACAAGAAAAAAAATCTTGATTCAATCAGATTCAAGCTTAAATCAAGAACCCAGCCTCTTAATTTGAGCGGATTTCCTTTTTTTTAAAGCTTAAATTTGATTGAATCAAGAGTATTTTTTCTTGTCAATGTTTTCAAGAGTCTGAACTCTAGATCCAATGTGTTTTTTTTCCAGTGCTGAATAAGGAAGCTGATGAAGAAGCGGCAGAGAAATATTCCCCTCATCACAAAGAAACAAAATCGTTAAGTATATATGCATACCTAAGAGAAGCTATTTACGATTAGCTAGGTTTTAAAAGTAACAATATTTTTGTATCCACTAAGATTCGAAGATGTATAGATTATGACTAAGAAAGTAAAAGACTGATTGTGAAGTAAAGGAACAGTTTATTTAAATCGAAGAGTTTTTATTTACTCAAATATATTTGTTCTACTTCAAAGCGTAAGACTTACTGTCAATGTGTTCCCAGTGTACACTGTTATTTGCTCTCTTGTTTTTGAAAAATTGGAATGATCATGTACAACATGTTCCTGTATCTCACTGTGCTCCTGTGTTCACTGTTATTTGCTCTCTTGTTTTTGAAAAATTGGAATGATCATGTACAACATGTTCGTGTATCTTTTGCGCAAATTTTACTGTGGGTGTGCCGAGACCTTAGCGACCGTAACCACCATGATGGTGGTTTCCACCGTGGTTGTTGTAGCCACTACCCCCGTGGTTGTTCCATCCACCACCCCCGTGGTTGTTCCATCCGCCACCCCCGTGGTTGCCGTAGCCATTGCCCCCGTAAGAACCGCCATTGTACCCGTCACCGGGATGAGCGGCCGCCAGGGCAACCAGACCGACCGCCATCAAAAACACGCATTTCTGTAACAAGCCAAAGAGGAGGAAAACCTAGTCAGGTTGAAGGTAGATAAATTCCGCTTCGTTCAATCCTCTGATGGAGTCTATCGTTGTAGCTTATCTTTAAGATTTTGCAGGGAAACACTATGTTCTAAGCACATGTCAAAATTAAAATGAAATGGATTGCATTTTGCAAAAAGGAACCACTAGCATTGCAATGTTGCTAAGATTGTGCAACTTCTTTTGTCTTGGAGGACAACCCCGATTAACCATTAATAGTTTCTATTTTACTCGCTAAAAACTGTAAATTTAAGACAAAAATTACCATCTAAATTTCATAGTTTTTCACGATTTCCGCAATTTTATTGCAGAGGATGAAGTTGCTCAATCTTAGCATCATTGCAATGCTAGTGGTTCCTTTTTGCAAAATGTAATCCATATGGGTGAGACATCTCTTGTTTGAACTCTAAAGGGTCGGTCGCACCCAGTCTTCAAAAGCCCACCCCGACATTGCGCATTGCGCGAAAGTCTCCTTCAAAACCAAGGCAATGCAACCCCTTTGCAGCGGAGTTAAAATAGTTATCGCTCGACACCTGGGTGATAGTTGAAGGCGCGGACTTTGATGAGCACCAGTTTTGAGCGGCCAATCATTGAAGCTCACGATCACATGCGTGTCATTTTTAAGACTATGTATAAACATACTTATTTTAATCAGCGTATGTAATAGATTCATAATAAGATTTTATCGTAGTATCTTCTTTCATTACTTGATTTACAATTATTTCTACAGTATTTCACAGAGGGGTAGTAATGGGTATCCTATAACCAATCGAATCAATTAAAAAATACTATAAATTATTTATCTCCAGCACTATTGTTAATTATTCCTCCTCAATCTCGTAAGTGGCTAAGATGTATTATTTCTTATTGACAATTTTAGAGTGACGCTGGTAATTGGTTAATCTCCTTTTTCATACTTTATCACCCAGTGATATTCGATTGTTCTTCATTTCATAACAAGAATATTTTCATTTACTTCCTTCTAAAAATGTAAAGCTTTTTCTTTTAGAATTTAAAATGCTCTAAATGACAAAAAAAAACCTGCACCGGTTTGCCAATACCGACTTTAAGAAGAAAATATTTTTTCGGAGTCATTACGAAGCTCTTATGATCAAATTATCTTTACAAATATCATCCTGAAGTGAATATTGCGGATTTTTTTTAGAAGTGCCCCGAGATTCAGAAATTATTTATCATGATCTATGGACTGATTGAATAGGTACTCCAAAGAGAGCTACATAACCTTCTCAACCCATGGGAATTTATTTTCACGAAATAACACTAATGGAGTGTGAAAGAAAACTAACTAATGAATCGAGTTAAGAGAGGATTGCCGGAAGGAATTACAGTTGCAACTCACCAATAACGAAAAATTCATCTTGATTGAAAATCGCACAATTTCACCAGATTCAGGGAGGAAACTGTATCGAGTTGATGAGCTCCGATTCTTTTATATGGGAGTGCCAATGTTAGGGAGGCTCTCCAAGTTAGCGACCCAAGTTGCAAAATCGTGCTTTAGCGTGGTAAAATTTCAACAAAATCGTGCACTTAAGACGGAAATTTGGCTTCGTTAAAATGATTCACTCCCCCGCTAATTGCCCAGACTGTGTTGACGGTTTAAACCCCTTATCAAACTTTGCTCCGTCAGGATGAATCAACTTCGTCGTTTTTCGTTTCTGCCCAGCGGGCCGATTATTGAAATTGATAGAAAAAGCTAAAGACAAATATGAAAAAAGGGGTACGGTGGGACCCATGGTGGCATGAAATGTAAGAAAGAAATGAAAGATCGGAAATTTCAGAAAAATATTTCATGATGCTATGAAATATTTCATATTTTCAGGGACTATAGTATGCAAAGTGCACTCAAACACATAAATAAAGAAGAGTCACAATTTTTAAATTTTGCGAACATGAAAAGGAACAGGTATCTTTCTATAGCTTTCATAAATTTCTGTAATTTCATGAAATATTTCACGTGAAATTTTAAGATTTTATTATTCATGAAATTTTGCCACCCTGGTGGGATCCCATCAGTCGAAGCGGGTGGTTGCTATGGACGGAGGAGAAGGATAATAGACCAACTAAAGGCAACCCACGAGAAACGACATAGGTAGTTAGTCCACGATTTGCTCCCTTACTCTACAGGAACTACCCATTTCAGTTTCTTATTAAATTTTTCCAAGAAACTAGCCGGCATTTTCTCCTAAAACCGTCAACCAAAGGCCATGGTTATTTTGTGTTTCACCTTCCGTTTAATCAAACTTTCGTGTGATAAATTCTCTCAGCGTGTAGCTGGTCATAAACCCTCAATGGTTTCGACATTGATGGGTAGTTGTTTAATCATGACCTCACTAAGTCTTTGGTCTTACTCATGAGAATAATAACTTATCAGTTTATGACTGATCGTTTGATTATTGGTGTCCAGGCGGGTTATTTTTCTTCTGATTTTCCGCGATGCTTGATGCGCCAAGCTTACGTCCTTGCCTCAGCGAGACGCAACCGGACATTTGCCAGCATTTTGTGACTTTTACTCCTGACCTGACTTGAAACGTGAGGTTCTGCAGGGAAATAAGTTAGTGACGTGAAACACGGGCCAATCGAGAAATACGTTTGCCTGTAAATGAATTCGGTGAAAATTTATTCAAAAGAAGTCCAGTAGCGTGGCGTGAATTGCGATATATCGATTGCTATGCCATTTAAACGTATGGTAAAGAATCGATTATTAAGAAATTCGCTGCGAACACCCTGTTTATCGATCCTTTTACATAGGTTTAAATGGCATTACAATTGATATATCGCAGAGCACGCCACGCCACTGAAGAAGCCTACCGATACAATAGAATAATAAACAACACTGAAACCCCGAGATGTTTTGACTCCAACGTGAGTCATTTTCATTCGGAATATAAGTTAAAAAATATCTATGAAAACACCTGAGAACTACACTGCCATGCTAAGGAAGAACGCCGTATGAACATTCGAGCGTCGCAAAATTTCCTTCGATAAAATGTTATTTTTTTAGGAAATTTATGAATGCTTTTCCGAGAAATTTTCAGGAACTTTAGGGAAAATTGCGAACAAAATTATCTGAAAAATTGGAAGAAAAATATTTACAAATTTTCCCGAAAATTCGCGATTTACCGAAGGGAAATTTGGAAACGCCTGAGGGTTCAGACGGCGTTCTTCCTTGGCACAGCAGTACATGTTGTTGGCCGAGATCCGAGAGAAAAATAGTGTTTTTTTTTTTCTCAAGGGCGATGTATCTCTATTGATATTGAGCGTAGAGAGTTGCTGCTTGGACAGATATTATTATTTTTAGCTGATTCTTAAAGCCTACCATCAAAATGCGATTCTGTGACCAGCGCAACGGACCCATTGTGTTTGTAAAAATCCAACTGATTTCAACGGAAATCTTTACAATGTTCCTAATCGTTATTTTCCAGTGGCGTGGCGTGCTTTTCGATACATCCATTGATCTGCCCTTTAAACCTATGAAAAAGGATCGATGAACAAGGTGCTCACAACGAACACCTTAATAATCGATTCTCTACCATAGCTACAAATGAGGATTTATCGATAATCGATCATTCACGCCACGCCACTGTTATTTTCAGTAGAGACCGGAGGACACGGGTGCTCTGAAAGAAGATCTACAGCATGATTTGGACGTTCTGCGAGAAACTCTGTTGAAGAATAATGGAACAGAGTTCTTGTTTAATGTAACTTGTAACTTGTTTAATGGTCCATTCAATCCAAAAAAGCGAACATATAGAACTTTCCGAACTTTTTTCAAAAAAAATATTCTATCAGGAGAACCGAGGCAACGTTGGCTGCTCATACGGCGTCGAAACACAGCATGGGCATTTTAAACCCCATTGTTCGATTCCGCGATTATCCTAACGCGAGTTCGAATAATTGCGCCAAACACGGTGCGGTCGGTGTCAAATTCATATCAGCGCCTGCAAGGCTATAAGAATACTTCACGCATTGCGCCTAACAGTGAGGTCGGCGCGAACGCATAAGGGCCTACAAGACTGCATGAATACTTCTCGCATTGCACCAAACGCTATTTGAGAGTTACTTGCGATAACTATTCGACTACGAGTATTGGCACACTACCGCAAACTGGATTGAAGGCGCATCACTGTGTAAGGATGACTCAACATTCGACCGCACTCCCTTCTCTGGCTTGCGCGACGCTAAAATCGCCACAAAACTAAGACCACGCATTTTTTTTGACGGTCCCTGCCCGGTGTTTGTCATAATTAAAGGGTAGGGTAGGTGGGGGCAAAATGCCGCACCTACTCTTTAGTTGAGTTTATCTCTTATCTCTCTGATTAACTTCATATAGAACTGGCTTACATATGAATAAAAAATTCCGTAGTTCGGTACACGTTAATTCGGTTCCAGAAACGAAAATTTTTGGTTCAACTAACCGAGCTACTCTTAACTGATCAGTTTACACCAACGAACCGGTCAAACAACAATATTTTGGACAGGGTTTGATTATATGGTTACCAAGCTTTCATCAACTGTGTGAAGAGAGGTCGAGTAAAATTTTTGGCAAAAGTCGGACATTTTCGCGTGCTGAAGTTCGATTTTTGTACCGCAAAAAAGAAAGAATAAAATAACGGAGATTCTAGCCTCTCGTGCTCAAAATGTTGAAGAGACCTTAAACACGTTATCCTCGCACCCCTGTTTCACGTTAATCGAGGGAATTCTCTAAAATTTCGCAACCTTTATAGTCCAGGCGTCTGGTAAGTCTACCTGGAATTTTGGGTACACAGCGATTTTTTTGGCTTACTTAATGTTTTTTGGGTCGCTGAATTCGAATCTGAAGTTTCCTACCGCGTATCTGGTGAGCATTTTCCGCCATTTTGAAAAAATGGCCTTAAAGGCCTTTTTTTGCGGTTTTTTTATATGGCGGCTACACATGAGAAAAAGTCCCAGATTTAGTTAATGTTTTGATTAGCTGACATAATTTGGAGGAAAATGGTATATTAAAATGCTAGGTTTGCTCACAAATTAAGGAACCTCGGGTCTCGGAACTTTGGAACGCTTTGGAATTTGGCTGACCGCGGCGAGCCGGATCGCGCGTTGAAGGGTGCGCCGTGAAAACGTGAATGGGCGCGATGTTCACGATGCTGTATCTTCCTCAATTTTTAAGCAAACCTATAGCAAATGTATACACCATTTTCTTCCAAATTATGTCAGCTATTCAAAACATTAACTAAATCCGGGATTTTTTCTCATGCGTAGCCGCTTTATCAACAAAACCGCAAAAAAGGCCTTTTTTAGGCCATTTTTTCAAAATAGCGGAAAATGCTCACCAGATGCGCGGTAGGTAACTTCAGATTCGGATTCAGCGACCCATAAAACATTAAGTATGCCAAAAAAATCGCTGTGTACCCGAAATTCCAGGTAGCCTCATTTTTAGCTACCAGGCGCCTGGACTAAGGATAACCACAAAAAGGGGGGGGGGCGGCTTCCCGAACACCCTGTGAAAGGATTTATGTCTCACACAAATCCTATGCACATAGCTCCTTTAAGCGCAAATACGTCCATTATACCGACGGATTTGCATGTAATCAATCTTTAAAATATCAAGTTCGAAATTGTTCAATTAAAATGATGATCGACGGTCGGTAACATTGGACCTGGTGATGAGTTCATGAAAATTAAATCAACGGAAGCCGCAGTCAGTCACTGGAAAACAGGAAAAACGAAGGAATAAAAGAGCGGTTTTTATTTTTCTGGCCGGCATTTAAAATCCACGTGCGATCGGAACCGAGCCGAGATTTCCTTTTGAGCCGAATCGATCGGGAATCCATCCTCACGCGCAGCCGTCCGCACCGTCATAAATATTTATTGCCCTTCATCTTTAATTAGATGTCCCGGTCTGTCTCTTTAAACAAACTGTTCGTGCTCAGGACGCCTCAATGCGCGCACGTATGCGCTTCTTGACTATGAGTATGGAGATGTTGCATGTGCGAGGGATTTGCGATTGGACCATTGATTCTTATGTAAAAGTTCGCGAGAAACACGATGGTGCCACTGGTTTTCTCTGAAATCAACTCTCAAGCTCAAAAAATGCTCATTTCCTCAAATTCTATTGCCTATATCTTGCAAAAGATTCTCAGCGTTTGCACACAAAATTTCGATAGTGTTAAAAGATTAATTTCATTTAAAAACTCAGTATTGTGATTCCAGCTATTGGTAGTTTTACGGAATGGAGATGTTGCTTGTGTGAGGGATTTGCGATTTGACCATTGATTCTCATGTAAAAGTTTGCGAGAAACACGGTGATGCCACTGGTTTTCTCTGAAATCAACTCCCAAGCTCAAAAAAAGCTCTCAAGTTGAGGCCAAAATGTAGGGGATATCCCACGCTATCCTGAGAGTCCACCTCTACATCAATACAAACTCTCCATGCAAAGATAGGGAGCAAATACATTGACAGGGCTGCCACTTTATTTGGGGACTCTAAAACTGAAAACACGGCAACCCTGTTAATCATTAAAGTTTACTTCTACTGAGTTTCAAAATGTTGATATCCACCTCGACAATGCAGTTACTTACCGGCATTCTGGTATCTCTGGCATTTTTTGTTATTAAAATTCATTGCAAACGTCTTTCGCCCCCCCCCCCATATGGGGCATCTTCAGTGCCGAAATTATAACTCAATCTAAATAATTAAAAACCCTAAAAAATCAACCCCGACTTTTGACTTTCTGGACCTCGTGCTGCCTTAATTATTTGAAAATAGGTCTGGTACGGTAGGTTTGGGCCACCCTGTATGTGGAGCTGGAAGGAAAGTGAACTTAAATGGTTTTGACGCTCGGTTGGTGGATTTGTGAATGAATTTTTTTTTTTTTTTTTTTTTTTTTTGAATTAAAGTACGAAGTGGGCGGAACAGAATTGATCCATAAACGGACCACCCGTCGGTACACAACTCAGTGCGGTTGCGTTTGTGCTTGCCAGATGAGCTCACGAAATACTCTTTTCCGCCGACGGAGATTCACGAGGAGCTGTTAATTATCAAATTACGCTGCAACTTTAGTACGGTTCGACTACTATGGCATCCGCGAAATCGGAAGTGCCGGCTCACAGTGGATCGAGTCAATGCAAGAAGTCGGACAAAATTTGGGAACTTTAAAAGCTCATGACTCCGCATATACGAAACTTTGAGGCTCTGAAAGTGGTTCCATTGGTTTCGCCGTGAAATTTTCTACCAGAAAAACCCCTTGAAATTTAATATGTGACGAAATAAACATCCACATTTGCAGTTTTAGTCAACGATTTCATGGCCGACTTCTCTGATTGGCCCGATCCACTCAATTCCACTGTGCGGCAGCTCTCGTTAAAATTGTTGATTGCGGCTAATCTGGTTTCCCGCTTGGTTTTTTCGCGGTCCATTTAACTTCGACGGTGTCAAATAGGGGTTTCGAATCCATGGTCTTCCAGAAAATCGGATCTCGTCGAGATAAAACGATCGATTACCGCAGCCCGATTGTTGGAATCGGAAGACAAAGCGATAGACAAGTTAATTTTAGTATAACTAGTTTTGTTCATTTTCAGACACGTAATATGGAGCCATCTACAATATAATCCATCACAATTTATCGCTTTGCTGTTTTTAACAATATTTTGACATTGTCCACACGGAGCATTACTATCTTCATCAGCAGCCATCTTGGAAAAAAATAATTAGATTGAGACAAAGCGATAGACAAGTTTATTTTAGTATGATCAGTTTTGTTAATTTTCAGATACGTAATATGGAACCATTTACCGCTTAATCCATCACAATGTATCGCTTTATTACTGTTTTTAACAACAAAAGAATTCGCCCGTTGCAGGAATGTGAATTCAGTCGTCCGTTTTACTCTCGAAAAGTAGGATGAAAAAGCTCTTTTGAGTATCTAATGGGGCTATGGCTGCTGAAGCTGTAAATTATACCTTTTTTTCATCACCAACCATGTGTCAGAAAAATTCAAGTATCGAAGACATGTGTTGTTTATAGCGTTTTACGGCCAAATATTCGGAAAATTCGGGTTTCCTGACAACTTGCTAGGGATAAAATAAAACGCGGGTCTTCGCACCGAATTATGCACTAGAATAGTCCCCTCGGATATTTTTGAGGGGGAGGGGGTGATCACCCGTCCGTCTTTCGCGCCAACCATTCTTTTACCATAAAATTCGTAATGGACCACTAGACAAGGTACGAATTTCAGCATTCTGATACATGTTTCGTAACTAAAATCCCATGTAGAAACACAATGCACACAACAAAAATTACCGAAATTAACTCCTTACGAAGATGTTTTATGATTTTTGATGCGTGAATTCAAACCATCCGTTCATGAAAACTCCATGCTTAACGTGATTCACATCGCGCGCTAAACGTTACCTTGACAGGCTCTGCGATATAAAAATCTGGCAACCTCAATCTTGACACTTTGGCTCAGCTGTAGCAAATTGCCAATAGTTTGAACAACACATGGTGGGAAATGAACAGTGCTCGATTGAGAGGCTTGCTGAAACTGTTGTAGTGCGCGATTTGACTCACGTTGAGCTTCGAGTTTCTTCTGAGCGGGCATTTCAAAATCCGCGTAACCAATGTGAAATAAAAAGGTTAATATCTTCGTCAGGAGTTGGTTTCAGTAATTTTCTTTTTCAGTTATTAAAAAATCGTGTTTTACGTGAAATTCTGGTTAAGAAACATAAATCAGAATGCTTGAATTTGTGCCTTGTCCATTATGCACTAGAATAGTCCCCTCGGATATTTTTGAGGGGGAGAGGGTGATCTCCCGTCCGTATTTCGCGCAAACCATTCTTTTACCATGTAATTCGTAATTTTCGGTTTTCCATCTAACGTCCAGCGTTAGATATCACTAGCCAGTGCTCACACACGTATAGAACTCCTAGTGAAATACTTAGAATTTGGACATTCCTATTTGCTCTTATGTTGCTGTATGCTCATCGAGTAAACATCGCAATGGTAACACATATGCTAGAAGTATGACCCACAATTTATAATGACTTATCATCCTGATTGAATGATTTATCTCTTGACATTGCACCGTATGTGCATCGGTACATAGCGACCTTGATACTTGCAAGCACATGGCTAGAAAAAAATAGAGATATCGCAATCGAATGCGTGGCAACTATTTTAAGCTATCATTGTCTCTCTTGCGAAGAGTTTCTTTAACCAACCCACTTCTCGGGCTCGATATTTTATTTCGATCTTCCCGCCTTACAATATAATTTAAGAAGCCCCGATTTCTGTTTTAATTTCATCGTCTGTGTTTTTTATGATGCTGCAATGATCACGCCGGAGATGTTGATAACGTGTATACAGACAATATAATATAAAGTTACTACTCGTATTTTTTTCTTATTTTTTTCATGACCTCACAAAAACCTTAGATATTAGTAATGTTGATCACAATGTTTAAGGAAAAACTCATTGATCTTATTTAGAGATCTTATTTACCGGTCTCAATGTTTGAACGTGTACAGACAATAGAATATAAAGTTACTCCTCTCATTTTTTTCTTATTTTTTTCATGGCCTCACAAAAAACTTAGATTTTAGTAATGGTGATATGTTTTAGGAAAAAATCATTGATCTTATTTAGAGATCTTTTTTACTAGTCTCAATGTTTGCATTTAAAATTTCGTTGAGTTTATGGCTTCCATGTCCTTAGTATAATCTTTGAAGGCGCCTTTCTGTAAACTATAGACTAGCCACTTCATTTTTAAATTCGTGATGTGTTTGTACACAGAAATTTTTTTATCATTTCCATATTTTTTCTTTTTTTAAATTCGATGATTCAATGGGTAAAGAATGGCTTCGAATTTTTATAAAAATAAACGCATTTGTGAAGTAGCCTCTTCTCAAAAAGTTTATTTATACACAATTCTCCAGGAGTTATAATAACCGCCAAATCTTCTTACACATATATCCACATTCAAAAGTAAACATTCTTAATTATGTAAAACTGATGAGGCACAACTATTCTTAATATCACAATAAAGACTTGGCGTAAGTATTGATGTACCGACGAAAATATTTCAACAAAATGAATGAAACCCCCCCCCCCNNNCCCCCTCTCTCTCTCTCTCTCTCTCTCTCTTATACTTCGAATTCAGTTAAACGATTTTTCCGCTTGGCAAATCTTATTCGCACATTAATTCGCAATTCACAAAGTTGTCCTGGAATTATTCATAATAGTAGCGTAACCCTAAACCACGTATTAAAAATTTTAACGCGAACTAAATATTTCCAAATTTCGGATACAGTGACTCAAGAAACCTTCTCAAAGAGTATAGTCCCTTTCTTAAAACCCATGATTTTCGTCGATACACAACTTTTCCTGCACGATTTTTTAGTTTTAGTACGAAGTTATAGTTCCGAATTGCAAAATGAAGTCCATTTAGCCGAACCTCTCGAACTTTGACTTTTCGTTACTTCATTTCCGGTTGACACCTGCACTGCCTGACCTTGGGATATTGACGATGGTATTGATCGTACAACCACGCCTCAACGCACCGGGATTTCAGTTGAATCGTCTATCAGTATCTCCTCATCGTGGACTCCTTATAAGAGTTGGCACCAGCGTTGGAACTGCTGTAGCTCGTGCTGAAGGAGGAACTACCGGTTCTAACGTGCTCCTCGTCCCGCTTGGCGTACCTGTCACCGACCGAGTCGATCCTGTGCCCCGGCCCGACCAAACCGTGGCCCTTGAGGTCGTGGTCGAGCTTCGTCTGGTGGCCGTAATCCAGACCGCCGTGGCCTAAACTGCTCTGGTGGCCGACACCGCTCGCGGTGTGCGCCACGCTCCCCGCGCTGGATTGGCTGAAACTCCCGGCCGAGGACTGGCTGAAGCTCCCGGCGCCCGACTGGCCGAAACCGCCGCTCTGGTGGCCTAAACTCGGGAGGCTGTAGTCCGTGTGGGGGCCGCCGCTGAAAGTGGGGGATCCGTAGCCGACGTCCTTGTGGGGGCCTCCGATGGAGCCTTGGCTGAAGGTGGGGGAGCCGAAACCGCCGGAACCGTGGCTGAGACCTCCTGACCCGTGGCTGAGACCCGGGGATCCGAGACCTCCTGGCCCGTGGTTGAGACCCGGGGATCCGAGACCTCCTGATCCGTGGCTGAGACTCGGGGATCCGAGACCTCCTGAGCCGTGGCTGAAACCTGGGGATCCGAGACCTGAAGTTCCGTAACCTGAGCCGGAGTACCCGTGGCCGCCGCCGATCTGAGTCTTCTTGACGCTGTCGTAGCTGAGTTGATGTTGGCTCTCGAGGTCGACTTTGTGTTGACTCTCGTAGGCGCCGCGTTCGCCGTGGTAGTGGTCGCCGTGGTGGTGTGTGTGTGGGATCGGAGGCTCCGTGTAGGGTTTCAGGAACGGAGCTGCGAATCCTCCGCGGGAGGCTATAGCCAGAGCGAATCCCTGAAAAAAGCAACAACCAAGAAATAAATTAAGGTGATTCGATGGACGTCATATTTTGTGTCAGAACGGCATGCGATACATCGCATCAATTGGTTCCATTTTTTCAGTTACTCGTAATTTTTCTCCAATTTTGAGATCGCAATTCTGTTGTCGGGAGACTGAAGCCGCACTCACTTACCAACTTTAACAAAGAAATTCAAGGTAATAAAGGCGTGGTTTTTTTAGAGAGAAAATATTGCATTCGAGTGCAGTTTCGATATCAGTATCGAATGCGATGTTTTCTCTCTTAAAAAACCACGCCTTTATTACATTGAATTTCTTTGTTAAATTGGTAAGTGAGTGCTTTAGTCTCCTGACAACAGAATTGCGATCTCAAAATTGGAGAAAAATTACGAGTAGCTGAAAAAATGGAACCAATTGATGCGATGTATCGCATGCCGTTCTGACACAAAATATGGTGTCCATCGAATCATCTTAACTGTTTGTAATGAAAAGTAAGTAAAAGAGGATTTCATCCTTTTCAATATGTTCCTTTTTTGAGTCCTCAAAGAATTTGTAATAAATTTCTCAGTAACGGTTGAAGTCAGAAAATGAGTATTCAGTAAGAGAAAGTGTCCGACATTTTGTGTTCTTATGGGAAGTGGAACACTAAATCACCTCAACGTGCGATTTTCTTTGGTTACATTGACCGAAGTTTGTGGTTGAAAATTTGAAACCTTGCTAAAAATCAGGCGTGAGAACCTGGATTGCATCGATGACAGTGGCGTGGCGTGCTTTGCGATCCATCGATATTTCCCCATTTGAAGCTGTGGTAAATAATCGATTATTAAGGTGTTCGCTGCAAACATCCTGTTTATCGATACTTTTACATAGGTTTAAATGGCCGATCAATCGATATATCGCAAAGCACGCCACGCCACTGATCGGTGACGGTCCAATGCGCTAGCCTCTAGCAAGTTGCAACCACCAAGTGACATCCAGAGAAACAAGAGACCATTATGCTCAGCAGGACGTGTCTGCATCTCCAGGTGTCTTATATTAGCCTATGGTTTCGATCGATTTAACCCAAAATTTGGCGGATCAACCAATTAAGTTCACTAGGTGATATGATTGAAAGAAAGTAAATGAACGTAATCATAAACCCGAAATTTTTAATTGCAACACTATCGAAAATTTTTCAAAAATACACCCACTTTATTCGATCAGAAATTGTCTAAAACGCGCACAAGACACGTTTGAAAAATATCACTTTTGGGGTTTTCGGACCGCCCGAATTTTCTAAGTCCCGACTTAAAGGGTGGTAATCCGTATCGAAAATTTTCAAAAATACACACGCCTTATTCTATCATAAATTGTCGAAAACGCACATAAATTTGTTTTCTTTTATTCAAAAGAACGCACCTCCACTTTGAGGCTTTTAAACTGACGTGATCAAATAATTGGACGTATCTCTGCCAAACGGAACTTATATGTACATTATGACGTGCGCCCTGCTTTGCATATATTCTTATGGGTCTCAGGGTTCATCTCTTAATGCACATTGTTCCGTTTGGTAGACAAACGTCCAATTTTCCTCCAAGAGAATACAGGGTTCCTCAAAATTCACGCACCACTGGCCATGAGGGGGGCCTTTTGAGATTTTTGAGTTGTCCCCCGTCACCCTCCCCCCGAGGGGATCAAAAACTGGAAAGTACCGTAAAAAGTTGCCCTCTCAATATGAGGAAATACGTCTTAAATCGCAAGTCGATGTCATATTTAGAACTTCAAGTTATGGCCAGTGGTGCGTGACTTTTGAATAATCCTGTATAAGCGCAACGTGCGTCCCAGATTTCCCTGTTTTTTGCCTGTAGTCCTAGGAAAAATCTGTGAAATTTTTGGTCGGAAATGCAGGTCTCTTTCCTGGCAAACCCGACTGCCGACCAACAAGAATGACTGCCGCTTACGCGGTAAATTTGAAAAATCGTGGTACAAACTGCGCAGATTGCGTGTTAAGAAGTGGATTTCATACTTATGTTGTGTGCTCACGTGAATTTTGAGTGACTTTACATTATAAAAGCCTACTTATTTAGTTGACTGTACCTTTGCGTGCTACAGACCCATTCATTATTTGCGGATTATCTATCACTAGAACCCAAGAATCCATCATTTTAGTTTTTATATGTATACAAACGGTGTTCAAAAAGATAGAGCTATCTTTTTTGACCATAAAAGCGCATTGAGAGTCTTTTATTTGATATTATAGATAGTCTTGATATTAAGAAACTTTCGATAACGGTGCGAGCGCGGACAAACTTTTTCAAAAACTCTAAGGTCAAGCTGATTTATCATATTACAAATATCAATGATCCACATTTTTCAACATCTCACACTATTTTACTATCCAAAATATTAGCTCCGGTGGTTCACTAGAAAAGCGAATGGTAGAAAAAGTACTTACAAATATTAACGACTTCATGATTGCACCTTAGACACTTACTGCACTCTGAAAGCAATGCAGTTACTATCAGACACTATCAGTGCCCGACACCTTGAATTATTAAGTAAGTCACAAGTTCAAGTAGAAATCTTGGAGGGGGATGAATTATAAAAATGCATCGATGATAAATTCATAAAATGACGTCAGACAACAACAATGGATCAATGAGATTTTCACTACAATTTCATTAGCGTATTACATCACACGCTCAGATGCACAAGATTATTGCCAATTTGTTGTGAGAAATTCTGACTTTTTCTCAGCCTGTCTTCCGCCCCCACAGACATCCGAGCGCATGGAACATGAATGAGGAGCATGTAAACATGGGTATTTTTATCATCGTCGTTCTAATTAACAGTTGCATTTCAGTAAAAAAAAATCCTTTTCAACGCGTTCTTTCAGGAAAACAACAATACAGTAACGTCTTCCCTCGGTTCTTACAGTACAGGAGAAATTTTATTTCTGCACGCAATGTCTATGAACACCATCTTTTAATTAGACGTTTTCTGATCCAGTGCGAAATGAATAGAATACATAGCGTTTCATTTATTTTTTAGCGTAATCTTCCCTGGAAAATTCCTCCGAAAGCTAAATTGTCCGTAGCCATTTGGGTAGACATATTTTTTTGTTTTCTTCTAATTTAATCATCGTGATGATATCCTGTAACATCCACTAAACGAGATCAAGCTATCAGGCTACTTTTACCGGGACGAGCGGAAAAACTCGGAGGAATTCCTCGACAAATTTTGAAATGCTTCGGCACGGTTTAGCTCGAAGTTTCTTCGCCTGTATGCAGTTTCCAAAATTTTCGAGTCTATCATCTCTTACCGTATTTTTTTCCATGACGCTAGCACCCTCGATAAATGAATGAAAATTAAAAATTTACTAAAAGTTGTTGATTTTTAAAATGTAATGCCATCAAAATTGTATTGCTTTCAATTGAGCAGGATGCTCAAAATGATTTTATATCTAATCAGTCATTCTAATTTTGGGGAAGATGAAAAAAAAAAAAAACAAAAAAAAAAAAAAAAAAAAAAAACTGAATATTAGACTATTCGTTTCGATGGAAGGGAATAAAATTGCAACCTGCCCATAAGAAACCTCGCGATTAAGATACAAATTTTTTCCCTGGTTAAAATGAAAAACTTTTTCTGCAAATATTTATTTCTTTCGTACGCACTGAGGCTTTGCTTTAGCTAAATCCGGGGGATGGTAGTGAAAATTAAAAGGGCGCGAATCATATCCCAAATTCATTTACATGCACCAAATTTGATTCAAAGAAAAGGTAACTTTAAAATTCAGTGAAGAAGAGGGAGGGTACTGATTCATCGATCGAAAAAGAAAAACGTGAACCGATCGACACCGATTCGATCGTCAAATCATCCCAAAACCGGCGTCGATTTGATCGATTGATCGATTTGATGTGTCAATCGGACTAAATTTTGCAATTTGGAACTATGAATTCTAGCCCGGCTTAAAAACAACGTATGTGCCATCAGCTTCCCTATGCACGTAAGTGCTTTTCCAGAAGAGCCAGAATTTATAGTTCCAAATTGAAAAATGCAGTCCAATTGATACTCGGGTTTCTCGGTCGGTTCAAGGTTGTCGATGTAGTCACGCCAATCAATCCACGTGTTTATTTTTCGATCAATTCATGTCGATCGAAACCATACCCTCTGGAGGAGGGAGATTCCTCCCCCTGCCTTCTTCAATGTCGCCTCTGCCTCGTTAATAGAGATACTACCAATAGACAACAGAGCTTTTGTAGAGCTTTTCGTGGAAAACCTTCGTGACGGATCGGCCTTGGTATTATTTACGATCGGTGCGTCCGACGCGTCGGTTTCCCGGAATATGGGTACGGCCTTTGATAATGAACTTTGGCGGATTGCCACTGGAAGTTCCTCAAGCGCGCGCTCGTCCAGCGCTCAAATTCTCGCTTATTGCATCCAAAGGCTTTTCGATCCGCCTCAACTGGACGTCTTGTCGCCAGACGGAACTATGTGCATTAAGACATGAGCCCTGAGACCCGTAAGAATGTATAACGAGGCTCACGTCATAATGCACTTAGTTCTGTTTGGCGGAAATGCGTCCGATTCATCTGACACGGCGAATTAAACCGTCGGCGTGCCTCAAACGGGGAAAGTCTAGGTCAATAATGATCATATAACTGACGTCTCGTTCGGATTGATTAAATTGATTTGTGCGCAGAGTAGAGCAATTAAGCGTCAAGCTGATCATGAATACACTGTAATGTCGACGGCCAGTGGCGTGGCGTGAATTGCGATAAATCGATTGTTATGCCATTTAAACCCATGGAAAAGGATCGATAGACATGGTGTTCGCAGCGAACACCTTAATAATCGATTCTTTACCCTAGGTTTGAATGGCATAACAATCAATATATCGCAATTCACGCTACGCCACTGTCACTGATGATTAAAAAAAGGCGCCGCTTCATGCATGAGACGGATGAGAACAGTTTATATGAAATGATTCCGCTCCTCGTTCAGGTCTGGCCTCAGCACCCATTCCATGGCCGTGAAAAGTTCCGGGATTCGGAACTTTCTTGTTCCAATTTCTCCCACTTCGACTCCATGCGACAATTTAAAATTTCCGCCACCATTTTATTTTTTTACAGAAGAATTTTTGAACGAAGCTGTCCGAAAATTTCACTGAATTTTATTTGTGCTGCCGTTAAAATTGAGTGAATTTTAAATCAGATTCAACGAGTAATTTCTCCGTCAAAGAAATAAAATGGCGGAGAAATTATGAAACTTCGCATATCGCTTGCGGTACTTTGGCCGGAGGGTGCGCACTGAAAAAAAAAAATCTCGGCGTATTTACTAAGAAAAGGGTAAAATTACCAAGAATTCAGGGTCCTATTTGATCCCAGTTTTTTCTTGGTAAAATTACCATTTATGGGATTGGTAATTTTACCGAGAAATCTCGGTAATATTATTGAACTTTCTCGGTAATTTTACTGGACCTTGGTAAAAACGCCAATGTATTTTATCGACTGTGGTAGAATTACCGAGAAAAAATGGCTAAGTTACCGGGAATTGATTACCAATAAAAGTGGTATTCTTACCTGGAAAAAAACCGTAAAAATACCGGTTTTTAGGTAAGCTTACCAGTCTGTCTTGGTAAAATTACCAATAAATGGTAAAAAAAGTGAGATAGTAAAGGTACCAACGGACCGTGGTAAAAACGCCGAGAATTTTTTTTTACGACGAAATAACGAATCGACTAACCTGTCAGTAGAGCCACGAGTCATAGCGATGCCGCCGCTTGTGCTTATACTTGTGATGTTTAAACGGCTTTTTCTTGGGCTTGTGCTTGATGTGCCCATGGAAATGTATCCCGTGGGGGCCGATGTGTCCGTGGGCGTGGATGGTCCCGTAGCCGGGCCTGTAATGCCCGTGATGTAGCCCAGGGTAGCCGGGCCAGCCGTGGTAGCCGTGCCCATGGTAGCCGTGTCCGTGGAGCCCCGGGTAGCCGTGCCACCGGGGGTAGACGGGGAAGCCGCGAACGTGGCGGACGTGCGAGGGGGTGGCCCGCTGGTCCCTGCCCCGGGGGCGCGGGGGAGGGGGCGGGGGTCGAAGGGCCGGCCCCAGGAGCCCGCGTTCCTCGCGGGCGTACGAGTGCATCGTCACTGTCCCTTTCTCCTGCTCGTAGCCCAGCGCCCACCCCACGGCCAGGAGCAGGCTCGCCGCCCGCAGTGACGTCATCTGGGAACAGAGACACATGGTTAGGGGTTAGATAGACACAGAGTCGTAATGTAAGTGGGAGAGCTGGCGCCACTTCTAAGCATTTTCCATGTCCCGAATTCCGAGACTCCTGTGTGACGCCGGGTCACTTTTTCGATACATTCGATTGTTTGCGATACACTGGTACCCGGCCATCCGATGACAACAACAACAACAACAAGAAAGGAGATAGGAATTACCACGTATTCCACACCGCCATTTTGGATCGAAAACGTATCGAAAAAGCGACCCGAACTCGGCGCACACCGGGCTCGGAATTTGTCGAGCAGAACATGGCGCCAGCTCTCCCATTTACATTACGACTCTATGTACTCTATGGATAGACCGCGTTTAACAGAAAGGAACCAAGTCAGCTGTTGCCAAATTTAACTGGGCAAGTCAATTTTTACGAGAGAACGTTAGTGCGGAATCCTATGAAAATTTTAAGGAATTTTTGTCGTACTACGGAGAAAATTCACTGAAATTTGCACGGAAATCCGCCGAACCGTTTTTATGTAAAACATTAATTCGTCCAATTAAATTTGGCAATAGCTGATGTGGCTTGGTTCCTTTCTGTTTAACGCGGTCCAGATGGTAATGGTGGTATCTACACAGAGAAAAATTTCAACAAATAAGTTTGACAGTACGTTGGAATTTTTCAGACAACGTGCGTTCAAAATCAGCATATAGCTGAAAATCTCAATACAGAGGAAACGAGCGCATATGGCCACACTATTCCCTTAGAGAGATGCGCTGTTTGGTGCAACGCCACACTGGAAAAAAAAACACATTGGATCCAGAGTCTAGTATCTTAAAAACATCGATAAGTAAAAATACTCTTGATTCAATCAGATTTAAGCTTAAGTCAAGAACCAAGCCTCTTAATTTGAGCGGATTTCCTTTTGATTTAAGCAAAAATCTGATTAAATCAAGAGTCCTTTTTCTTGTCAATGTTTTCAAGAGTCTGGACTCCAGATCCAATGTGTTTCTTTTTTCCAGTGTATGTACACAGAGAGAAATTTCAACAAAAAAGTTTGACAGTACGTTGGAATTTCGAGCCAACGTCCGTTAAAAATCAGCATATAGCTGAAAATCTCAATACATAAGAAAAAATCGCAAACGAACACAATTTTCCCTCAGAAGGCCACCATTCGGGAAGGCAACTACAAACGTTACCAAAGTTGCACCAAACAGCGTATCTCTTAGAGGGATAATTGTGCTCATTTGAGCTGTTTCCCTGTGTATCGAGATTTTCAGCTTTATGCTGAAGTTTAACGCAAGTTGGCTAAAAAATTCCAACATACTGTCTTACGACACGTGCGTCTACCGCAATCAGCTTGTACAGAAGTTTGGTTGATGCGGGAGGTAAAACAGTAAATGGACCGAGTTTATCAGAAAAAAACCAACCCACATTAAGTTGAAACCGAGAAAAACAGGTTTGAAGTGTTCTTCCTCCGTAAGACTGGATGTAGAGAGTAAACTTTAACACTCTTTTCACAAACTAATTAATTTTTTTTCGACTTTCAGTTTTTGGCAAGGAAAAATGTACTGCTGGTGGAACTCCAAAACATTCTTGACTTAATTTTTTCGAAAATGTGGGCTCTGATAAACTTGGTCCAAATAACTTCAGCCTCATGTTCATAAATTCTAGTTAAAATACGAGTATAAGCCAGTTTTCTTGAAGAAATTGTACAAAAAACGATTGGTGAATACCGACGTCGTAATCGGAAGAATGAATTTCCCGAGTCTCTCCATCGTTTTCTGCGCTAAATCTTCTCAATTTTAAGGAAAATAAAATTCCATTGCCTATATCTTGTAAAAGATTCTAAGCGTTTGCATACAAAATTTCGATCGTGTTAAAAGATTAATTTCATTTAAAATTTCAGTATTGTGTTTCTAGCTTTTGGTAGTTTTACGGAATGGAGATGTTGCATGTGTGAGGAATTTGCGATTTGACTATTGATTCTTACGTTAAAGTTCATGAGAAACACGATAGTGCCACTGGTTTTCTCTGAAATCAAATCCCAAGCTCAAAAAAAACTCAAGTTGAAGCCAAAATGGAGGGGATATCCTACGCTATCCTGAGAGTCCGCCTCTGCATCAAGACGAACTCTCCATGCAACGATAGGGAGCAAATGCATTGACTGGGCTCCCACTTTATTTCGGGACTCTAAAATTGAAAACACGGCAACACTGCTAATGTATTTGCTCGCTGACTTTTCATGGAGAGCTTGTCTTGATGTAAAGGTGGACTCTCAGGATAGCGTGGGATATCCCCTCCATTTTGGCCTCGACTTGAGAGCCTTTTTTGAGCTTGGGAGTTGATTTCAGAGAAGACCGGTGGCACCATCGTGTTTCTCGCAAACTTGTACACAAGAATCAACAGTCAAATCGCAAATTCCTCACATATGCAACATCTCCATTGAGGCTGCCGGGATCGAAAGTTTCGGCTCCAGTGACCAATTTTTGCAGGGTGCGAAGATTTTTCAAAAAATGTTTAACGTTTAATTTTACCACTGTAAACATCCTTTGTAAATCACTATACACTTCCAGCCATAGAGACTCCCGAATCGCTGTCCCGAACTGGACTTGGGACACTTTTTATCCGTTACGCGAAAGATACATCCATGACCATCACAGGACACTGCACTGCACCTGAGACTAGCGAAAACCAAACTGATGAACACCTTGGTTCATGATTCGGGGGCTGAGGAAAGCAGATCGGTCGAAGAATAGACGGTCCAGGAATCGGGTCAGGACCATCTTTTATCAGCTCATCGGAGCTCAGCGAGTATAAAGAACACCCCTGCCTCGGTGAACGCAATTTCGACGCCCGACTTATGATGGTCCAACCGGGTGTACCAACACGTGTCGCTTGTAGAGAACTCGCAGAGCTCATTCATCGCCGGATTGTGTAATCGGGGCCAAAATCGAACTCGAGTCACGTTTTTGAGGCGCACAAATCTACCAGGTGATGAAATCGGTCATCTTCTGGTCGTTTCATGGTACTCTTTAATTAATATTCTTAAATTAATCCAGGGAAAAAATCGGGGGACAAAGTGTTCATTTTTAAGAAAGAGAGAACCAAGTTTTCAGGGAAGCGCAGTCTGCCGATTGGTTGGCTCGCGGAATTATTACGAGTACAACTAGATTGCATTTTGCAAAAAGGAACCTGGAATATTGCAATGTTGCAAAGATTGTGAAACTTATTTTTGTCTTGGGAGAAAATCCTGATTATCCATTGACATTTTCTATCTCATTCGCTAAAAACCGTAAATTTAAGACAAAAATTACCGTGTAAGTTTCATATTTTTTCATTATTTCGGTAATTTTATTGCGAAGTATGAAAATGCACAATCTTAGCATCATTGCAATGCTTCTGGTTCCTTTTTGCAAAATGCAATCCAACTACTGTGTCGTTAAGTAAGAGTAAAACAAAGTTTTCAGATGGTCCGTCCGGCTGTGTTCTGAAGCAATGGATTCGTTTAAAAAAATGGCCCCGCCATAATCAGCACTCGTCGAAAAGATGCGTTCACTTGCAAGTAAGATTCAATCCTGAACAACAAACATAACTGCTTGAAATTCCCGAAAGGGCACATGTAGCAAAGTATGTGTCATTATGATGTTTTCGTATTTATTAGGAGCTGTGAAAAACAAATTTAGCCCCGGTGCTATGCATGAATGACTGCCCTAATGTTCGCGCCAATCGAAGTAATTATTATCGAAATCCTAGTTTCATCCCCTGAGATTTGAACCAAGACCTTCAAATAATCCACCTAAGTTTCGTAGACCTGCTGCTCACTGGACCATGCATGCATGACGCCAAGGCCAATCAAAACGCAGATTATTCTTCAAGTGAAATAAATCGTGAGTAGTAGGGCCCGCTGTACCCCAACGAAATAGCGACATATATTTGCCGACAACATGCATTGATGTCAGCTTTTATTAAAAAAAATAGTCATAATATTAATTGTCGATGTTCTCACAGACAAGTGATGGATAAAGCTGTTAATCATCTACAAAGAAACAACTTAAAACGGGACTAAGGCCGCAAATAATAAAAAGAAACATATGAAATAAAATAAAAAACCCGGGATGTTTCGTAGGGATCACCGATCACACCCGCATTTTCAACCCGCAAAACAAGAAAATTAAAAGAAGGACACTATAAGTCTCACCGTTGTTATCGTGAGATTCAAAATTTTTTTCACAATTTCACTCACAATCGTGTCACAATTGTTATCGTGAGACTCACAAAAACAACGGTGAGCACTGGAAAAAACACATTGGATCTAGAGCCCAGACTCTTGAAAACATTGTCAAGAAAAGATACTCTTGATTCAATCGGATTTTTGCTTGAATCAAAACGAAATCCGCTTGAATTAAGAGGCTTGGTTCTTGATTAAAGCTAGATTCTGATTGAAACAAGAGTACCTTTTCTTGTCGATGTTTTTAAGAGTCTGGACTCTAGATCCAATGTGTGGTTTTTTCCAGTGTGTCTGCAAGCAGACGGTACACTTTGTAAGCAGGAACTACTATTTCTGGCTCATTTTACCCCGACCTATACTCCGTTAGTGATCATGTGCATGTAAGTGCTTTTATGAGTGAGCTAGCAAAATCATAGTTCCGTATTGCTAAATATAGTCCGAATGGATTGCATTTTGCAAAAAGGAACCACTAGCATTGCAATGATGCTAAGATTGTGCAACTTCATCCTTTGCAATAAAATTGCGGAAATTGTGAATAACTATGAAATTTAGACGGTAATTTTTGTCTTAAATTTACAGTTTTTAGCTAGTAAAATGGAAACTATTAAGGGATAATCGAGTTTTTCCTCCAAGACAAGAGAACTTGCACAATCTTAGCAACATTGCAATGCTAGTGATTCCTTTTTGCAGAATGCAATCCAAATATAGTCCAAATATTTCTACGTTGCCCCACGTTACGAGTATCGGTTCCTCGTTCTAATATGGCAATACTGG